GTTTAAGTTAAAGAGTTCAACAAAGTATTTGTATTCATAAATGCAAATGTTAGTTAAATTGTACGATTTCCAATGGAGTTTGGGGCGACTTTCTCTCCACAGAAACAGGGCCAAACCCAAACAAAGGGACGCAACATTGCACGGTGATATTAACTAATATTGCCGAATAAATAAAACATTGGCCTTATTACTGTTTATGTGATAATATATTACATTGTACACATGCTGCACGTCAAAACGGGGGATTCATTCATTAACGTGAAGTCATGAATGAGTAGCTAACGTAGCTAATGCTAACTAGCAAACACGCTACTATCTTTGCAAAAACAATCCAACAAAATATAAAAGGATTGAGAATCAAACATTTGTAAGAAGTACTCACCATTTCTGTTCTACTAAATGCTGTCTGGGAATGAATAAATGGGATGTTTGTTCGTCACAAAACGTTTGTACTTCGCACAGCAGAGCGGCACACGCTTTACCGCCAAACCGGAAGTACAACGTTGTAACATCCGGGGGTATTCTTGATTTGACACACTGCCCCCTGGTGGTGGGATGTGAGCACTGGCGTACTAATGACTAACGGCCCTCTTCTGTATGGTTTGTTCTTAAAAGTACTTCATTAAAGGTAATTGGGACGAAGGCAGACAATGCCCTCTGTGACTGTTATAGTAATATGTATTAAGTAATTATTACTAATTTATTTACTATGAGAGACTATGGTTGGTTGAGGCATTTTGTAAGTACTTTTTATAGGACGACAACTATTGATTATTTATGTTTCCCATTAATCTACTGACTATGAGGATTATTTTATGATATATTTATGGTTTCAGAAATATAAGAAAATAGGGAGAAATGTCATTACAATAACCCAGAGCCCAAAGCGAAAAGCAAGATTTAATAATACATTAAAATAATCAAAATAAATAATAAGTAGCACATCTTCACATTTGAGAAGCTGGAACCATGATATGGGCATGCTCAGAAGTGAGTTTAAAGTGAACTCAGATCACTCCACCAGGTGTGTTATTTCAAATTGCATCATGATAATATGCCTGAAAGGACATTCTTTCAAAATGTGTCATATGATTGATGTGATGTTAAAGCAATGAAGTAAAAAACCTCTTCTGAGGTATATCCAGCGTCACTGTCAATATCACTTTCTGCCCTGAGTTGAACTTCTGTACTTGCAACACCTGCTGCTCTATAGAATATTTCACTTTAACATGAACCAATGGTTAAAATATTAGTATTAAACTCAATGCTGTCATGACTGTCAAATCTGGGTGTTGCTGGCCCTCTGTCTGAGTAGTTATTTCTCTCCAGGCACAAACAGTCTGGAGATTTCTCTCATTTTTCTGCATTGAGGCATTCAGCTGTTACTAAAGCATCCAACAAGTTCAAACCTGATACTCTGAATACAACTAACATCTTACTTCCAGTGAAGGGCTGGGTTTCTGTCAGAAAATTCCTCTGAAATTGCACTAAAGCTTTTTTTTGGATGTTTTAAATACTTGTGCCCTTACATCATTTAGCCTATCAATTTTCTCTCTCCTTTTGAGTTGGCCTATGTGGAATTTACCAATCCGTCAGTCGGTCACTGTGTCAGTTATGGCATGATAGCAATGTTTGTGTAGGTGCATGACCACGACAACAAAAAGACAATAAATGACCACAAAGAAACACAAGATTTCTGCAGCACCAAATTCCTGGGTGTGACCATCACAGATGACCTCACCTGGAAAAACAACTCCACCGCACTAGCGAAGAAGGCCCAGCAGCGCCTGTACTTCATCCGGAAGCTCAAGCGAGCCGGAGCACCACCCCCCATCATGCTGTCTTTCTACCGAGGCGCCACTGAGAGCATCCTCAGCAGCTGTATCACGCTGTGGTTTGGAGGCTGCACCGCCTCCAACCGCAAGAGCCTGCAGCGCATTGTGAACTCTGCCCAGAGGATCATCGGTGCCTCACTCCCATCACTACAGGACATTTAGGACACCCGCCTCACCAGCAAAGCACTCAGAATTGTGGGTGACTCCACCCACCCCTCCAACAGCCTCTTCAGCCTCCTGCCTTCAGGGAGCAGGTTCTGCAGCCTCCGCTCGAGCTCCACCAGGCTGAGGAACAGCTTCTTCCACCAGGCGGTCAGGATGCTGAACTCTCTCCCCTCCCTCCTCTCCCCCTCTCTCCCTCCCTCCCCCCCTCTGACATCTCTCCCCTGACCTCACCCCTCTGCCTCCCACCTTTCCATCCTGCCCCAAATGGACCTGGACTTTAACCACCCCCCCCCCCCCCCACACACACACACAACCTTCCCTCATCCAGCACCACTCACTATTCTACCCATCTCCGCTGCTACTGCACTGAAACTGTACTTTGAACATCATTTTCTCTTTTGCACTAATGTATTATATATATTAATGTTAATTCATGTTCTGTGGATTGTGTTTTTTTAAATATATTATTAACTAGTACTTATTACTACTATTACTTAGTTTTATACCCCGTTTATCTAGGCCCTTTTTGTATCTTGTTTTATGTATATATGTCACACTGTGGGACTGCGAGAAACGGTATTTTAAGATTTCTCTGTATAACACATGTAGAAATGTTGACAATAAAGCTGACTTTGACTTTGAAGACTTGGTATTGTCGTTTGGAGGAAGACGGCTGTGTTAATAAGCAATCGGATCATTCCAGTCTGTTACAAGACTTCTCTTTGAAGTCTGCAGAGGAGAGCTAAGAATCAAAGATAAAACTGAGCGGGCCTGTGGAGTGGATGATCTGCAGGAAGTGAAAAGCATGGGACTCACAGACCTCCTCAGCTGTGTGCAAAATCCACTTTTGCTCCAACTACTTGTGTATAAGTCTTTTATAAATGTATAATGAATAGATAAAGTGCAGCCTACAAAATGTCTGGGTGTTGGGAATATATACTCATCTTTCCATATACTGTATATAACTCAATCTTTTCATCAGAAAGAAACATTCAAAATCATCGTATCAAATTAATTTATCTTAACCATTGTTTCTCCAGTCAGGCATCAGGCTAACTCATACTGTATTTCTTATAAAATTATCAAACTCTGTTAAATTAAACTATTATCTTATTAATTTGATTACAAATGACACTGTATGTGTGTGCAGGCATGTTAACATAATAACTGTATATCATATTAAATGAGAAAATACTTTACACATTTTCACGTATTTAATGCACAAGGGAGTATACAAAAACAGGATTTACCATGTGGTTATTTTATATAGACTATATACTGCATCATGATATTGTTACTGAGATAGGAAATGTTATCATGAAAGAAGATTTTGGTGATATCACCTGGCCAGAATTTGGTTGGCCTATTTGAGCATAATGACTGGAGTTTTAAGAGATCTCCACAAAGAGCAGGAGACTGAAGCAGGACAGAGAGAACAAAGTGAACAGGTGAGACAGTTTCTTTTGGCTCACTGCTTATTGGACTCAGGTCAGATGCACAGAAAGCAGGTCACGGTCCGATTACACAGCAGACAGAGAAGCCAAAGCCATGCTGTGTTCACTGGAGCCTTACCCCAAATGGGATAGAGCGGAAAAAACAATTTTACAACATCCATTTTTATTTTACCATCACTGAGCACAGGGGGGGCAGCACACTGCTGCCTGGGTTGTTTCATATGGTTCATACGCAGGCTGGAACACAAGCTTACATTTGCATTACTATAACCAACGAGTAAAGCTTTGATATCAAAACCAGAAAAAATATAATGTATTTATCCCGAGGGGAAGTTGGTTTGTGATAGTTGCATCATTTTTATAATAAAAAAAAAAAAAACATTAGAAAAAAGACGAACACCCAACGTAAGAAGTTAAAGTAAAAACATGCAAATTGTATATTATATAACAACAATTATATGAAAAATGGCAGTGTTTTATTAGTAAGAGTTTAAGCATCAATGTAATGTATTATATGTGAATGCCTTTGTCCTTCAGCTGTCTGTCTTTTATGGGGCATTGAGTGGCTTTGTTGGGAGTAGACAGCATTGTAAGCAGAATTAAAAAGCTTGCAATATATTTGGCTTGCATATTTCACTGGTTTTCTATGGAAAAAAACATTGCTGTCAACAAAGGCTGCAGCAGAGCAACCATTCGGTGTAATTTGAAGTGCGTAAGCAGAATCACTCTGAGTGTGCGTCTCTCCATCCAAAGCCAATTAGTCAGAAATGTGGATTTGAGGCTGAGTACTCACTTACCTCAGCTTTTCATCAGGCGCCACGTGGTCAGCACAGGGGGCCCAAACCACGTCATATCTTGAGCATCTTGAGTATTAATATGTTACTTTTATGTATTAGTATCTTATTTTTAGTATCATTATATCTTAACCAATAATAAAATAGTATTACTATAACTAATGCCTAACACAATTTTTTTGTTATACTCATATATATATGCATTATGAAATATACATATAGAGAAAGTATCCTATATTCTACCACTTGGACATGAAAATAATTATATAGATATGGAAAAATATGTTTTATTTGATTTGTAATGCTTAAAAATGTGAGGAAAAAAATATTGCTCATAAATATGCCAAAATAGTAGCCCAATAGAATAATATTAATTGAAATGAATAATAGGATTTTAATGCAGTGTTAATGCCATCATATTTGTACTGTAGTATATCTACTTTGACTAACTTTAATTAACAAATCTGAGTAGGCTACTTTCACATACTCAGACAGATACATTTGAACGTTTTGTACTGTTGGATGAAGTCAAACATTTCATTATACACACCTTTAATCCTGATCTTGGACCCCCTCGAAAAGGCCCCGTGGAGGTTCCTCCTGGACCCTCATGTTGGGCCCCTCCCTCCCTCCCTCCCAGTGTAAGGAGCAGGTTGTGGGCTCCATCCATGTGAGAGCTGCTGTAATGTTCCTTTAAATGCGAGATAAATGTGGAGGAGAGGCGGAGCTGTTGCTGTCACTACTCCACTCTGCTGCCTCTCCTCAGACAGAGATCTGCGGGCAGAGCGACGCACACTGCGGGGAAATGAAACACACTGCAGGACCCGAAGCACCCGCACTCTCCACACACACTCAGCTCCTCTCTCTGCGGGACACCACGCACCGTCCGGGATCATGTTGTTTCTTCACGACTTATTATCGGCTTATTGGATCGCAGCTGAGTGAAAGAGAAAGTCCACACTGGATTTGAACCCTATACGCACTATACTTCTGCCACCGTGGATGAAATCTGTGCATACTTTATGTCTGAATAACTCCAGCGGATTCTCACATATTTCGGATTATTATTTTAAACAAGGAGATATGTTGATTTTATTTGTGATCAGCCTGGCCGTGCTGTCAGATGCAGGTTAGTAGGATTTTCTTTATTACTTTTATTTAGTAAAACCAAACACAGTTATTGTCACAGGTGCAACATTGAAGATCTTGCTTGGATTTTTTGGCAATTTAATCTCTCACTAAAAGAGTTTCTACTTTGGATTTCTAAACACATGAAGCCACATCTTTAGAATACGAGTTGATACAAAATCATAAGCTAAATAATTCAACTCAAGTTCCGTATTAAGTTATAGAAAACAGAGTTGTTGCCTAATTGTTGTTTACTGCCACATCTTTTTTTGGTGTTAAATAACATAAGAGCTGAACCTAACCCCTTTAAGAACCAAAATTGGGTGAATCAAAGGTCTTAATTTAACACATTTACTAGATTTATTCATTAACGTCTAATTAACCTTGACAAAGTGATTGATTATTCAGTCTAAATCTTCCCCCTATGACCTCCCCTCACACAGACAGTTATGTAATTTCTGCTAACAAAGAACATCCCTCAAGAGAAAGGTTCCTCAGTGCAAAAGTTCAATAATTCAGCCTCTCAGGTTTAATATAAGTGAAGGCATTGCCATGAAAAACAAAGCGAGCTCCAGGTTTAAGATAATAAATCCACATGGAAGATGACACTGTGCCCTCGGGAGGCGTCTGAATGCTGCGCATCCTCCGAGCTGCCAAACTTTATCTGTGTTAGAGTCCATGCTGGCTGCATTCTGCGGCAGGTGGGTGCACAATGCACCTATTATCCCTTTTGAATACGATTTCCGATCGAGGTTAATCACTCAACTTGTGTACACACACTCACTGAGTCACTCTTTTCTTCCCTCAACCACTCACTCTCGCACATACTCTGGTTCTCAGATTCAGGTGTTTCTGTTCACTAAACTCTCCAATACCATAAACAATTATTATGAAGTAAGTGTTAAACAAGTTTGGGGTCAAATCGGGGCATTGCACATTAACTAACAAGACTTTTTTTTGCTTAATCTATAATGACAAAAAGATCTGCTTGGATAGGAAACATTTTCCTCAGTGTTTTTCAATTGGGTTTTCTGGCTATTTGAATTGCTCTATCTTTTACAATCTCTACTTTTTTAGTTATTAAAGTAACTTTAACATTTTTACATTCTCAATTATCTCAAGTTGTGTATCTGTTTCGTCTTTCTAACCCCAATCTCCCAAAGAAAAATCATCCTAGTGTATTGAATATATAATTTTAGTGTTATTTGAATGCTTCAATGCTGTGATAAAGTCTAATCCCATTGACCTGCATTGTATTGGGTGAAGGAAGAGATCTCAAAATGGGGATGAATACTATGAAGTTTGCAAAATACCACCATGTGTTGCATAATTTGGGTGACCTGACCCTTTAAGCTGAGGTCAAATGACCCATTTGACACTCTGGATTCCACGTTTTTTAGTTTTGTCACCTCCCATATTTGCAATTGAAACCGTTTTATTTTCTCCCTCCAGGTCTGTCAGGTGACGTGTTTCAAGCCGGTGTGTCCCCTCGCTGTGAGAGCCGGGCCTGTAACCCCCGCATGGGTAACTTGGCTCTGGGTCGGCGGGTCCTGACGCAGACCGTCTGCGGAAACAACGGCACGGAGCTCTACTGCTCCTACTCCGACCCCAACGTCAACCTGGCCTGCAGCGCCGCAAAGTGCGCCAAGTGCAACGCCGGCTTGCCCCTCCTGTCCCACCTGGCCAACGCCATGTCCGACTCCTCCTTCCGTCACCCCAACACCTGGTGGCAGTCGGCGGAGGGGGTGGAGTCTGAAACGGTGCAACTGGACCTGGAGGCAGAGTTCTACTTCACGCATCTCATCGTGGTGTTTCGCTCGCCCAGGCCTGCCGCCATGACCCTGGAGAGGTCTCAGGACTTTGGGAGGACGTGGAAGATGCTGCAGTACTACGCCGGAAACTGCACCGACACCTTTGGGATGGAGGAGGGGAAGGCAGGCGTCGGCCGGGATGTGGCCATCTGCACATCCAAATACTCCGGGGCGTATCCCTGCAACCGTGGAGAGGTGAGGAGGGAGCTTACCTTTTACATCAGATGTTAAAGGGATATTTCAAGCCTCAAAATAACCATATGCTTATAAATTGCTCACCCGGTGTTACCTGAAAATCTTGATGAAACTTTATTTTTCCTGCTTACTTCCACGGAGAATGAAGAATCTAAAAACAGAGAAAGGTCTTTATGAATTGAAGCAAAACTATGTCAAAAACATATTTTTACAAAATCTCAAACCACTAGTGTTGCATTTAATGCTCCTCCCAATTTTTTTCCGCTAAAACTGTACAATTTCAAACAATTCCGTCTTGAACGGATGAGTAGTGCGCCTCGCAAGTGTGACACTGTTGATGAGGAAGTGTTGAAATAAGGTTTTGAGCCCTAAAATAAATTAAAAAAAATGATATATCTGATATTTCCTTCAGATATATTGCCCCCAAGTGGCCAAAAAATCAGTTGATGAAGGGTGAAAATAAAAAAATCTTGAAAAGAACAGCGGGGGAGTAAAAAGGTAGAAATATGAAGGGTTTATAATCTATATCTATAACACAAAGGACATGCTAAGTCAAAATAACTTCAAATGACTGTAAGTTCAATAGTATTACGTTACACAATAATGGTTCTCTTTTTTAATCATAACAAAGATTTCTGTGCTTTTATCAATTCATGACTGCCTGCCAGAAGAGCTTTGGGGGATCTGATTAAAATCAAGTCTTGGTTGAATTCCCACTATTTCTCTTAATATAAACAGTCGTATCGCTCAGAAAGCAGGTTGACGCAGGTGGGAGAGGAGGGCGGACACACACCTGCAGAGAAACGCTGGGGGGGGTGACGGAGAGTTTCCTGCTCAGCTTTATCTTCCTCTATCACTGAATTGCTAATTACGTCATATCATAAATGGGCATGACAGGTAAACCCTGCTACAGAAAGACGGCAATGCTCTCATAACCAAATGGTTTTAAATGTATTATTATTACCCTTCCTACTGGAACAAATTCAGTCCTGTCCGCAGTAAGTCACGCAACATGCAAGAGTCATACAGTCATAGGACAGAGCAGAATGAAAGCAGAGCTCAGACAGGTGGGGGAAACTGTGTGGTGTGTGTGTGTGTGTGTGGTGTGTGTGTGTGTGTGTGTGTGTGTGTGTGTGTGTGTGTGTGTGTGTGTGTGTGTGTGTGTGTGTGTGTGTGTGCTGTGTGTGTGTGTGTGTGTGTGTGTGTGTGTGTGTGTGTGTGTGTGTGTGTGTGTGTGTGTGTGTGTGTGTGTGTGTGTGTGTGTGTGTGTGTGTGTGTGTGTGTGTGTGTGTGTGTGTGTGTGTGTGTGTGTGTGTGTGTGTGTGTGAGCGTGCATGAGTGGGTGTTTAATAGGCGTACTTTGACTGTAGCACGAGAGGGCTTCCTGAAGTCCATTGATGTTTAATTGAAGCAGTGTGTGTCAGGAGCTGCTCTGCAGATGTGAGTGGAGGCGCCTGCCAAGTGTGGTGCTGCTCGGACTCCCTGCAGAGCTCTCAGATGTAACGTGTGTGTACGCCCTCTTTGAAGAGCTCCGCTGCTACGATGCATTTAAAAATAATCAGCCGTTATCACCTTATCTGCTGCTGTTAGTGTGGTTTGCATGCTCATGTAGGAAAGACATCTATGCATCTATTTTATGATTTCCCCTACACATTGTGTGCATGAAGGTGTGAAAAGAAGCAACTCATTTTCCTTTCTGTCTATTCTTGTCTCTGTACTTCACATCTCAGCCACCTGTGCTGAGAGCATGACCTTTGACCTCTAACGCCTCAGCTGATGACACAGAGGTTAAAAGAGGTCAAGTAGCTCTCTGTCAGATCAGGAGCTACTCAGCTGTTCTCACTCTTTCTGCTTCAGTGTCTTTTGTTGTAATCATTTGTCAACTATAATGACAGTAAAACAGTCAGTGGCCTACGCTAGGCAATGACAACAAAGCCTTATAGTGTGCAGTACGTGTGGGTGTGTGTTTCAGGGATGTAGCGCCTCTTTACCAATATAAAAAGTATCTATAAGCATTATTATCCAAATGTAATAAAACATTTTCTAGACAACCAAACTGTATGTTTTTTCAACAGAAATCAAGCTCATTTACACTCAGCAGTGAACAGACTTGAATTGAAGCAAGCATTTTAAAAGAAGACATAATTAACAAAAATAATGTTTTTGTTGCAGCCTTATTATAATTATTCAGTATGATCTTTATGTCATTAAGCTTAATAAGATGGTGATCAACCTCCATAAGACAAATACTTCAATACTTCAATGAAATATGAAAGCAATGTTAATAAAACACATGACTGACTCTATAACTTGATTTAAAGTTTGCCTGCATGCATGTCTGGAATTGTTGTTGGCTAAGGTTACCAGACGGCAGGTATTCTCAGTTTTCTTTCTCCCGCAGCAAACATAAAAGCATGTCATCTCTTGTGCTGAAAGCATTTCATGTTCACCTGTAATGTGGGGAAAAGGTGGTGGTGTGTGTGTGTGTGTGTGTGTGTGTGTGTGTGTGTGTGTGTGTGTGTGTGTGTGTGTGTGTGTGTGTGTGTGTGTGTGTGTGTGTGTGTGTGTGTGTGTGTGTGTGTGTGTGTGTGTGTGTGTGTGTGTGTGTGTGTGTGTGTGTGTGTGTGTGTGTGTGTGTGTGTGTGTGTGTGTGGTGTGTGTGTGTGTGTGTGTGTGTGTGTGTGTGTGTGTGTGTGTGTGTGTGTGTGTGTGTGTGTGTGTGTGTGTGTGAGAGAGTGAGAGAGAGTGAGAGAGTACGCTGGGTTTCTTGTCTTATTTATGAGGTCAGCTGGGCTGGAAGAATGTGAGTGTTTGTTGTAGAGACTGACCTCCTTAGGGAAGAGAGCAAGACCAGCCAACACACATTCTCTCTCACTTTTCCACCGTTCCTCGAGCACACACACACACACACACACACACACACACACACACACACACACACACACACACACACACACCACACACACACACACACACACACACACACACACACACACACACACCACACACACCACACACACACACTTGTCCGTGCCCTTTCAGATAAACACATACAGTCGGCTCTCCGTCTTTCTGCAGGGAAGGAAGTGCCGTTGCTCTGATGGATGTTGGTACTGTTGGCTAGACACCCATCCCCCCTCTCTGTTTCCCTCTCCGTCTTTCTCCTTCCATCAATGCCCATTGTGCCTGTTTACCAGATTACAGTCCACAGCTCTTTGATGGAATTACGCCTGTTTAAGCCAGACGTACTTTTATTTTTCAGCCTGGAGTAGACACATGGCCCACAGTGAACCCACTGCCTCAGATTGATTTAACTTTTTAAAATGTGGCGCAATTGGCCTGACATTTGTTATATATTTTCGACGACAGGTATTCAACTTAAAAAAATCACTGTTGTTTTCAACAGAGACACATGTTTAAAATAGCAGATGTGCTTCATTCTGCATTTGCAAATTCAATTACAGTTAAAGGTTCCCTATGGAGTTTTCTTGTAAACTAATGCCAGTATAAATGTTGATTGTCTGTGTTTATCCCCAAAGCATATTGTGTGTATCCTTGAGGCCCAACAAACCCAATGAATGCATGTCCTTTCTCTTAAAACATTTACAAAGTATTTTGAAATCATTTATAAATGATGCTGACTGTCTTATTCCCTACCTTTTACGACTGGAGATTGCTAGTTTTTTTTTCATATATAACTACCAAATCTAGATAAATAAAAACGCCTACAAATGCGTCACAATTAGTAGCGAAAAAGGGGAGGAAAACCAAATAGGAAGTTGAATTTGTACCGTAGTATTGTTGTAATTTCTATTTATTCTGTTGTTTTTTATTTACTTAATATGACCACAGATACAATTCTAGATAAGTGGAACCTTTCTTCCTTTTGCTAGCCCCCCTAATAAAACCTCTTAGTGTAAATACACCTGGGGAAACCCAGGTCAGGCTTCACATTATCATAAATGTGCATTTAATCGGCGTATGTGCCAACAATAATAATTTGTTTCCACATTCAGAGGAAAACTACGAGGCATCATTGGGTAGTAGTACAAGCTGCAAGAAGGCCTTGTGTGTAATATATGTTGTGTAAAGGGGAGCAGCACACTGATGTCTATGTGCATGCCAGTGTGTGAGTGTGTGTATGCCGGTGTTGCTGTGGTGTCCCCGGGCTGTCGCAGGCCTTTTGTGCAGCCCTGAGTTATGTGAAGCTGGATCCCGTCCCTGTCTTTGTCTGGCCTGCTCTCCGTGCTCTCCGTGCTCTCCGTGCTCTCCGTGCTCTCCCTGCTCTCCCTGCTCTCCCTGCTCTCCGTGCTCTCCCGCGGACCGGCGCCCCTCGTCCTATTTGTCGTGTTCTCTTATTTGTGGACCACAATGCCGTGACCCTGAGACCTTATCCAACAACAGGGAAATTAATAGTGCTCCTCCCATCACACTCCACCGCCAGTCATCCAGCCAATGAGGGAGCAGCATGGGGGCTTTTTGCTCACATCTTGGTTTAACTAAAGAAAATACACTCATAAACACACACACACACACTACTCGTCCAATGATATAAATGACGGAAAGCTACAAAAAAAAACACACTTTGTTAAGAAATGTCTTTCACAGCGAGAGTTGGGGCTCACACCAACTTTATCACAGCAGCGGTGTTTGTAACTAGTGGCAGCAGTAGCCATGGCGATGGCAGGCATCCTATAAAGGGATCTTCCATTTGAAGGATGTCCAAGGACTAGACAGGGAGGGAGAAATAGGGGGAGAAAGGTTGCATTTAAGGACACCCAGCACCGCCATGGTCACGTGGGGACGCAGTCAATAATCGCGGGGTGAAAGGTTATATTAAGAAACTACCCCCCCGTTAACATGACAGGTGTACTGACATGAGAAGCATCAACAAACCAGATTGTGCCATAAAATTCAGCCGGCTATTCACTCTAAATCAGGAAGTTGGTACCATAACAGAATGGCTCTCTATCTCCGTAAACTAAAGAGGGGGGGGGAGAGGGGAACCATAAAACCTCACAAAACAACTCCACCTCCTGAAGGGGAAACCAAGCCTCTATGAGTTAAAACTTGTTTTCACATCCAAGTCATATATCAAGTTTGAAAAGTTCCACACCTAAGGAAAAGTGGACTTCACAAGCCCAAAGAAAAGTTTGTGATCCACCACTTTCATTCTTCTAAAAGTCCATTAAACTCAAAGGGACAACACTATTTACCCAATCTACTTAATGGTGTCATGTTGACAAGAACGACAAATTAAAGTAATGAGAAGACAATAAATGATGAAGCTGTTTTGCTTGTCTTGTCATTTTGGTGCTTCTTGGTATGATCTATTTCAGGATCACTTAGGTTAGGGTAAGCTGTTGCAGACAAATCAATAAGTAAACATTTTATTTTGGGTTTTAAAACTTCTTAATCTTGTGTTGCCTGTAAGAAAGGTTGTTATGCATTTGGAAAAAAAAGAAGTTATTTCTAATGAAATTGCAAGTTTCTGTTGTGTCTTTTGTTGGCTGAAACCTATTAAAACACAGACCTGATTTGTTCTGAAATGTGACAGCAGATCTCTCTTTCTGACAAATAGGTGATCTACCGCACCCTCCCCAAATGGGAGTCCCTGGACCCGTTCGGGCTGGAGGGCCAGCAGCAGCTGAGGGTGACCAACGTCCGGGTCCGGCTGCTGAAGCGCCAGCCGTGTCCCTGCCAGGCCAAAGACCTCGCCTCCGCCCACGTAAACCTCCCAACCCGACACTTTGCCATCTATGACCTGATCGTGAAGGGAAGCTGCTTCTGCAACGGACACGCAGAGCAGTGTGTTCCTGCCCCGGGGTACCAGCCCATCAGAGACCGCACCAACCATGTGGTAAGAGAGGAGCAGGGAGTTAGAGTGCATAGCTTTGAAACTTAACATGTACTAGCGTGGAAAAAATTATACTTTTAAATGAAAATAACTCATTTTACTTTTTACACACACACATCTTGTTTGACCTTTAATGGCTGGCATGCCATACACTTGCATTAGTGTCCCCAGCTGCCAGCAGATGTGTTTGTGAAGGTGCAATGCCAATATGAACAAGCTTATCATAACATCAATCTTGTGTGGCACTAGTTGTCAAAAAATACAATTGAAATACAATAGATCATAAATTAAGCATGGCTGTTAATTATTGACCTTAGAAACAGTTGTTTGACAAGAAAAAAGTGGTTCTTAAGTTAAGTCAATGTTAGTCAGTTGCTATGCATGTTATCTTGTTTGCAGCCTTGATGCTGTGCTACTGATTGCTCTTCCTTCAGTCTGTCTTGTTTTGCCATTCTGACATTTCTGACATTTCTTTCACTTGTTTTGGTATTTATTACACAAGTAATCACACCCCATGTGCCGGCTTCTCACTTGCTCTGAGGAAGATTATAAGGCTTGATACTCTCAGACTAAACAACTTGTTCACTTAGTGTTGGCATTCGTCTTAATAACAGACTCCACTTCCTGTGTTCGCCTGGCTCTGTCTGCTCAGATAAACATCTGCATTTCCCGTCCATAACAAACCCAAGAGGTGTAGATATGAATTCCACTGAGCGTAAATGACAGTGTTGATCTGTGTGTTTAGATAAAGGTGTGAACAGACTGATTCAGTGTTTTTCCTGGAGAAGCATAAGTGTTTATGCTACTATCACAACCATCTCCACAAACAGATATGTCTGTTCTGCTGCAATCAGCGAGGCGCAACGGGAAAAGTGAAAGTCAACAAGGAGATTCCTTCACAACGTGTTTAGGCAAAGACATTTAGACCATGATTTGGGTGGGAAAACATTAGAATTTTTTAGGCTGATGGATATGTTTTTCTACATAATCCCAGAAAAGAACAAACATTTTTAATAAGGATCTCTTGTTTAAAAAAAAAAAAATCAAGATATGTACGTTTTTAAGCCGAGAAATTCACTTTGATATTGTTTTCTGATGGAAAACCTTTCCTTACCTCTTTTAACGTTTCTTTGATATACGTATATATATATATATATTCTTATCTCTTACTATTCTATTTCCCAGCCTATAAGTCATTGTATGCCTAAAAGATAAAAGGACATATACCCTAACATGTAGGACCCTGGAAACAGCTGAAAAAAAACTTCATATTTCCTACCGACTCAAAGCGGATGAAAGTCTTTGGTATTCTTTGTGAAAAATGAACAAAACGATTCATGTGTTTTCTTTGCTGATACCAGCTCTTTTGTAATGAAGCAGCTGATAGCCGATTTATTGGACACAATCTCTAAATCTTTAAATCTGACTATTTTCATGCCAAGAAATTCCTAGAGGCTCTACTGAGTGTTTTCAAGAGGATTTCCTTCTTTTGAGGGCAGAAAATATTTAGACCACGGGGCTGTAAAACTGTACCCTGCACGCCAGGATAATAATAATAATGATAGATCATTGTAATGCTTAGATGTGTGGCTGATTCATTTTATCATCAATATTAGTTCAAATGCAACCAAGACTTAAAGTTTGAACAGTAAATCCTTCTCACAACATTACCTCAGGGCATCGAAGCGTCATTCTGCTGTGTGGCATGCGGGCAGCATTTGGTAAACATGCAGAAGTTATATAAGTGACTTTTCCTGCGAAGTTATCAGCAGTTTGTTTTATGTTTCGACCCAGAGCCGCTGTTTCTGGCTAAACCCAAACAAGCAGAGCAGCTCAAGATGGGGCAGAGATTACTGATCTCTCACAGAAGGGCGTGTGCAGTAATGGAGGAAGTATGGCAGATGTTATTTGCACCCAGGTGACTATAGTGCGCAATGCTATTTGCACCCGGGTCTCTATAGTGAACAATGCTATTTGCACCTATGTGACTATAGTGAACAATGCTATTTGCACCCAGGTGACTATAGTGAACAATGCTATTTGCACCCGGGTGACTATAGTAAACAATGCTATTTGCACCCGGGTCTCTAGTGAACTATGCTATTTGCACCTATGTGACTATAGTGAACAATGCTATTTGCACCTATGTGACTATAGTGAACAATGCTATTTGCACTCGGGTGACTATAGTGAACAATGCTATTTGCACCTATGTGACTATAGTGAACAATGCTATTTGCACCCGGGTGACTATAGTGAACAATGCTATTTGCACCCGGGTGACTATAGTGAACAATGCTATTTGCACTCGGGTGACTATAGTGAACAATGCTATTTGCATAGGTGACTATAGTGAACAATGCTATTTGCACCCAGGTAACTATAGTGAACAATGCTATTCGCATCCGGGTGACTATAGTGAACAATGCTATTTGCACCCGGGTGTCTATAGTGAACAATGCTATTTGCATAGGTGACTATAGTGAACAATGCTATTTGCACCCAGGTGACTATAGTGAACAATGCTATTTGCACCCGGGTGACTATAGTGAACAATGCTATTTGCACCCGGGTGACTATAGTGAACAATGCTATTTGCACCCGGGTGACTATAGTGCACAATGCTATTTGCACCCGGGTGACTATAGTGAACAATGCTATTTGCACCCGGGTGACTATAGTGAACAATGCTATTTGCATAGGTGACTATAGTGAACAATGCTATTCGCATCCGGGTGACTATAGTGAACAATGCTATTTGCACCCGGGTGACTATAGTGAACAATGCTATTTGCACCCGGGTGACTATAGTGAACAATGCTATTTGCACCCGGGTGACTATAGTAAACAATGCTATTTGCATAGGTGACTATAGTGAACAATGCTATTTGCACCCGGGTGACTATAGTGAACAATGCTATTTGCACCCGGGTGACTATAGTGAACAATGCTATTTGCATAGGTGACTATAGTGAACAATGCTATTCGCATCCGGGTGACTATAGTGAACAATGCTATTTGCACCCGGGTGACTATAGTGAACAATGCTATTTGCATAGGTGACTATAGTGAACAATGCTATTCGCATCCGGGTGACTATAGTGAACAATGCTATTTGCACCCGGGTGACTATAGTGAACAATGCTATTTGCATAGGTGACTATAGTGAACAATGCTATTCGCATCCGGGTGACTATAGTGAACAATGCTATTTGCACCTATGTGACTATAGTGAACAATGCTATTTGCACCCGGGTGACTATAGTGAACAATGCTATTTGCATAGGTGACTATAGTGAACAATGCTATTTGCACCCGGGTGACTATAGTGAACAATGCTATTTGCACCCGGGTGACTATAGTGAACAATGCTATTTGCACCCAGGTAACTATAGTGAACAATGCTATTTGCACCCGGGTGACTATAGTAAACAATGCTATTTGTTGTGATAATTTCCTCTAGCTGATCCAAGAGCCTGTTAAGAGTTTATTTTGCTGATGAAGTAGGACTAATTTCTCAAAACATAATGTAAACACAAAATAACCAAATTAGCAGATTCCTGGTTTTCACTGGAGAGGAAGGCCAAATCTGTCCATCCATATATTTATCCAGATAAAAATAGCTGAGAAAAAAAAGTGCAATTAAGTAAGAAGGCCAACATCAAATTTCAACTTGTTTGAATTTATTTATTTTTGTTCATCCTATTCCTTAAATATAGGCTACAGAGCAGCATCATCTTTTTTTCTGTTGATTGTATCTTTCGTATATGTTAGTCTTTAGTGCTAAAACACTGTGAACGTAGATGTAGATACAGATGTATTTGTTTCATTTCTTTGTGAGCTTCTGTCCCACCACATGGGGATGTTTTCTGTTCAGGGTGATTACACTGTCTGTTAGTTAGCCACAAAGCCAACACACACATAATGACATCCAGCGACAAGCACTGGAGCAGCAATTAGTCCTCAATATGTGTGTTCTGTTTTTCAAAACCTCACTGCCTCTCTTTAAAAAGAATAAGAAAAATTACCTTTTAATTACATAAGGGGAAAATTAGTTTTTCACTTTGTTGTTACAAAAAGGGCCCTATACACAAACATTAACTTTACTTTACATCTATCTGTACTTAATTTACTCATTATTTTCATATGGTTTTCACCTACAGTACATCTTCCTCACGTATTTCTATTTCGTATTTTCATTCGTGTCTTCTCCTTAAAGGTTTTCAATTTGAAATATAGAGTAGGTTGCCTCCACGTGGCTCCCAAGATCACGATGACTGAGCCTGCGCCTAGCAGTTGCTAACAGCGCTAACAGTGCAAATAACAGCAACGATGCTGACAGAGCTACCAATGGTAACCTGAGGGTGCAATCTGGAGTGTGGGCTTTAAGCTTAAAGACTGCATATTTGTACGTGCATGCTATCAACTACTGATACAAATTAGGGCTGAACGATTAATCGATTTTAAATTGAAATCGCGATTTGAAATGATGCGATTATCAAATCTTTTTTTTTTTTTTTTTTGTTCTTGTGTGTCAGTCATCCACACCAATCAGAAGTGCTGTGCTCCACATGTACCAGCCATTGTTAACCAATCAGAAGTGGCCCATGATAGAAGGTGAGATTGATCCAATCACCTGCCAAGTATTTTTGAAAGTGCCTGCCCTTTCCAAATGGCTTCCAATGGAGCTTCCCTAGATGGTCTGAGTCAGGTTAGTAATGCTCCATCACATGTTCTAAATCTATTACAGGGTGAATCTTAAACTGAAGCTTGACTTTAAAGCAACCCAATGGAAGTTTCATGTAAGTTTAGTTCTTTCACTCGTAGCTCGGGCTGCGGGGGTGCTAGAGACGGGAGCATGTTGATGCGACCTTCCTAGCCGGAGATATGGCCGCATTTTACAATAAACTTCCGTTGGGTCGCTTAAAAACAAATATCGCAAATCGAATCGCAATATTTGTCAGAAAAATCGCAATTAGATTATTTTCCCAAATCGTGCAGCCCTAATACAAATACTGCATATTTGTACCTTTTTGACACATAGATAGTGACATTTGATGCTAAAACTGTGGTGTACAGGACTTGCTATCAGCTTCCGATTAAAGGACGTTGTGTGTCCATTTTTTTGCAGAAAATAAGTGACATACAGTAAGATGCTAAAAATATGCAAACTATGATCTATAAGCACGCATCAGTCCGGTTCTGCAGTGTCCTACGAAGGCTGTGCTCGAGTTTGCATGGTTGCATGCGTGCAGCTCTGAATGTATAGGCTAAATAGAATAATTGTCCCATATCACGGGATGGTTAAACATGTGAAATGGGGTGAAATACCAGCTGTTTGGACCCTGGCCAGCTGCTGCTGCTGTTGCTACCCTTTTCCCCTTTCTCTGGTCCATTTTTTCTTTTCCTGCACCCCTTATTTCCCTTCACGATTTTCCACTTTTCTATGAATTACTTCTATTTAATTTTTGCAATATGTGTCATTAGCTATCCTGCTTCCTTTTTGCCTGATCTCTCATTTGTGCAATTGCTTCCCCCCTATTAGCCTTTGATTGAAATGGTGTAAAATCCGTAATGTATGTTCACCTTCACATTGCTGGACTGATTTTAGGGTCAGAGAACATGTTGGCTGTTTTCTATAGCATGTGGATGTGTTTAAGTCTTTACTCTGTACAGTGTAAATCAGAGCCGTCACCCAGCGTGGGAAACAAATGCAAGAATCTTTGTGTGCATTTGTAGTTATTTTCTATATTGAGTGTGTTTACCTCTCGTTGTGTAATACTTGTGTGTCAGTGTGTGTGTGTGTGTATGTGTGTGTGTGTGTGTGTTTTCTACATTACAGTTGCACGGTGTAACGCAAACAAATAAAGAGCTTCCTCAGATGCCTTGTCCCCCTCCCTCCTCTCCTTCAATCATTATCCAGCATGCATGGCATTCCAGCTCACAGGAATGACAAGGAGATTGTTATTGTGGTCTCATCGCTGCATACTTGCACTTTTCTCATGCACATACACACAAACACACACACACACATACACACAACACACACACACACACACACACACACACACACACACACACACACACACACACACACACACACACACACACACACACACACACACACAGGCTTTTCAGGCCAGAGGCCCGTTCTTGTTTCCAGCTATGAAGCCAAACAATCAATCTCCATTCACTAATTTTCAGGCGAGAATGTATGAGAGATAGCGATGGAGGGAGAGGAAGTGGAGAAGAAGAAGGGAAAAACAGATCTTTTATAGAAAAGAAAAGAGAAAACAAGAAATGGAGTGTGTGAAATCTAAAGTTAGCCCAAATATGCTCGTCCTCACGTGGGAACCTTTTCCCTCCATCACACTGACCTCTTTGTTCTTGACATTTCTACCTCTGTCATTTTGCCTTTTTGCTAATGAGCTGTCTCCCTCTCTCACCCTCTCTCTCTCTCTCTCCCTCAGGTCCATGGGAAGTGTGTGTGCAGACACAACACTGCAGGTGATCACTGTGAGCGCTGCAGTCCTCTCTACAACGACCGACCCTGGCAGCCAGCTGACGGACTGACGGGCGCTCCACAGGAATGTCGGAGTAGGTCAAAGAAATACAGTTTCACCTTAGCAGAGACACTTAGAAAAATCCTAGCATATAAGTAAAAAGCCTAGCACTTTCGGAAGGGAGTAAAATATTAAGATGTGATTCCTAAATTAAGTGTTAATAAAACATGGTGTAACATAACCAAATACAACGAGAACACACAGCTAATAACAACAAAATTGCCCAAGCATCGATAAATACAGCATATTATTATATAAAATATTGTGGAGAAAGTATGAGAAACTGCAACATTTCATAATATAGAATGTAATCCTTGTTCAATCATCAAAAATGTTTGCTGAAACACACACACAGTGACATTCGGGTTGAGTGCCTTGCCCAAGGGTAGTAAACTAAACCTCTGAATGTACCAGTTTTTTCTACATACTTGGTCTGTTATTGGGACTTGAAAAGTTCACCCATTGATTCCTAAGCCAAGTCCATACAGACTGAGCTACTGCCCAATGTGTACAAAATTCCTGAAATATGCCTCATTGAAGTCGTTTAAGATTAAGTGCTTTTCACAGGCAATTCCCATATAAATAAATGGCCACTCAAAATGCCAATATCCAAACTATACGTCAACCAAAGGTGCAGTGACTTACAGTTTGTGTATATTTCCTCCCTCTCACGCAGAGTGTAAGTGTAATGGACATGCCCACAGCTGCCGTTTCGACTGGACGGCGTGGCGAGAGTCCGGCCAGCGCAGCGGGGGAGTTTGTGACTGTGTGCACAACACTGAGGGACATCAGTGTCAGAAATGCAAAGCCGGCTTCTACAGAGACCCCCAAAGACCTCAGACAGCCCCTGACTCCTGCAAACGTAAGACACATACACACAAACGCACACACACCAGATCCTGCCTGATTGAATCCCAAAATGTGCACTATATATAAGATGACTTCAGGAATTTCACTCTACATATATACATATAAAATCCAGGGATGTTGCCATGCCCTATTTCTTTTGCAAACCATGACATGTAGGACTCAGTTTAAATGTCATATAACATAATTAATCACCTCAGTGTTGACAAAGTGTTGCTTTTGTGAATCATACATTAACCTCATACACACCACACTGGCACGTCAGACGTCTTTTAAGGAATGCTGAGGACTGAGATCACAAGCCGGGACGTGCTGGATAACACTGATACGCTGATGGGCACCTGGCCCGGTGTGTGTGTGAGTGTGAGAGTGTGTGTGTGTGTGTGTGTGTGTGTGTGTGTGTGTGTGTGTGTGTGTGTGTGTGTGTGTGTGTGTGGTGTGTGTGTGTGTGTGTGTGTGTGTGTGTGTGTGTGTGTGTGTGTGTGTGTGTGTGTGTGTGTGTGTGTGTGTGTGTGTGTGTGTGTGTTGTGTGTGTGTGTGTGTGTGTGTGTGTGTGTGTGTGTGTGTGTGTGTGTGTGTGTGTGTGTGTGTGTGGTGTGTGTGTGTGTGTGTGTGTGTGTGTGTGTGTGTGTGTGTGTGTGTGTGGTGTGTGTGTGTGTGTGTGTGGTGTGTGTGTGTGTGTGTGTGTGTGTGTGTGTGTGTGTGTGTGTGTGTGTGTGTGTGTGTGTGTGTGTGTGAGACAGCAGACGGCCCACGCTCCAGCCAACGTTTATAGCATAGTTAATCATCAGATGGTGGCATTCCTACATCTTGACTCAAAGCTCAACCAACAAACTCCTGCATGTCCATCTCGGGCATGTTTTGCCATTTTTCATGCGTGACTCAGAGCTTTAGTAGCTTCAGGGTAATCATTGGTAGCAGTGTGCGTGTGCGTGTGCGTGTGCGTGTGTGTGTGTGTGTGTGTATGTGTGTGTGGCATGCTGCCCTCCGGTGATGAGACAAGTCTTAAGTAAACATGCGATAGTCATCCACAAACACAGAGCAGTGGCTACATTCCCCGTCTGATTATGTGTCTGATTTGACCAAGGTATGCAGGTATGCTGGACATGATTACTGTGTGTGTTACTGTGTGTGTGTTACTGTGTGTGTGTGTGTGTGTGTGTGTGTGTGTGTGTGTGTGTGTAGTGTGTGTGTGTGTGTGTGTGTGTGTGTGTGTGTGTGTGTGTGTGTGGTGTGTGTGTGTGTGTGTGTGTGTGTGTGGGTGTGTGTGTGTGTGCTGTGTGTGTGTGTGTGTGTGTGTATTCAGATAGCCACACGCATCGTCTGTTTGTGTGTCAATTTGCAATCAACTGTTCAAAAACATCTGGGTGGAGAACATGTTGCCCAATTGTATCACATAATCCAGGTTTCTTTCTGACTGTATACGCAAGCATGCTCCATCCACTTTCTTAAGAGGTTGCTTCATTAAAATAAGTTGCGGTAATTCTCTTAACAGAAAACCAAAATACCATTGCTGAAGAAGAAAGTGCAAAAAGATTACATAATTAAGAGTATCCATAAAAAAAACGAAATAATACCAACATATTAATAAATAATGGTAGGATAAAAGTCATCTACACTTTATGAAAAGGTCATGTGATTATCACTAAAGTCGTCCTGAGTCGAACAGGAATATCAATAGCAAGTTTCTTGTCAATCCACGCAATAGTTGTCAAGATATTTTACCTTGAACCCTGATTATCAACTTCCGGGTGCACTACAAGTCGAGTTATAGATCCCTCTTATGTGAGGGTTTTATCCTCTGGGGACCATGAATGTTTTTTACGCAAAATACCACTATGATTAATCAAATAGTTTGGACCAAAGTTGTAGATCTACCAACAATTGCCAAATGTGCCTGTGAAAACATGGCGGCTTCTATTGCAGTAGGATTGTACTAGCTCAAAGATGAATTGGATATTAAGAGCGAACAAAGAATATTTGTTTATCTTGTTTGCCAGTTTAAGACACACATTTCGTAGCAGTTTATCAAATAATAGTTGACGTAAAGATATGCCAACATGATACAGCCTTATTTCATTGCTGTTCTTCAGTATTTTATTAGTTTATTAGTATTATGTTGTTTCCCCATATTAACTTAAGACCATAAAGTTTCAACATGCCTGATAAGAGAAAACAATGCACTACCTTTTATAACAACAGAGGTGTGTTAGGGTTTATATTTCAGGGCTTGAGTGTCATGCGTGTTTGTTTTGCATCTGAAAACTCAGGTGAAAAATATGTAACTATGGAAGGCTAATGATCCTCAGTGACGGCTGATTGATAGAAAAAAGGCATGCTTTGGAAAGCCCTGAGACGAAGGTACAGGTTGTGAAATCCCGCTGACAATGGAGGAATTTCCCTCCGTCGTGAGGAACATTTTTTTCATACCAGGCTCCGAGGGGCCCTGGAAAGAAAACACTCCTGTCAAGCTTGTACACACCAAAACTCTTTAGCAGGGGGGAAAGTTACAGTGTCTGTTTATATATATATGTGTGTGTGTGTGTGTGGTGGGGGGGAGTTTGTTATCTACACTCGTTGCTCAAGCAGGTGTCTTCTTGTCATGTCTCATAAAGTTTTCATTGTTATAGCACCTGCAGCTTTCATACACAGACACACAGACACACAGACACACACACACACACACACACAGGACTCCTTGTGTAGTGACCCCTTTCAAATGCTCATAAATTCTCACGCAGATATGTAAACACACACTCTTACCAAACACAACAGCACACGTGTTTCGACTTAACATGGAACTGGGTTGGTGCTGTAATGTCGATTAATTATTGACGTGCTCATTGCTGCTTACCAAACAATAGTCGAGATTAGAGCCTGATGCGCACACACACACACACACACACACACACACACACACACACACACACACACACACACACACACACACACACACACACACACACACACACACACACACATATTATTGCTGTAGTGGTAGGGACCTTTTTTGGAATCTGTGTGTGTTATCTGTGTTATCTGTGTTTTATGCTTGTTTATAAAGTCAATACATGGGATATCTTTATTATTTTGTTGATATCGCACAGTTCAATCTTGGGATAAGGTTTATGATCTTATCTTTGTTGTCCCGGGTGATTCGTCTGATAAACTGTCTGGTTTGGTTTTCAGGAGGGTCAATGTGACATAACAAGCTGAAGACACTGTTGTGCTTTGTTCGTAATTCAAAATAGTGTAAAAAAAAAAAACGTTATTTTACAACTCTACGGGGACCACATGTTTTTTATTATTTGTATAAATGCCACATACAGCTGCAACTCACACTTATTTAGTTATGGATTAATGTGATTCATTATCTTTTGTATACAAGATGCCACATTTGCTAAACTATGGATAAAGATACTTTTTCGGTTTTTAATGATTATACTACTATAGTTACAGAGTTATAGTTCATTGGCATCTTGACATAATTGATACATTTGTGATGCACTAAAACAGGCATGAAAGTGTTACAGTTTATCTAAATGCAACTTTTCAGGAATTATTTAAAAGTTTGGAAATATTATAAATGATATTATTTCATGAACACTTAAATACTTTTAATCTGGAAAAGGTTTAATTGAGTCACAGTAAAGTATAAATGTTTAAGGTTTTAAAAACACCATGCTGAAAAACAGTCCTCTTAATTGTCCTCACTTACTTTATGATAATACTTTAGTGTCGGGTCACGTGTGAAACTTGTGAATGTAATTACGATATAGCTAACAGGTCAACTCTTGGACACAATCTACAGCACATTGGCGCTAAAAGGAATTTCTTGTGAGATTGTTTTGTCAACTGCTGTTTCCAAGGTCAAGAATTAACTTATAATCTCAGCTTTAGAGGTTTTTTCAAAAGTATGCAATCTCCAGAATGAAGTATGTGAATGTCATGTGTCATGCTTTAGTTTGAGAAAACACAACCTCCAGGACTACTACTATGACTTTTGTTATAATCCTTAGTCGAACAACAACATTGATAAAATACTTGACATACAAAAGGACCATTTGCATATTAATAAACCACCCTGTATTACTTTGAATAAGAAAATAACGTTTTTGTTCTTCTTGCATGCTTTGATGGAGATCGAAGAATCATAAAAAAAGAAGTAAAGCCTGGAGGAAATGATGTAAATGTTCCCTTTTTTTTAAACTTATTGTTCTCTGTTGAGGCATGCAGGAAAGATTGAATGTAACACAGGGTGAGAAACTGATATACAAATGGTAATTTTGGGCGTTAAGTATCCCCTCAATAATAATAAAAAAAGAGGTTAGAGTGCAGGCAGACATGCCTCGGGCCTTACAGTAAGTAGTTACAGTCATTTACTGCCAGTTGAGCTTCAAGCATCATTAAACAGCAGAGAAATGGCTCCGTAACAACACCCCCCCTTTGTTTCTCCCTCCTCGTCTTCTGCCTCTCCTTCCCCACTTCTCCCCCCCTCTTGCTCCCCTCGGGATAGGGACAGATTTATGAGGTCTGACACCTCCTCCTGCAAAGGCTCTCAGTGTTGATAACAGTAGAGAGACCGCATACAGTAGTTTTTCTCAGACTGGCAGTGGAAACATGGGTGTGTGTAAAAGTATATTGTTTTTGGAGGATGTTTAAAGAACACCATATCAGCACACAAATAGAGTGGACAAGAGGGAGGGAGAAAGCTCTGTTTGTGTGTGTGTGTGTGTGTGTGTGTGTGTGTGTGTGTGTGTGTGTGTGTGTGTGTGTGTGTGTGTGTGTGTGTGTGTGTGTGTGTGTGTGTGTGTGTGTGTGTGTGTGTGTGTGTGTGTGTGTGTGTGTGTGTGTGTGTGTGTGTGTGTGTGTGTGTGTGTGTGTGTGTGTGTGTGTGTGTGTGTGTGTGTGTGTGTGTGTGTGTGTGTGTGTCTGTGAGTGATAAGAAAAAGAGAGAGGCCTTTGTATAACATGATCCTGCAACAATACTACACACAAATAGAACAACTGATGAATGATGAAATACTTCAGTCCTGGTAATAAACAGTAGCTCAAATGACCTTTAGACTTGTTTTGTATTTTTTTCATAGATATCTAATCTTTATATGTTATTATTTCCATAAATGATTGTGTTACCTTTGTTACAATATATTTGTATCCTTACTAAGAGACTTTGTTCAAGTATTAAATATCTAAACAACAATTGGATAAAGTGCCATTACAATTATTAGAGGCTTTCATGTTCCCCAGAGGATAATTCCGAGGATGATTGTCCAATATTTAGTTTATGACCAAAATCCTGCAAAAACAATGACAATCTTAATCAAATATCTGTAGCTTTCAGAACATTTTCCTCTCAGATAAAGTACCAAAGCACTGCCTCAATGTGTAATGTAATAGAAATACAAATAAATCACAGTGTAACAGTTTGCCTCAAAATGTATGCTAATATGTCAAAATGCAACATGTGATACTTTCATAACTAAACTACTTTATTTCTCTCCTAGCATGCGGCTGTCACCCCTTGGGCTCAATGGCCTTCCACTTTGCAGACGGCTCTCTCTGCGACCCCTCCAACGGAAACTGCATCTGTAAGCCTGGAGTAGGGGGAGCCCACTGTGACAGTTGCATGGTGGGATACTGGGGCTTCCACGATTATGGCTGCCGTCCATGTGACTGTGCAGGAGACTGTGATCCATTCACTGGAGACTGTATGTTTGGGTAAGTAAAACACCTATACCTACTTATATATAGTATATATAGTATATGCAGATGACTAATGCCTTTCAATTGCAAACATTCCTGTGTGTGAGTGCTGATGCGTTAATGTGTCTGTGCAGCTCTGATCTGGAGTTAGAGGGAAACTCCAGCGAGCCGGTGAAGATTTTCAGACCCGACGAACTCTTCTCTGCCCTTCACTACTCAGGTAAGATACAGTGTGAGTGTGAGTGTGAGTGTATGTGTATGTGTATGTGTGTGTGTGTGTGTGTGTGTGTGTGTGTGTGTGTGTGTGTGTGTGTCCTCCACAGTCCAGTGACCAAGCATTAATGGTTAAGTAATGGAGTCATGATAGGACCAAAGAAGGACATCGAACAAAGGTGTGTGTGTGTGTGTGTGTAGGCATGGACAGTTTCCAAGTGTGTACTTCTCTTAGACCCCCCAACACCATCATGTAACTGCAGCTTTCTTAGGCACATTCCTCAGTGGACACACACACTGTGCTTGCATTCTTACTAGGACGCCATGCACAGTATCTGAGACCACACACACACATACACACACACGTCAGTTATGTTACGTATATTAATGTGTCCTTGTGTTTGCCACCTGCAGAGAAGTGTGAGTGCAAAGAGCAAGCACTGACCAACAGTAAACTCTTCTGCACCATGAATTATGCATACGGTAAGAATTTCATGTAAAAAGAAAAGTTACAAATCTAGCAATTTATTTCGCATTTCATTATTAATACTTGTCTCCTCTACCTGACTCATAGTCCTGAAGGTAAAAGTGCTGTCCGCCCACGATAAGGGCTCACACGCTGAGGTGGAGGTCAAAGTTCAGAAGGTGCTCAGTCAGAACACCAAGGTGAAGGTACCGCGGGGTCGGGTCACTCTTTACCCCGAGTCCTGGACCGCCCGGGGCTGCACATGCCCCATCCTCAACCCAGGTGAGAGTGACATGCTTATCTAATCCTACAGTACAGGTCAGAGGTGGTGGTCTTTACAAGACACATACCACATGTTAAGAGATTATTCGGGGAGACATGTTCCATCAATAGAGATGCAACAATTAGTCAACTGATGGATTAGTTGATCTATCGTAAGGTCATCGCCAATCTTTACGATTTGCTGATTCTCTGTGTTTATCTAAATGTAAAAGGTTTATGTTTTCCAAGATAAGATTTTTAAAGACAATTCATAACCTACTTTTCTCTAGTCTCTGACATTTTATAGACCAAATGCTTGATCTAGAACAATGATTGGCAGACTAAAAATAGTACCAGCTGTATCTGATTTTTGACATTATTTCTCAGGAGTGGAGTACCTGGTGGCGGGTCACTCGGACCGTAAGCAGGGCCGCCTCCTGGTCAACATGAAGAGCTTTGTCAAACCTTGGAAAGCCAGCTTGGGCCGCAAAGTCCTCACGCTCCTAAAGAAAGACTGCAACTGGTAGACAGCCCATTTCAAAATACTGGAGTACCAATGGACACAGGGACGACAATGCCATGGATTCTTTCTTGTCCGCCAAATGTGAGATCGGGAGCAGGTTTTAGGGGCTGAACTGAGATGATTGAAGCCCCCTTTATTTCTCCAATGAGAGCTAGTGGTGGACTGCGCCAGCTTAAAAGCATGTGGGACCTTATTTTATTGAGAGATATAATGTCTTACACATTCCTACGTAGAATTTCTTCTGCTGTTGCTGCTGCGGCTAAAGACGTTGAGGAATTCAGCGCTTTGGCCACGTGCTTTCTATTTTAAGTGACTCCCTTTGAGCGCGTTGATTAAAACTGAATCTTTTCCTCTCTGCAGCACTTTAGCCTAAGATGGACTGAGGGAAAATGGACACAAAAAGAGAGGGAGACCTATCATACACATACTAAATGACCCCCCTGACATGGAACGTGGATGGAGCATGTCTATTTTCTATGACAGTGGACACTCCTTCACACAGGAAGCAGTGTGTGTGAGTGTGTGTCTGAACAAGCCATACAAGCCACTACAGGTGGATAAATCTTAGCCAGTCCAGGTGTGCCTGTGTTGAAGAGTGAATGGATTTGACCCAAAACGTGAATGTATTTGCCTGTTTTTGCAAATGTGTGTGTGTGAGACAGAAAGAGAGTGTTAGATTGAAGAAGAATACTATGAGCACGGTCCAGATTCAGTCCAGCTCTTAAGCTTTTCTGTAGGTTTGTGTACACTTTCAACAACAGCCGTTCCAATGTTGATGATGTAACGTCATGTATATTGATTCATCTCATATTACACTAATTTCAGAAAATCCTTGTTATTCCTTCCTTTTGTGCTCTTGTACAGTATTATTTGTATATATCTATATAAATATTATGTTCATCTTTCTCCCTCTGTTTAATTGTTTTTGTATGTGGTAATATTAAAGGATAATTACAGCTTTGGTCTTATTTTCACAGTTTTGGCTATCATTTCTTTCAGGTAGGAAAATGTTTGAATTAATAAAGTAGTTGCTGTGATATGGGAACAACTTAATATTACTTGAATGAAGTTCAATGGACCAAGAAAGACAACTGGTTTGACAATAAACAAGTTGTAGGCAAGACAACAGTTAAGCCAGACTTCGTAAAATAATTTAATTTGAAAGTTAAACTAAATGTAATACCCAAAAGGTCTGCTATATTTGCTTACTGGACAGTAAGGTGAACCAGGAAGTCAGTTAGTCAGCAAACTATGATGGGAACCTGTCAAAGGACCGTCATTGTACTAAAAAAATCGTCATTTTCAATAAATGATGTGTACCTTAAGTGTCTCAGTTTTACCTCCAATTAGTCAGCATTTAACTTGACGAGTACTACATTAACAGAAACAAACAAATGATGGCCAAAACTACAAAACTGACACCCACGCTCTTATGAACCCAAAGTATCCTTTAATAGGCGCATCTGTCTTTGTTATTGAAACCTTGTTGCTTCCCAGACACACTCACATAAACTCCAGCTCTTTAACTATCTAGGCCTTGAAATACTTCGCATAAATTGGACAAAAATATCCTTATCACCCTGCTCTTTCCCACACACACACAAACGCACTCTCTTCACGCGTCTCTTCTGATTAAGTCATCCATCACTCTAACTCCCAAAACACTCTCCCCTACATTCACACAGCGCCACAGAATGTAGACCATAACAGAGAGGCCGGGCCGAGCGCACACACTCTGTTTGGGTTTGGTCGGCCTGCGTGTTTCCCACCGCCTCTTCGCCCACTCGCCGTGACGTGGTTGGCTGAGAGGTGTGGACACATTCCTGGCGCGTCGACCCGCGGGTCAAAGGTCATTCACCTGTCTGCCGGCCTCGCCTCCTCTACAGGAGGTGAGCGGGATAGGATGTTATTTCCCAGCCGGATAACCTCCTGTACCCATGTTTCCTTGTTCACGGCCCATTCACAGATTAGTGGCAGAGGGGTCACGGCTACTCCTTGTTTCTGCCAAGCTGTTTCCAGACAGCAGGGGAAGGGTGAGCGAGTGCACAGGGAAAGAGGAATGTGTCTGGAGGGAATGCCTCAGTGCTAGATGAGGGAAGTAACTAAGTACATTTACTTGTACTTTAGGTTCTTAGGTAGGCCTAGTTTGTCTGTTTGTTTGTCTTTTAGTCTTTCAATTCATGCCCAACTTACTTGAAACTTTGTTGATGGGTGCATTAGCCAAGGAAGAACCAAATGAAATATAGATCCAACTTTGATTAACATTAAAAGATAAGGCTTCAATGAAAGGGTTTCAAAATATTCAAAAAATTCATAGGACAACTGAGAAAATGTACATGAACGCTCCTTTAGAGTTTTGATTTCGGGCCTCCTGTCGAAGTTCAAATGTCTGTAACCGGAAACTTGGTAAAGAAATTGCAATTTATTGAACGTTCACTTCACTACTGTACTGCAACATTTTTTTAAAGTTGGAGGATGAAGATAAATGATTGGTAGCAAAAATTAAACAATAACTAAAAGAGTAAATAAGACAGAAATATACTGCATGAGTTATTAGCAGTTCCAACAAAGTGAGATTTCCAATGTGGTTGAATAGTAAAGGTCCAATCATCTTATATATCCCAAAATAGAATATATAAAACTGTATATTAAGTAGTTCGAACTAGATTCACCTTCAGCAGCTTAAACAGTAACATCCTGTATATATCAATCAGAGGGCCAAACAATTGTACTACATTTAGCTGCTAATACTTATGTACGTTTACTAAAGTAGAATGTTACATTGTTGTATTTTGACTTAAGTAAAGTGCTCAAGTACTCTTTCTACTAACTGCTCAGTGCAGTCCTTCAGGTTAGTCGCAGGAACTGGCCTTGAAGCGTAGACGCAACAGGGAGTTGTATCAAACACATGAACTGCTGCAGCTGAACCCTGGACCTCCCCTCTCCCTCTCTCTCCCTCACTCTCTCTGTCTCTCTAGCTCGCTCGCCCATTCTCATTGTCCCCAGATTGACTGGCCATTCTCAGCCTGTGATGGAGATGTCCTGTGGGGGGTTGCATGGTGTGGGAAACTACTTGATGAATGAGTGTTTGGCATGCTTGCAATGATGCATAGTTTGCTCCAGTATAGCTTATGTGTGTGTGTGTATGTGTGTTATTGTAGTCATAAATGCATGTGTGTTTATACGAGTGTGTGTGCCTGTATGAACACAATGCCCCGCTTGTGTTGCTATAGAATGGAGTTATGGCCTTTGTCCTGTCAGCATTCTTGTGTTGCTATTGGCCATGGAGTGCATGGCAGCTCCCGCAGGCTTGGGGACAATAACCCTCCCCACCTTCCCCTCCTCTCGTCACAATGCGCTCTTCGGCAGCACCCATTACCCTGAGACAGACGCCCCCAAACTGGCCTGCTATGGGTGTCACACAGCTCCCAGCACCCAAAGGTCCCAAGGCAGGCAGAGGGAGGAAAATACAAAGGCAAAATAAATGTGAAAAAAATGGGAATTTATTTTCAGGAGTTTGCTAAGAGGAAGTGTGTGCTGGATAAGTGAGTCATGTGGTCAGTATTATCCCATCAGCTGTGATTCACTTACTGAGGAAATGAGGAGATTATGGTGTATAGGAAACCAGACTGAAAGTCCTTCACTGAGGTCCTTCACCTAAAAATATCCATCTCAGTCCTCTACTATTGAAGCTCTTTGGTTTTTACATAAAGGGTTACTTTGTTATCTTTCCTCCTGTTCTCTTCCCATGTTTGTATGTCAAAGTGGCTTATAGGAACACCTTTCTCTAAATTGATTGGGCAATCGCGCTGCAACTTTCAAGACAATTCCAAATTGTCAAATGACATCCACTAAAAGTTGTTATCTTTGCCACTGACAGGCTCAGATCTGACATTGCAGCATTCTCTTTTCACTTAATATTGAGCCATGACATTGAAAATATTTCAGATAACAACAAACTACACTTTCTATAGGCCCAAAACAACAAACTCTGACAACAGGCAATCCTCTCTCCAACTATCACTCACGGTTCCACATGTATCTTCTGGCAACAGGTCCAATGTCACACTAACAAACAGGTCAAGTGAACGGTATAAAAAAGGGTTTCATTTCTCAGTAAAGACTTTTCTTTAATGTTGTCAGACCCTTGTAAAATAATTCTGAGCCGGTTGGTTGAAAAAATAAGTACTTTTATTGGACGTACATTACCAGTTCTGAATTCCCCATTGGATTGCATTGCATTCCGTTTCTATGCTGCAGCACTCTCCCTCAATACTGGACCAATTTCATAAATGGTTGTGCCCATTAGTCACTTAGATACAAAAACATTTGAAAATAGTATCCAGGTTGAAAAATACCAAAGTCACCCTTTAATTGCTCGCAAAAACACACATGCATGCACACACGCATCAGGAATGTTTCTGTACCTGAGAATCATCAGAGCAAGCCAGAACAGGGAGGGTGGTGTTGACATAGCAGAGTGATTGAGACGCTACTGCTGATTATTATACAGCCATGAAAACAAGGACCTGATGTCATCGAGGCATTATGAACCACCGTATGCATCTACGTGACAACAGACAGACGGTTGGGTAGGGAAAACAGGACCTCATGACAAGCCGGGACACTCTTTTAAAAACAGATTAAACATCAGGAGCTGTCGAGTAGCCAAAGCTAACATTCAGCCTCACCAGGCTGCAAATCTGAGAGCAGGAATTACATGAGATAAGTTTGTTTACAGGCAAAATATAGCATTTTCCCCTAGCTCCATTCACTAGCACCTGTGTTTTCACCCGCCACAAAGCCAACAGCATATCCAGCTGCGTTTACACCATGAAACCACCGGAATGGCTTCCTTTCACTGACATTATCAAACCAACGTCCAATGCAAACAGGTTGCAGTGGTGTATGTTTCTTTGTGTGTGTTTATGGATTTCTATTCTTAAGAGGTCCAGGTGACAAACCCTTTGCATAAGGCTCAAGTTTAGGGTTTAGATGAGGGTTTATTTACAATTTATGTGTTAGGTTCTCTTTCTCTAACTTTACCTCTCAAGCAAACAGTACTATCTCTCTAATCATTCATGAGAATGATGATGGATTTATTTGTATTGTTTGTCTCGATTCAAACATTGTTGTCACTACCCGGAACATAACCATGGTTGCCAGTAGAAAGAGCCACCTGACATCAGCAAATGTAAAAGATTAAGTTTGTTATTTGGAAGTAGAATTATTCCTTTTCTTGCAGAGATGACAATAAAACAATGACGTTTTTACCAGCAGCAGGTTAGCTTAGCTTAGCTTAGCACAATGACTTGCGGTAGAAACAGCACACCTGTCTTGGCCAAAGTCTGCCTATTACCACTTCTAAAGATCACAAATCGGAGCCTCAATTAACCAAGAGATAAGATTATTAAGGGGTCAACACTTGTTAGGTAAATGTATAATGGAAAAATGTTTGATATTATGTTAAAAATAGTTGCTGCATATAACATGTGATGTTTGTTATTGCACAAATAAAATAAAAAAGATAAGTGACTTCCTGAGGCCTGTACCACGAAGCCGGTTCAACATAACCTGGATATGTTTGAGTTAGCCGGTTGGCCTAATCCAAAACATACGCGCTCTCGCTAAGCGGTCCTACGACGTGGGTTATCAAGTGGATCGCTCAAGCCAGCCGTGTCTAGTTAGGTGCACGTTCACATGAAAGGGGTGGTATTTGGAGCATTCGACCAATAACAAAAATGGACAAGCGTACTGACAGCGCAGCGCGTCATACTTCCTGAATGAAAAGTCAACTATAATATTAGACAAATATGAAGACGTTAAACTTTAAACTTCCATGACTTTATCCAGGATAAAAGCCACATAGCTGGTAAAAGAAAAAGTGTTTGAATGCGTACATTAACAGGTTTATGATATCACTGCTAAGACACGAGTGGATCTGACTTTAATTACATTTGACTCGAGTGTTTCGTCAACTTAATGTGTTGCTTAAAATAATACTTCTGCATACAGTATGTGACACTGTGAGTGTTGCACGGCCAGATACGGCTCAAGAAGCTGACTCAGATAAGGAAATATATGATACATTATGATGTGATATGATATGAATGATAATGGGACATATCGACGTCTGCACTCACAGTGCCGCGGACTGTACTTAATGTTACTCTGATCCAGTTACTTATGTTGTGGCAGATATTTAAGTAAGCTTTCTTAACGCTAATGTTATAATAGTCAGATTGCTCTGAAGATGGGAGGTGATATTCAATTAATTTTCACGTTCACACAGTCGGTGATTTTTGCCGGCCGTCTTTCCTGCAACGGCAGTTTTTCTGTATTTCCTTTCTCCTGTAATATGACTTGATCGCTTTAAACTCCGCACACTGAGCTCTGATTGGTCAGCAGGCGGTGCTTTCACTGAGTTGATCTCTTAGCCTGCAACCTAACCTGCTCCGGACCAGGTTAGCCGCTCAGCATAAGTTACCATGGAGATCTAGCCCGCTAAAAAGAGAACCAGCGTCGTAGGACCGGAAACCCAGAGTTTTCCCTGAAGTTAGCCCGCTAAGCGAAAATCCGGCTTCGTAGTACAGGCCTCTGGAGTCTGAATTGCTGGGAGAAAAACAAAGTAAGCATAGTTCTCAAAATCTCCAACTATAACTTAAGCCCCGGCCACACGAGTACGATAACGGTCGTATCTGCTACAGTTCACTATCAGATAGACGGTTCGGCCACACGAGGCCGACATGGAAACGCAGAAAACAATAACGATAACGATAACGGGTCCCAAGGTGGGTAGATCTGCAAACGAAACGCTCTGGGGGGGGCAAACGGCTCCGTGTTTACGCCTATACGATCATGTCCTGATAACGATGACGCAATAGCCCCGCCTCTCCCCACCTCTCCTGCTCAGAGATCAGCTGCTGGGCTGTCAGAAGAGGGGGAGGAAAAGAGAGGCTCCGTTTTTTATTATTATATTATTATATAGAGTCGTTATTCATTTGTTTTAAAGCTCAATAAATAACAAAGAAGACCTTTGACCGGCACTTTTCTAATTTTGTCCGGAAGATTTAAACTTTAACGGACATGTTGACCGGCGAAAAAAAATCGAACTGAAACTCTGCTGCACGGTTCCCTCGTTCCTTGGAAGAGGCGGAGAGGTGGGTGTTTTTCATCTGCTGGTGGACTACCGGAGAGATATACAGCAGGAGCAAACGCTTGCCTCGGGGAGGGAGAAAAAGAGCCAGAGCGTCCACAGCGGAGAATAAACAGAAGGGCAACCATGGCAACCATGCGCGGGAAGTCTTCTTCGCTGCTTTTGTGGCAGACTACAGCGCCACTTACAGGCCTGGCATATGTACTACAGCGTCTCCAGCGCTTTCGAGCGGTCTCGTGTGAACGGACACGTTTCTGGTGCCTGTTGCGTGTGGACGGAAGACTTTTTTGATAACGATTGCGGTCCGTTTGCGTTATCGTCCTCGTGTGGCCGGGGCTTTAGCATCGAGATAAAGCAATAAAAGAGTTTAAAGGTGCTTTGTAGGAGCAAATAGAAGTGATATATTTTCTTTTACCGGAATTAGGTAAAAGATATACATAACAACATCCCTTATCAAAAACATGACTGGGTATCTGACTAATGTATTCCCTGGTACTGTATCATAATTACGTCCTCACAAACTCATGGGAAAATATCTTTCCCCTAGACTCATGCTCATTGTTTACTGTTTGGTGCTGGGAGGGTAGCTTACCCCAGTTTTTATCGGTTTGTTTGCTGAAAACAAGGTTTCATGAGAATAGCAACATTGAGCAAGGCCGAGGTGCATCATTGAGTAATATTTCTCTAAGACTTTGTATCTAGAATTTTTTATTTCTATATTTTATTTGATGGTAAACAAAAAAATATTGTTCAACGCAGGTGAATCAACATTAGGTCCTAAGAGGTATTGTAACAGAAAAATGTGTGTTTATGAGATGAAAAGAGGACAAGGAGGGAGAGAGGGAGGGTGAGTTAGCAAGTGTGGACACGACGGCGTTGAAGGCCCGGGGACACAGAGGGAGAAAAACATTAGAGGTGATTCACAGGCATCGCATGGCACATCAACACATACCTCTTTCTCTAAGTCACTCACAAACGCCCACTAATCTCTCTCACACACACACCTCTGCTCTTTTGAAACTCACATACACATAAAAGTACACACATATTACCCCACTCCCGCTGTTCAGCAGGGGGTTAAGAAGGCTTGTATGGATCAGTTCCCCACTAATCAGTACATGAGAGGGATTCTTCACATGCAGTCGGATTGCGTGTGTTGAGATTACAGTAAAAGTCCTCCTTCAGGCGCAATTTCCTGAATTAAAAAAACACTCCTCTCTTTATTCTCTCATAAAGATCTATGTGAAGTTACTATAATTTGTATGTGGATTCACAATGTGATATAATAACAACAAACAAGTTTTTTTCTCCATGATGATGAAATATTATTGAACAATATATGACATTGCAATTATATTTTCCCCTGTTATGTTTTCGTAGTTAAGACTTAATTCCAAACAATAGACATTAAGGTGTTTTTGTCTTGTAAAAACTCTGGCTTAGTCAGATAGGATCTACACAGAGTGCCACCAGCCCCCATTCACCAGCATGAAGTGCTACACCTGCATCCTACACCAGCACACAGGACATAAAATACCTCCTAAAGGTACAACCAAATAGCCTTAGGGCAGGAGGATAGTACACACACACTTCTCCATGAAAGAAGGGGCTTCTCAGGGTTAAAGCAGAAAGTATTCAGAAATGTTACTTGAGAAATAGTACCACCCCTTAAAATATTATTTTGTAAGAAAAAATCCCAAAGTAAACAAAATATACTTAAAGTAGCAAAATACTTTACTTGTGTTATGCATAATGACACATTTGACGCTGTTTTAATATTCTATATTTTATATCACTACACTAATAACATGTTAGAATTATACAGCTATTTTTGAGAAGTAATTGAATCTATAACATATATTGTGTACTGTAATTACTAGATTGAAATGAGATAAGAGATGTGAGGAAGTTTACTTTATAAATGATTAATATGAGATGGTTATTCTTGACTGTAAGGAATGTACTTACATTTGATAGAAAATGATTTAACAGTTCCCTCTAGTGGTATAAAATGGCACTACTTCGTCAGGGCAAAGCAGTGATTTAATCCTTTAATGAAAAAGTGACAATTTTCTAGTGTCATTAAGTAGTGTTTGCTTGTTCTTTTTATTTATCCATGTTCCCTACTTTGTTTGTAGGTTTTGATTTGCTTAGTGCTTTGTATTGTTATATAGTGCTACATGTTTATCTATTTATCTCATTATATTCTCTTAATACATTTGTTTAATACTGTTGGATAAACTTGTCACATACTTCAATCCTATTTTGTTTATATTTGTAAGTAAATAAAGCTATATTTTATTTATGTCATACCATTTTATTTACCATCTTATTGTAATTTAAAAGTTGTATGAAGAGTGCAATACATTCATTGTACTGTTGAAGCTGTAATGCTCTTCATCCTGCAAATGACTTAAGACTGAAACTGAACACTATGATAAATAAAAATAAAAGTAACAATTTACAGTAGCCTATGTCACCTAAATAGTTAACGCCAAACAGGACTGACAACAACAATTAAAATGACAGTATAATTCAACTCTAAATACACATTGTGATCACCATCATCTTCCACATCTCCATCCTCATCAACAATCACAACAACACAACAACAACAACAACAACAACGTCACGTCTCGAGGACGCGCTTGAGCCTACACCACGCTACGGGGACTGACAAGATGGCGATCATTTTAGAAACAGAGGAGTTACTGCCGTGAAGGAGAGGCTCGGTATGCTGCTTTCTTTTCTCTCACAGTCATTCATATTTAACATGCTATAAGTGTAGCTGATGATACGTTAGTTGACGTTCAAACACGTCCGGTCGGCTGGTTTTAAAGCCTAGCCGGCCGCTGGGAGCTGACCTCCGGTTAACGCATGAACTTGTTAGGATTATCTCAGTTAGCCTGGCAGGCTAATGCTAACTAGCATGCTAGACTAATGTTAGCAGGGCAGCTAGGGCTCACTAACCTCTTTTATAAATACAAGAAAAACGGTAGATTTGACATGCGTGGCTCTTGTGTTGTAAAACGTCACGTATGTGTTTTTTGAATTTTTTTATTATCGTCCTGTGAGGGTTGTAAGTGGTTTGGGTGGCATTTATGTATGATTTGAATGTTTTGTCATAGCAACTCCTCTTAGCTGTATTAATTACATGCTAGCAGTAGCTAGCTTACCTTAGCTGGAGAGGCAACGTTACCTAAAAGTTGGGCTGTGATGACTGTCCTTATTACGCGTCTCGTTTTGCCGTTTTGTCGTGCACATTGTTGAAATGCTCAACAAGCGCACCATGTTTTGTTGAGACTTAGTGCAACTGTAGTAACGTGAGTCTGGGGTGATCAGGCACTTAAGACCATGCAGTCACAAGGACAACCAGGCTAAGCGCGCTAACTGGCTGGTAAAACTTCGGTGACATTAGAAACTCTGGAAACTCTCCCAAGAGTCTTCGCACTGTTTGCAATATAACACGTTCACTATTTATGAAGTGGATTACTTTATTTGTAAAGCTCTGTTGTGATAACTGTAACTCACACTGAGGGTAATCCTTGGCGATGTTATGATGTGGACATTGAAGTTACTAATAAAAGTAGTGCCACGTTATTCTGCACCTTGGTTGCTTATCCGGATACCACCTAACGGATCAGTCTGACACTATTTTATGCTCTGTGATTTAGCATTGTTTATGTTAGTTATCAACTCAACGGGGTCTGTCTGCAGTAGCTTGAAACACTCAAGACATCCCAAACTGTTGAACATTTACCGACTCAATACGCCCACTCGCACTAAAATAACTAACACCTAAGTTGATCTGAACCCCTTGTTTGGCGTTTTAAATGCTAAATGAAATGAAGCGATTGGAACAATGAAGTAGAAGGACATTATATTTCTCAATTAAGAAACCTCATGTTTCCTTGTCCTCCCATCACCATTACTTTCTCTATTTTCTAAAATGTGCACATTGCTTTCCCTGGTTTTCACTCATTCATTTCCCCAGCAAAGGTAGTTCTGGACTGCACCCTTTTGCAAACTCAGTCACCCTTTTGTTGGATAATCTTACTTCTTTGACCTCAGTGGGGGGGTTGATAGGGCTCAGCCCACTCAAGGATCCCAACTTGTTCAACTGAGGTACACCAACCCCCGGAGATGTGAAAAGAAGCCATAAGAGCTTGAGAGAAGACGGATTGTTGGGTTGCCTCAAAACCAAAGTAAAACCCCTTGTTTAAACTGTGTTTTGGGGCAACTCTCCCACAGTCAGAAGATCAAAAAAGACTGGGATTTTAGCTGTATCTTATTTGCCGTTTATAAGCAGTAGATTACTGTAAAACAATTTGATAGAGGAAAATATGTTTATACCCCTGTGATGTCACCTTGGCAAATATCACTGTGCCTGCTGAGTTTGTATTTCTTTATTTTTATATGAGAGTGACTATCTCTGGAAAAGCTCAAAGGGTTGTGTTGTTTATAGTGTCACATCCAGGTTCAATAGCCCATGTTAACTAGCACACCTTTCTGTTTTCAGTGGATGCGCCTGGCAACACTCACTGCAGTCATGTTTATCAACCAGTTATTTAACTGTTGGCCCGTGTTACTGTTGAAATGTTAAAGTCTGCGTGCCACCTGGCAGTTTGCCGCAGTTTGCTGAGTGTCGCTATTGCCTCATAAAAAAGACTCATTGGAGGTTAGACATATTGACATTTAGATACTTTTGTGTTTCCGCCAAAATTATCAGATGTCATTATCATTTATAAATACACCTTTTTAAAATCCTATGGGTTAACTCAAACTTAATAGGGCCAATCCTTCCCGGGGATGGAAACACTTTTATCAACCAAAACTGTCATTTTGTTATTGGGACAGCAAAAATTCACTTGGAATGTTATTTTAGGACAAAAATCTTGCTGTAAGGGTAGGTGTTCAAAAGAGTACAAAAAGATAATTATGAGGAACTTACACTGCTAAAGAAAATCCGATTTGAAACACAGTTCCATGTATCTATTTTCTTCTATTCATCTTGACTAACTCTGTTCTCTATCCCCTTTAGAGGCCACCATGCCCTAGGAGGGTCCCTTTTCTCAGCTCACCATGATCACCATGGTGATATGAAGCCACTGTGAAACGTTGAAACACACATAGACTCACACACAGACGGTCAGGTTCTGACTGACACGGCCCGCCATCCAGCTGGGCAGGCCGGCGTGTGTAATGGACAGGTGTAAGCATGTGGGGCGGCTGCGACTAGCCCCGGATCACTCCATCCTCAACCCCCAGAAGTGGCACTGCGTAGACTGCAACACCAGCGAGTCTATATGGGCCTGCCTGGGCTGCGCTCATGTGGCGTGCGGGCGCTACATAGAGGAACACGCTCTGCAGCACTTTCAGCAGCACCACCACCCGCTGGCTATGGAAATTAATGAACTTTACGTTTTTTGTTACTTGTGTGACGACTATGTCCTGAATGACAACACCACTGGAGACCTGAAGCTGCTTCGTAGTACGCTCAGCGCCATCCAGAGCCAGCGCTATGAGGTAACCACACGTAGTGGGCGCACACTCCGCTCTGCTAGCGCCGCCGCTGATGCCCTCATGCCATCAGGTGCTCGGGAGCTGCAACTGAGGGACGAGGACAGGATGTTTACTGCGCTCTGGCATCGTCGCAGGGCGCTTATGGGACGTGTTTTTCGCTTCTGGTTTGCAATGACTGAATGTGGGAAGAAAAGAGAGGAAGAAGAGCGAAAGAGGGATGAGGATGAAGAGCAGAAAAGGGAGGCAAGGGAGAGGAGGAAGGCTACAAAGAGAAAGCTACTGGTGGAGCTGGAGAATGCTCCTCTCAGGAAGAGTCGGCGGTTACATCGGAAGAGCCAGCGTGTAACACAAGCTCCAGTTGCAGCACCAACCACTCGGAGTGCACGCAGAAAGACAAAAACCCCAGTGCCCACGTCTGTCACCCGCAGGCCAAGGACTCAGAGCCCTGCCATGGCTACACCTAAGAAAGGTGGGCGGACAAAAAAGGTCCAACCACCTCCCAAAACTAGGAGCCGTTCTTCTGCCAACAGATCTAAGCCCAAATCAGCAACCCCCCGTTCTGCCCAAACACCTGTTCGCTGCAGGCAGAGTACCAAACAAGGTGGCTCACCTTTTAAGCGACGCCCCACAGTCACTCCTGGAGTGACGGGCCTGAGGAATTTAGGCAACACCTGTTATATGAACTCCATCCTACAGGTGCTGAGCCACCTCCATTTCTTCAGGGAGTGCTTTCTGCGCCTTGATCTGACGCAGGCACTGGAGCTGCTCGCATCCGCCGTCCACGGCCAACTGACGGAGAAAGCCTCGTCCCAGTCCACGCTGATCCAAAGGAGGGGATTCCAGGCCAGCTCAGGATCTGGGGCAGGGCTGAGCGGCGGGGCCTCACGGACCCGCAGCATGGAGCTGATCCAACCCAAAGAGCCCAGCTCGAAGCACATCTCTCTCTGCCACGAGCTGCACACCTTGTTCCAGGTTATGTGGTCTGGCAAGTGGGCGCTGGTATCGCCTTTTGCCATGCTCCACTCAGTGTGGCAGCTGATCCCGGCGTTCAGGGGCTACGCCCAGCAGGACGCTCAGGAGTTCCTGTGTGAGCTGCTGGACAAGGTGCAGCACGAGCTGGAGAGCACTGGCAAGCACACGACCACTGCTGGGGTCCCCCAGAAACGACTCATTAAGCAGGTGCTTAGTGTGGTCAACACCATCTTTCATGGTCAGCTCCTCAGCCAGGTACGACACATGCATGCACTAAAACACAGAATCACCCGCAATCACTTTCACATAACCATTAACTAACTGAGCAATGGTCACAAGCTTCACCTGACTCACTCACCATGATGTCTGCACACCAGGTTTATTATAGTACACAAAATACTGTTGTGAACTAAAAGTAAATTAAGAAAGAATAAAGTGAATAGGAAAATATTAACAGTTGTAATATAATTTATTTCATTATTTAGCTATTACATCACTATCAAGAAAGAGTCTACCGCATGAATTTCCCTCATTAGTTTACCAGTCTTTAAATTCTAGGAGCTTCACAATGAATCACTGTTTTTTCATATGCAACCTAGTCTTGTTAAATGGAATAACAAGAACATGATTAAAATATTTTAGTAGATCAAATAAATATATTAAAAACAGAACTTAATCTTTCTGTAAAGCTGAAAATAAACTTAGAGAAAAATCACTCTTAAAGCTAAATAAAATGAAAAGTAAATTAATATTCCAAGCTATGATATCCCTGCCGCACCAATGAACCTACTCAGATCTACCCACACACTCCATTGATAATTCAACAGCCTTCATCAGCGCTCACTGAAATGCATAATTCAGATTAAAACAGCCTTGATGGATTCATCACTTCAAATCTCTCACTGCAGTCAAATTCTACTATGTTGTTTTTTATGGGCTGAGTGTAATTGTAATAGTTTAGCATTTACAGATGCGTGAGAAGCTGATGACAATATTTGTATGTATACATAATAATATAACAAGTTCAACATCACTTTACTGATAGATGAGAAATGGAGGGAGTCGGTACGAGGAAATTAGAATAATGACTACTTGTGGAGGCTAAGCACACACTCTGACACCTGCTCTTGCTGAATAGAGGGCTGTGTAAGGTTTCGGGTTTCTTGGCAATGTGGCTAATCACCACTTCTGTTTTCATGTTTTTACATACAATATAAAAAGGGACAGGAAGCAGCAGATGGGATAAGCAGGACAGTTGGAACAATTAGGGTTAGAATAATATGTATAACATATTTATTTGCCTCTCTCTCAAATGTAGGTGACTTGCCTGGCCTGCGACCACCGCTCAAACACTGTGGAGCCTTTTTGGGATCTGTCTCTGGAGTTCCCCGAGCGCTATCACAGGAATAGCAGGGAGTCGGCTGCTCAGGCTTCGTGCCATTTAACTGAAATGCTGGCCAAGTTCACAGAAACTGAAGCGCTGGAGGGAAACATCTACGCCTGTGAGCAGTGTAACTGTGAGTTAAAATAATGTCAACATACACACACTATCTTTTAACACATAGACTTTTACATCTGGCGTTAATATGAATCTCAGAGCTAGACTGTGGTTAGGTCTGACTTCTTTATTACCTACCCAATCCAGTTGTTGTATTATGCTAGTCCGGCAGTGGCTCAGTCAGTAGGGGCTTGGACTGAGAGCTGTAGGGCTGCCGGTTCAAGTCCCCGACCAGACCTAAAATATGGAGTGTGGACTGCTACTTGGAGAGGTCCCAGTTTTTCCTATGAAATCCTTAATATTTAAGGGGAAATCCCATATGCCCAAATACTAAATATATGATATGATATGGTGTTTGATTCCTATTACCTTATTATTAGTTGAATATCAAAACAGTCTTCAAATATTTTCTATGGAAGCCAACTATATGTTTTTACCACATATTAAGACTTAACATCAATTGGAACTAGTGTTACGGTGTTTTTCCATATCTAAAGATAGTCTTTGTTTACAACTACAAAATATTTACTAGAAAAACATACCAATGGCCAAAAGAGAGGTATGAGAATAAAAAAAAAAACTGTATGATGGAAACTTGCTGCCATAGAATTTCCAGCTGTGCAAGACTGAATGAATGTCCTGAGTTTGTCCTAGCATGCATAGTTGTTCGTCACATGAACGAAGACAAGCTGATGTGAAACTGAGTAGAGTTTGCATTGCATGTCAATCATTCCTCTTGTTTTCAGCTGCTAGGCGGCGGTCCTCCTCCAAACCACTGCTCCTGACTGAAGCAAAAAAACAGCTGATGGTCCACAAACTGCCTCAGGTCCTGCGGCTTCACCTCAAACGCTTCAGGTAGGATTTTAAAGAGTCATTCAACCTCTGTAGCCAAATATGTATTAATCAATAGTATTTTTCTCCATATAACCCAGCTGTAATTCATCCTTTTAGACTACTGTTTGAAGCAGACTAATGGTTCATTAGCTGATGTGCTCGCTGTCTTGTGATTGGTCCTCAGGTGGTCTGGCCGTAACCACCGGGAGAAGATCGGAGTCCACGTCCGCTTCGACCAGCTTTTAAACATGGAGCTCTACTGCTGCAGAGAGCCATCGCCCAAAGGGGCTTCCTGCTCCAGTCCCAGTAGCCCCAGTAGTCCCAGCAGCCCCAGCTCCACAGGCTCGCCAAGCCCCAAGCACTTCGTTTACGACCTCTCCGCTGTGGTGATGCATCATGGGAAGGGCTTTGGCTCTGGTCATTACACATCCTACTGCTACAACACAGAAGGAGGTAAGATCTTCTCTCGGGAATGTAGGACTTTAGTCTTTGAGAATTTTACCCCTCTCCTATTGCTCGTAATGTTTTATTTTGTTTACCTACAATGCCCCATAAAATGCACTTGCTGTTCTTTCACCTCTTAAAAGAATCTTAGTATGTTTGTTAATGTGCTACTGCCTAACCAATCAATCCTTATTTAGCCCAATATCAAAAGACTACACATTTGTGCTACACACCCTCAGACCCTAAGAAGAAAAACTCCCAGAGAAAACCCCACATTTAACGAGGAAACTAAGACTGACTTATGGAAGATTATTTTTCTGGAATCCAAATCAAAAGCAAGATATTAATCCATGACATTGAACATCATTTAAATTTGTAAAAGGCTTCACATTTTGTTCTATAAAGCAACAAACTGAAAACACCGGCAATCCTTTTTCCCACTCTCACTAATGTTTTGACCAATGCCTTCTGCCTGACATGTCACCATTACAAATAGATTAAAAAAAGAAGAGTTAAAGAAAAACATTACATTTCTCTGTAGGGGATTATAATTAGGGATGCTCCGATCGCCAATGTTGGGGCCGATCGCCGATCGCCGGAATCAGTATCGGCCGATACCGATCGCCAATCCGATCGAGTGGGCGGGGCCTAAATGGAAGATTTAAACATCACTTTAAATCTTCCATTTAAAGTGATGTTTAAAACTCAGTTAATGGGGCTCATTCACTGGCGCTTCCACAAACAACAATCAACTTAATTATTACATTCAAATTATGTATATTATTCAAGTTTACATTCACTTTGGATAATACCACGGGAGAAAAGAGCGGAAGGGCTCTCTCCCTCTCTCTCTCCCTCTCTCTCCCCCTCTCTCCCTCTCCTGACAGCCCGCCAGTATCGTCTCATGCAGCTCGCTGATCCAGTAATGTGTGAGGCCGACAGTGAAGAATAAACATATTTATAACTAGTTTAGCTTGTTCCAGAGGTAGATAAAATAGCTAAGTGTGTTAGGTCTAACTCTTGTGTGTGTTTCGCTCCGCTCACCGGTCCGTCACAGCGGGTGGAGCTGCAGGATTTCTGCTTCACACACACGTTGCATACCGCTATTTTACTGTCTTTTTCGGACACCTTAAAATAATGCCAGACCGGTGAAGCCATTTTGGCGAGCTTGTTTTGCCGCGTACAGAGAAAAGTGTCATGTATTTTACGTCATGCGATCGGCCCTCGCGATCGGCATGTTTAGAGAGCACCGATCGATCGGTAGAGAGTGAGTATCGGCAGATCTCAATCGGTGACCGATCGATCGGAGCATCCCTAATTATAATGTCAGATACTTATAATAACAACCTCAGCCTGTCAGCACAAACAAATGCACTTTTAGTGGACATAAATTAAAAGTGTACTTCTGCTTTAAAGATGACATTGCAGCCATTAAATTGTTTTCCTTGTTTTCTCCTGCAGGCTTCTGGGTTCACTGTAATGACTCCAAGCTGAATGTGTGTTCAGTGGAGGAGGTCTGTCGTGCTCAGGCCTACATCCTCTTTTACACACAGCGAGTAACTCAGGACAAAGACCGGCCGCTATAGGATCACAATCCCCCCCTCCTCAGCGATATCAGCACAGCCCCAGTTGTGGTTCTTGTTCCTCTCTCTCTTTGGGCATTTTATATCCTTGAGGATTGGTCTTTTAAGTCTAGTTTTAAATAAGACAAAAACATTTCTTAAAATCACGGTTCTGCTTTGTGAACTTCTTGTATATGGTGTTAATATGTAGGTATTTTAAAAAAAAGATTACGTTTTTGATTTGTGTACAGTTGTATTTTATAAAGAAGAGTATCAGCCAAGATGTGTCTCAGTAGCAGCAACCAGACTCAAAGTGTCCTCCACAGGTCGCACATACAGGTGTATTCACGTGTCTGCCTGTCTGCGTTCGGTGACTTGTTGATTGTAAATGCTGTTGAAATGTCACTTTAGATAGTCGTTACATTACTGGATGTAAGTTGTTCACTTACGAGAAATGGCCTCCCTGTGTTTGACAGCTAAATGATGATGAGTGTTAGCAAAGACGGCTGTATTTCCTGCCAGAAATGTCTACAGAATACGCTGTCCGCATTGTTTTTTACTCTGTTTATCGTCAAAGATCTGTACACAAGAAGGGCAGGGTTTATTTTTCTCTCTGAAGTATTCCTGGGTCTGTCAGGGACAGTGGCGAGCCGTGACTTTTATACCTAGGCCCTCTGACCCCCTATTACGTCACAGCGTATACTTCAGCGGAATATCAAAGCAGCGGCCCGGGGTGCAAAAACGCATCAATGACAGCGACCCTCTACCACACAAAACAACACCATAAACACCTATCATGACAGGGCACCCACAGCCAAGTAACAATTACAAATGAATGAAGTCGGCACGGCGGCCCACATTGAAAATGACTTAGGCCTACCTGATGATCAAATCACTTAAACACAAAGTCCATCCTCCTGTCCTTTTGGATGAAGCACTTGATGGCGGGGTCATGCAGCTGATCCTTTGCCACTCCAATTTATCATTGTAACTCAATCTTGAAAATGACTCTGTTAATAATTTCACAACGATGTCATCACTATCACTGACATGAGCCATCATGAACGAACTTATGCTAATCATAAATCTATCGATCATAAATCTATCGATTAGATTTATGATTCGAAAATAATAAAAGTAGGGTAGACATGTGGATATTATCCGGCTGAACAAAACGTGCATTTATCTAACAGGTTCGTTCCACAGACCTTATTTCGAGCTATTTTCCAAAATCCTATGGAGAAATCCCATTGCTTTTTTGTCGAGGGAACCCGAGCGCAGCTTACTTCCGGGCTTTAGGAACTTGTCATAAAGTCCGCGAAAATAAAGCCCACCCATTTAGAGGGAAGATATGATTGGTCAATTGTACTGTCATTTCACATTACTCTCATTGAGTTACTATAGCTGGCCCTCTGTGAATGTACACCAACAAGCTCTCCCGTCTTCACAGTAACTCGCAGAGACGGCATTTAACCCTTCACATTCCAACAGAAACTGAACAGGCAGATTCGAAGGATTTATTTATTTGGAAATGTTATTTTAAATACAATTAAATCAACTTATTTCGGTAAAACTAATGAAAAATATAACAACAAAAAAATATAAAAAATAATATTTAAAAGAAAATGTTTTTTTAATGTTTTCAAATATTATTTTTTAGAATATCTTAGGCCCTCACAGAGGGTCTAGAGGGCCCTGACGGCTCGCCACTGGTCAGGGAAAACTGGCAGACCTCAAGCCAAAGCCTTGGGGGAAGTGTGTGGAAAAACCTCAGCATTTCCAAAATGGTTCAACATTTGCTGGGTGTTCCCCCCCCCCCCCCTTATTTTAAGTTTCCAAAGGGATTGCTTTATTTGGCTAAATGCTGCCACCTCTCTGCTCCAGAATGTAATTGTCTTCAGAGCGTGAACCATCCATGAACTGGTGTACTAGAAGTGCCCTTTCGTTGGTGAATATATTTTTATACTTCCAATAAATCCAGCAAAGTGGAATCTGAACACCTACAGTCCCACCCAAACCAGCATTTCGATAATGAATGTATTTTTATACAATCCTTCTCAGAGTTTTTATTTTAGAAGAGGCCATTGACTGTTTTTGAGAGTTTTATACCACCTGATTCTTCAACGCCACCAGCTATGACTGTTCCATCTCTATTGAGTAGTTGCATGTTCATACTGATTTCCATTTACCATCTGTTCAGTAAAATATCAGGATTTAACCGGATTTGGACATTTATCTCCATAATGGAGAGAATTGTACAAAAAAAGGGTATTCTCCACCTGAACCATTTATTCAATGCACACTTTGTATTGTTTTATTTTTGTGACATGTTGTTGGAAAATGTTTTTGCTACTACTTCATGAATGTGTGAATGGGTGTGTGTACATTTATGGAAGTTATACTATGCAAATTGTTACCTCAATTTTGTTCTAGAAAATTACCTCAATAAATGAGAATATTTTTTCATTTTTCTACAAAAGATGCTGGTTTGGTCTTGTTCTCATTTTGTATAGGAAGAGAGCCAAGGGAAGTTTATTTGTTAGCCCACAATCTCAAATTCATATTTTAAAGTAGTTTGCCTTTTTCATAATTTCATTAAAATGAGCTTTATTGGCATGAACGTTTTCCAAAGCATTAAACAAACTACAGAAGAATATATTTTGAGAAATCATGAATGCATTTAAAATCTGGGAACAGTTGCCATTGTCAAAATTAATGTTTCTTAATTCATTGAATATTTCCCATTTTATGGCGCACAATACCTTTTTGTTGTTGAGAAAGTAGTTAATTCTCTGTATTTTAAGTTATTAGTTTCCTACTTTAAAACCATTAGCCTACAGTAGGGGAGACCAGGGACAGTTGCAACACTTTTTGGGCTTTTCCCCAATAAGTAAAAAACCATTTACAATAGGATAGCCATTTTGCTATATTATACATTATCAATATGTCAGCTACTGAAACAATGTATTTAAGATGTTTTTATGAAATAAGTACAGGTTGGAAAATGTATTTTAAAAAAAAACCTCAACTGTTACAACTGTCCTTGTGTACAGGGACAGTTGTAGCACATGCCAGGCACGGTTGTAACATGTTAATAACGGTTACCTTTTTTCACACTAGCTACATGACAACAAATAGGGAAAGCTGTCAAATTCTAAGGCAACAAGATTTGAATGGAGTTTCACACATCCTCCAACAAACAATGAACAGGATAACAGATAACACACACACAGCATCATCCTCTGTGAAGGATTAAACTGTTCTCTGAGAGGTGCTTCTACCTTAATTATGTAGACCTACCTCCTTTGAGCTGAGACCATAGTATAAATCGGCTGCCTCCATCAGATAGTCTCTCAAAAGCATCTCCTGCTCTGTTGAGAACACCTTCTTTGGTGTCCAGTAGCCTACTCTTGGGGGTGTTTGTGATCCCTGACTCTCCAACCTCAGCCTCTTTGTATGGAACCGGTACAGGGTGACATGGCATATATCCAGGGACTTTGCCACTTCCCTGAATGATTTGCCCTTCTCAACTTCATTTGAGGCCCTTTGCAGCAGAGCAAGTGGCACTCCCCTGTCTGTCTTCCTCTTTCTGACATTTGGCATACTGTAAACACACACACACACACACACTTTAGGCCTACTGTACAGTATTTTATTCTGTTTATTTTTACAGGGACAATGCACACCAATCAACAATACAACTGTATGCTTGAATGAACAATTGATCATTCAAGAAAATGTGCCATCATTGTAAATGTGCCATGTTACAACCGTCCCGTTACAACCGTCCCAGGACCACCAGTCTTGCTTTCACCCCCTGTGAACCTGCCTGATTGCTAGCTTGACCCATATTTAGCTAGTTATATTTGTAGCTTACAAAACAGTGATTCTAATAATACTAGTTTGGATTCCTAGACATTTGAACTCAAGACAGTATCCAAAAAATACATCATATAATTTTAGTTAATATTTTACCTCAGAAACACACTTTTGCTGATATCTTACGCGAGAAATTCAAACGTGGCTCCTTTTTTCTCAGCGATCTTACCATCTAACTGCGCATGTGCAGAGTGAGTTTCATCACTCTAGCTTGTTTGTGATTGGAGATATTGAAGGTGTTACAACGTTACAACCAACCCGTATTGCAACTGTACCTGGTCTCCCCTACTATAGGCTGCTACATTGAAAGGAAACGTAAACAAAGTGCGTTACTCACGGTTTGTTGTCCAGTTGATAAATGAGAAGAAAACGTTACGCTGTAACAACTAAAATACGGGTGAAATATACACTAAAACTTTAATCTTTCCTTATTAATAAGTAACTTATTTTAAACCCAGTTGAAAATATTCCCGCTCCTTTGACGTCCTCAAGATGCACGCGCGGTGCACAGCTGGTACCATGGATGCATAATAATAAGGCTGGTACTAATGGACGTCATCACCGAGTGCCAGCAACATCCTATATTTTGTTTTTGGTCGTTACATTTTTGGTTTGTAACACTAAAGCTTACTTAATTGAGTAATTAAAAAAGAAATCGACTTTTCTCCTCCTAACTCTTATAACATTTGTATAAGCACATAAACTGTATAGGAAAATAGTATACAAAACACGAACAAGGAAAACATTAATAAACAAAACAATCATTACTCAAAATAAAAGATAAATTATTAATTATTAATGGTAATTAAATTAATTGGTTTATTTAAACCCCTGAAAACAGAAATGAAAAAACTAGCCCTGTGACCATTTTTGCCTAATATAACTGAAATCTTCTCTATAAAGTCATTAATAAATGGCATCTTTCTTTTTCATTACGTCAGAACATTGGACCTTTCTGACACATTTGAGCTCTGTAAATCAATTTTCTTTCAGTGTCTATCAGTCATAGTTGTTAATATTCTGTTCTAAGAATGAAAAGATATGCAACATGGTGAATATGATTTAATTGTTTAATAACGTGACGTGGGCTGCACAATATGATCATTTTGAATAAAACGATAGTACTTGAAATAAATAAACATATATTCAAACACTATCCAGCACCAGGAAAAGAAAGGCAGACATGATCACATTTAAAACCCAACATACTTACAAATTAATCTGAACACAAAAGGCACCAATAAAAAAAAGTTATGTATTATAAAGTGCAGCCTTCTAAAGATACTCTTTCATATAGCTCCAAAAAATAGCTAGAGTTCAACATCGCGCAAGTTGACATCATGATGACGTGGAAAAAAAACAATATAGTATGCAGCCCTATAAGTGATGGAACACTTTATATTCATAGATTTTCAGGACATTACTGCATTCTTCCTGGTGCTGTGTAATGTTCCTGAAAGCCATTTGTAGTTAGTCCACTTGATAGTTAGAGCGAGTCACGAATGCGACCCTCTCTTAAATTGACAAGAGCGGCACATATTCTCAGAACTTTGTCTATTTTAGCAGCCACGGTACGCGGGACAACCTGCGATAATATTCTGTAAACTTTCAGTCGTCTGATCGCTCTTTCAGCATGAACTCTTACAGATGCCATTTGTCTAGTGCATATCAACCATGTCTCAGTTGGCTGCCCACATTTTTTGGTGTAAAACGGCTTGGCCAAGTCAACATCATGCTTTAACAGCACATCTTCAATAGGAAACCCTCGAACTGCCATGACCTCATCTCCAGGCATCAGGTAGTTTAATATTCCTGAGTTCTTTGTTATGAATGTGTCACTGCATTGACCTCCATACGCCGCAGAGATGAACATGATTAGTCCACACGGGGCATAAGCTACCTGGTATTTCATTGTGTTGAGTGAATCAAGGTTACGGGGTTTTTGTAAAAGGATCTCATTGCAGTCTAAAATACAAGTTAAGTCAGGGAAATCCTCAATGAATTCTTCGGGCAGGTTTTCTTCAATAGTTTCTTTTGGAAGCCACGGAATCAGAGGTCGCAAAACCTCATCCAGTTTGTCAATCCAATAGGGGATTATTTCGCGAGCCATGCTTTGGGATATATGAAACTGTTTGCTAAGATCAGCCATCCCACGGTTGGTCCTTAGTTTCATTAGGGTCAGAAGAACTTGATCTCGCACAGACAGTGTAAATGGATTGGAGGAGTGTCCTTCCAGTGTTGACACGAGGATGTTAAATGTCTCTAGAGATACACCAGTGTAGAGCAAAGCATCCGAGTCGTTTTGTAGCATGAAGTACCCAATCTCGTCACACTGAGTCGTCTGATCATGCACATCCTTAACACCGACACTCTTGGTATAATCATGATCCAGTTGTGAAGGGTCCTGCCACTGTGTGTGAGCTGAGCAACGCTGTGGGGCAGGGGGATCTTCAGAACTTAAGATGCCAGCAGCATCTGAGATGGTCATAGCGAAGTCCACTGAGCAGCCTGACAAACACAATGTAAAAGAGATGACAAAACATAAGTGTCGACACAACCTGAATACAATAAGTTTCCCAAAGGTAGGACTATTCAAGAGCTCTTAGGCTAGATTGGTGAAAAAAAGTAAATAATAGAATAGCTTTAAATCATTAAAAGTGAATGGAATTGTGGATCGACAGAAAAATCATCAACAGAAATAAATTGCATTAATTAATAGACATGATCGCATTCAATATCAGCCTGCACAGCATACCAGTTTTTACATCTATAGTATATAAGGTTATATGCAAAATAATCAGTGGTGGAAGATGTATTTAATTAAGTAAAAGTAACTTAGTATCATAAAACCTAAATAGAGAAAGTCCTACATTCGAAATCTCTCTTAGGTAAAAAAATACAAAAGTATAATCATCAAAATGTTCGTAAGGTATCAAATGTAAAGGACAGAAAAAAGTAGCATATTGCAGTTTTGACATTATGAGGTGGATATTATGGTTGCATTAAGAACGATTTAACTGTTGTTGACAAAGTTCTGATACACAAATGATTGATTCTACGACTTTCTTAGCTGTTATTAATATAGTGGATAATTAATTAAAAATAAATTCAGTGTAAAATACAGTTTTTCACCTTACAAAACTAATATAATTTACTGTATTACCGTTTACTTTCCGACCATTTTCACCGTCTTGATGAACATTCATGCAGGAATCAGCAGGTCGAGACTTTTTCTCTCGGACTCCCCGGACTACTATCCTCCTCTTCGGTGATGGAGGCAGGTCATTCCCCAGGAAGAGCTCTGGGTCCGGGTGCAGCACTGTGGGTCTCTTATCGACGAAGTGGAAGGAGCAAACGTACACTCTCTTCGGGCGTCGTTTGAGATTCAGAGCCGCGAGCCACGCCGCCTCTCTTTCCTCCTTCCGCGGCATGGTGTGCATGAAGTAGCGCGCGGGGCACGGACATTGGTGCCTAAGTTTTTCATGACCTAAACAAAACGTTTCTGCAAATTCCTTCAATTTCTGTGAATTGTTGCGGCAACCATGGACGGAACATGTAGACCCTGAGCTCATTTTCAAAAAAGCTTATTAGCTAGTTTAAAGTTGTTTTAAAGTTAATCTCGGTTTGTTGTTTTTCTGCTCGCTGCATGCTGGCCCGTTACCGGATGCAGATAACAGGCGGCTTCTTCTTCTATGGTTTTACTGGCGGACTGCAACGCAACGTTCAAGGTGCATGCTGCCACTTCACCTCGGAACAGAGAGTGGTGCAAAAAGTACCCAGATGCTTAACTTAAATACTTGTGATTATTGTCCATATAAATCCAGAACATGTAGAAAATGAGTTGTTAAATGTATTTTGTATTTATGTCTGCGCATTGCACTTATCTAATTAGCCTGTAGCATGTTTTCTAGCCATGTTAACACAGAGGCTGTGCAGCCACCTTAGAACATAGAAATGCATTCATATACTGTATAATTATATTGCAAGCAAAACCCTTTACTTTACCTAATTTCTGAATGCGTTTCCTCTGTAGAAATGTTGATTCAAACCGGAGATGAAAGACTATTTTCTAGTTGCAGTATATAATACATTTAACCTCCTAGCTTTTTCTAGACTTAGTTGCTGATGTCTTCATTTGGCATCGATTGCTACAAAATAAATCAACACAGCAAATAATCCTGTAGTTCTGTATGTGTTCAGACAATGAGTTCAAATACATAATGTCTGCACTGTTAACTAGAGGGGTTCCCAAACTTTTCAGCCCGTGACTCCCAAAATAGGGGGGGGGGGGGGGGGGGGGGGGGGGGGGGGGGGGGGGGGGGGTGCTAGTGAATTCATTTATTCATCTCCACAATGGAGCAAGCTTAAAGGGGACCTATCATGCAAAATGCACTTTTGTATGTCTTTATACATGAATATGTGTCCCCGGTGTTCCAGGGAACTCACCAAGTGTCAGAAAACACAACCCTCTCTCTTTTCCTCCATACCCAAATCTCTAAAAACGGGGCTGCAACGGATCTGAGACAGACTGATCCAGATTTGAACATTTCTCTGACGTCAGGACGGAGGAGCTGACCTATCAGGGGAATGAGAGGTTGCCGTGGCATGGTAACACAACGCTTGTAACTCGGCCCCCTCCTTTGCAGGGGGGCGTGGTCAGCTGCAGCGCATGCAAAGACAGGGTGGAGGAAAGCACAATAGAGCGAAATGAGGCATGGCTAAAATGCATGATCTGTTTGGTATTTTGAAAAAGAAAACGTATAAATATACCTTATATAGGTATGGCCCTACAATATATTATTCAAATATAGCATGATAGGTCCACTTTAAGTTTCACTTTCGATTGCATGATATAGCCCAGCGCAACACCTACCATTTTCAGGTGATTTGTAATCTGTTCTAGAAAAACGATGTTTTTTTTTTTTTCAAGAAGCATATAGACCAAACAATGGATGTATGTTATGAACATTTATCCATGCTGAAAGTAGATTTAGATGTGTTAGGAGTGAGATAGATTATTATGTAATATATGCATCCGATGAAGCATTGCATGGAGTCTGTTGATGATCAGAGGCTGTTGTTGGGGCTGCATAAAGTTTTTTTATTTTTGTTTTGTAGGCAGACCATGCAGGCCTCAGAGAGTTAAACTTGGGCCTGCGACCATAGTTTTACTGTATTTTGTTTTAAAAATCCACAGCAGAGGTTTGTGTCATAGCCTACTATGCGGTGTATTTTGCATATCTCTCAGTAGCCAACGATCTGTGAGTCTGTTGGCTCGGACATAAACTCCGTAATAAATGTAGTCTACATTTCATAAGAGGTGTAAACCCTGAGAGCATTTTAAATCGCATTTGAACTAAATGCTTATATAATCTGTAGTTGTATTTGTATTGTTCATTTATTGTGTGAACGAGGCGATGTAGGGAAGGTTAAGCTGTCATTATTAGGCTGTTATGTACTGTTGGAGTGGTGAGCAGGCCTATTGTTTTTTGGATATTTGTGGAGTTAGGTGGTCCGTGAGTGTTTTTTTATTGGTTAAGTGGTCCTTGGTATGAAAAAGTTTGAGAAACACTGCGCTTGTGGATTGTCAACGGGGGAGCCTCGCTGCGGGGAAATTATAGATGGCTAGTCCGCCCCTGAAAAATGTCTATGCACACTTTATTAATAATATATATTTTTTTTAATTTTAATTTTGTAATCATCTCGCGACCCCTACTTTAGGAACCCCTGAGATAATGCAAGCAAGTTAAAGAGGATATGTGATGGGAATTTATCACTATTTTGTTACAGTTTAAATACTCATAACAAATGAAAACTACGTAAACAATACATGTATAATCACTAATTGCTGCTTAAATCTGAACCAATAATCTATGGTGTGAAACTACTGCCTTGAGAAATGATCAATTAAGATAGTTTTAATAAACATAGAAAAGCTGCTTTGACAAACAAAAGTTAATAGCTTTATGATTAGTATTGAGCTTTCTCATCTCACTCAAAGGAAAAGATTAGAGTAGATTTCTTATGATGAGAGACAGAACCTCACTGAGCAAAATCATTTTAATATTTTTTTTTTCATACAAAAACCTTTTCAGGGAGTTCAAACTGAAGCATTTTATAATTGAGGAACAAACTGTGGCAGCAAACATTTCAAAGATATTTAAAAAATATCAAAGAAACGAAGATGAAACGGGCCAGAGTGCAGAGTTCCCTCCCGGTGTGACAGAAGCAAAACATAAAGCTGCAGATGCAGGGTGAACATTTATTAAACACCACCAGAGCTTTAAATGTTAGGAGTTGTCTGTTTGCAGAGATTTCATGGCCATGCATTGGCCTAACCACTTCTTTAACCCATCAGTAGCATTTGTGCTTAATTTAACTCGAGCACTAAAGTACTGGAGGCTAAGAGTGGAGCCATAGAAAATGTTGAAAATAAAAAGGGAGGTATACCGTCTCTTTAATACTGGGGGGGCACTGAGCAGCAGCTTAAATAAAGGTTTGACAGTTCTTTTGTAAAATGACATCTGCAGGAAAGAATACTTCCCCAGACAGAACGTGTTGGCTTGTTTACGATTTCTTTAGCTGTGGGTGATGATAGAAAACTCAGAAAGCCAGTCTTTCTTCCTTGCAAGCTGCGAGTAGTGCATTGAACATTTGGCATCCCTCAGAGCTGCTCCGAGACGACCACATCCTGATCTAGAAGTTTTCTTTTGTTTCTCTGGAGGAGGAGCTGCTAACGGGGAGGGGACATGGGGTGTGTGTGGTGCTGTTGCAGGGTGGGGTCATCAGTAGTCGTCTCCCCGGCTCACCACCTCCTTGCAGGTGGGCCTGAGCAGGATGGTGTGCTCGAACTGAGCGGTGTAGCAGCCCTTGGTGTCGCAGAGAGGGGGGTAGGGGTCCACGATGCCCAGGTCGCACAGATTCTTCAGGGCCATCAGGTACTTGCTCTCTCCGTGGCGGTCCAGCCAGCGCCGGCAGAACGCCAACGTGCCGAAGTTCTCGTTGATGACGTTCAGAAGGTGCTTTGCTCTGGGGAGCCTAGAGAGGGAGAAAACATCTCTTATTTTAGAACATGATTTAAACATCACGGGACTCTGTTACATTGTTTTAGATGATGGTCCTAGTGACCTCTTTGAACTAGGCAATGTGACCCGTGTTTTTCTTATTTGCATTTGGTGTGAATATTCTGAAATTTGAGGCAAGTTTGCCTTTTTAATTAGTTAAGGGTTAATAGATATTCGAAAAAGGCATTTATTAATCTTGAGGGGTTGTATCAGACGGTCAACAGTATACTAGCATTAAATAATAGCCAGATGTTTTTGTTCAGGAACGCACCATGAATGCAGATTCTTACCTGATGGGAACGTGTCCGACGTCAAAGTTCTTCATGTAGTGAGAGCACTCCATGTCGTCGTGCACCATTCCTTTACCTGTGCTGCCAAATGTCTCAATGGCATAGACTTCTCCTTCCTACATGGTGCAAACAAACTATTAACAACAGGAAGACTGCATTTATTTTATAATGCTTCATTTGAACATTCAAGGCTTTACTCTCATAGATACAGAAATAATAAACATTCCTAAAAAAAGGCAAAGATCTGAGCCATTACATCCAAACATGTAGTGAAGTGATGAAGATAATATAAAACTCGCCTCCATCCTAGTTGCTTCTCCTCCTTTAACGATGGGCACAGTCTTTCCAGCGTGTATTCTGTACTGACCGATTGAGTGACCGTTCAGGTTTCGGATCGGCTTAACTGGGGAAAAAAAAAGGTTCTCAAATTAATAAACAAGAAATGTGGTAAATAATATATATATATATATATATATATATATTGCTGCGTGCATTAATTAAGATCAGGGGGTTTAACTATTTATAGAAAGTAATTTAGACTTTTCTTATTTCACTAGCTGTTCATAATGACTTTGATTATATATATTATTAAGATGCTATTTTTAATGCTGAAACAGGAGAAAGAAAAAAGGAAAAACAAAGAAACATAACGTTGGGATGGTTATTTAAAATTAAAATGTTTTTTCGGTTTGTAGACACGATGTAGAAGTATGAGACTTTATTATCAGATAAATAACATTAAAAGGACTGTTTGGAATACTGACCAAAGTGTGTTCACAGTAATTGAGTGTGTAATGAGAAGGTACCTTGGTATGTTTTGCCATCAAGCTCCACCTCATATGACTCCATCACCTCCTGAATGGCCTCTCCAACATCACACAGACGCACATCAATACCAGCGTTCTGCAACAAACAAACATGAAATCATGAGCTCCAGGTCAAAACAGATAAAAACATCAGAGTGAGGTGCGTTTGTGTTCGTCATACTTTAATTCCAGTATTGGTAGCATCTTTCACTGCCTCCAGCAGCTTGTCATACTTTGGATTAAATGTGACAGTGAAGGCACAGTCAATGATCCGCCCTGAGAGTACACAAAGAAGAAAGAAAACATGTTTTAGTTGACGTTTTCTAAGTTTAGTTTTAGTATTCAAACATCAGCAGAATATCAGCAGAGCAGATGGAAGATGTCGTGTTGGCCTCTTTTTAAGCATTGACAAGTGTGTTCAAAAGAAAAAGCCACATTTTCCAATACCTTTGTCAATTTTGTCTGAAGAAAAATGTAATGATACAAAATGATATTTTTTATCTCAATATATTGAAGTAAGCAGCCTACAGTTTGTAACAGCATAACATGACTTATATGGACATGAGATCACAGCTAGATAACCTTAAGAGTGACTGATGTTCCAATTTTTATTTTACCAAAAGGATATACATCTTGTCTTAAGTTGCATCACTGGTACTTAACCTGTTAAGCCCCGAGCCTGTTTTTCAGGCCTCAGGCTCGAAAATGACATTCCCAGAACAAATGACCATAACTTCTAAAAGGGGTAAATTAATAATCTTTTTTCTCAAAGCAATGATAAACTTGTGAGTTGGATGTAGAAAAGTCAGAATCAATATAGAATGTTTTTATTTTAAAGTAAATTCAGATTGAACATAGTAAAAAAATGTAAATTATAGTGTCCGTCCCAAAAAGAAAACATTACTTGTAGTGAAACCACCCTTGAATGATGGGATGGTAGACTAAAAGCTTTAGGAATCCAAACTATAAGATAAAATAAGTACCCTGTATCAAGATTGATGCAAAACAAGTGACATCTGGCCTTTTTAGAGAGGTTTAGAAAAAAGAAACCACTTCTGGGGTCATTTGGGTGCATTTTCCATATCTCTGGCGCCCCTTGGTCGATTTTGATGATTGACACCTCTTTTTAACAGTTAGAGCCAATAGAATCGAGGGGAAGTTCCTAAAATCCATCTAAACATTACCCATTGGTGAATGAGTGATGCGTAGCCAGAATGCCCAAAACCGGAAGCTGTCATACACTCTCGTAGCAGCTAATATGAAATCTCCGTTATTGACATAAATATGAAGATGGATTATCAGTAATCATTTCAAAGTGACACAGACACATTGGATTCATTTATGGATTAACCTTCAGCAGCGTTTTTATCGTTTTAATGCCATTGAACACAACTTTTGATCAGAACAACAGCATAGGTAAGACGTTTTTAGCCGTTTTGGCTCCGTAAAGCTAATTTTGTTGTTGTTTGTTGTCGTTTCGCCGCGAGTTCTGATCGCTCAGTGATACTTATATGTCTGGAATCTGTGGAATCTCAGCTTGCTAATCGATATCTTGTTTGTGCAGATCCGATAAGTAATAAGGGTATTTTACCGTGAGTTCTGTGCTAAGTGCGTTAGCATTTTTCCGCTCAGGGCTAATTCAGAGCCTTTGTTATTACCCTTTTGTTTCATTTAGCTAAAAATGGTTAATATTGTCTGATAGCTGAGTTTCTTCCCGTTAAGTGGGTATGACACATTCATAGTTTATTAAAGGTTAAGAAGCCCTCAGACGCTGTTTCTTGCAAGATGTTGCGTCATGTTTAACTGGTTAAATTCAAATCATTGTGCACTTACAACAACGATAAAACTTGAAAATGATTACCAACTCAAACCATCGTGATGAACTACCCATTAGTACCAAGCTTTAAGAGTCTGACAATTGATTTCCATTCTGTACACTAATGAATGAAAAACCATTAGCTACAAGTAAGTGTAAACCTTAAGCCACAGCTGAAAAGTCTTTCCATAATGGATTCAGAGTGCATCACTTATCATCATCAGCACAAAGTGTAACTCAAGCAGCACTTAGTTCCCGCGGTACCGTTGATGTGTGTGCCGAAGTCGATCTTGCAGACGTCGTCGTACTGCAGCACGGTGGTGTCTCCGGCGTTGGGGGTGTAGTGGGCAGCACAATGGTTCAGGGAGCAGCCGGTGGGGAAGGCCAGGCCGGCGTTCAGACGGTCCTCTTTGATCGTCTTACGGGAACAGTCCTCCAACCGCTCACTGGGGGAGGGAGGGGAGATCAATTAGAAGTGGAAATAAAGAAATATTCATTGGGGAAATTAGCGAAAGATGCAGCAGCTTGGTTCTCCCAATGTTGAACATACAAAAGGCTTTGGCTAAATACAAGGTGAGGTCTCTCTTTAGATAAAACTGACACAAATAGCTTAAATGCCACAGCTGCAGTTTTAACTTTTAGCAGTGCTGGCAATACAAACACTCAAAATATTAAAGAATGTTGGCGTAAACGATTAAGTTGAAGAGCCCAGTCTCACCAGATTTCAATCATGGTCATGCCAGGCTTCATGAAGCCGCGGACGTGCTGCCGGACCTGTCTGTGGGCCTCGGCCGCCTGCCTGAAGTCGTTCCACACCTCCTCGTTGGCTTTGTCCATAACCCTCTTCTCCTCACTGGTCGTACGCCACGCTGCACTGCGACTGAGAGGAGAACACAACAACTCATTAGTTTTAGGCCTCAAGAGAAGAAGATGGCTTTATTAGAAGTGGAGCATTGCTGGACAGTCAGAGGGGAAAGTAAACATAATAACACTGCAGGCAGGAAATTATTTTACAACATAATAAAAAAACAACACTCCTGACACCTCCGGCCCATATCATCTGACCAAGGTCACCGAGTTCATCTGCACAGAAGCACACTGTAGCTTTGTACACAGTTCCAACTCAATCACAACCAGTTTTACATTTACATTTGATAATTGAACATGTGTAAGCTGTTTAAAAAAATAGAAGTGACCTGCATCACAGATTCATAAACGGCTGTATATTAAAAATTGTAGTGATGATTTTTGAAGAACTTTTTTTTTTTTTTTTTTTTAAATGACCGGCAATGACTAGCCTCGGATTTTGTTATGAAGGAGCACAATGTACGTGAAAAATGCTTTAAAGGAAGATAAAAGAGGGAAAAGAGAGATAAACAATACAAATGGAGAAAGCACAATAGTGTACAAGAGTCAAAACTGCAAGTGAAATGTATAAAATCAAGAAAAAGAAGGAAATTGGCCCCAATACTTATAGAGATGTGTGTGTGTGCTATTCTTACCCATCCTGTAAGGTGGGGTATTCACACTCCTGTCCAATGGGGAACACTCCGCTTGGAAACAACTCACAGATGGGAACAGATGGAGGATCAGTCTGAGTTTTGGCTGGGAAGAAAAGACAAAACTTCATCTTGGGAAAGTAGTTATTCGTTTCGACTGTTAGAATATAGAAGAGTGAGGGATTTTCTTCACAGCACTGCAGCATTAAATAAAGCTTAACTCCAAACATATTTTTCTGCAGCATTGACTAATTTAAATGTGGTCAACTTACGTCCTTTCTTCTTCTTTTTCTTCTTCTTCTTTTTCCCTGCTGAGTTTTCTCCATCCTCTCCATCTGTTTGATTGAAGATATGTCAGTTACGCGAACCACCAAGTGTAAAGCTCACGTGATGCATGAATATATTGTTTTAGTAGGAAGATGATGCGTGTGTTATCAGGTGAATTAGACAATCACCTTCCTCGCCATCCTCCTCTTTCTCTTTGTCTTCTATCGCCTGCTTCTCCAGCTGTTTGCTCACATCGACGACTCCATCAACCTCCGCAACTGCAGCAGCAAAAAGATCATCAACAACGAGTACAAACAAACATCAAGTTACAGCAGCTTGTGTAAATCAAAGTTGAAACAAGGAAAATCCCAGTAATAAAACCTTGGAATAAAAATAGACAATATTGAATGTATTGTGGAGAATCTTTTGTGCATTAATTACTGCTCAAAGTGGCAGCTTCTTTAACTAACCATTATGGATTTAACGTGTAACTTAAAAGGAGTCAAACTCAGCAAAACATGGCTGATTCAGCTGCAAAAGGGTGAGCTTACATAGATGACACGACACAAAACATGTCCCTTCAGCCCAAAATGCAACGCATCTCTCAGGTTTTTTAAAGGGTGTAGTACTCCCTGCAAAAGGAAGATAAGAACTGAGACAGCATCCCAATATTGTTTTTAACAGTCAAGTATTTTATAGATTAAAAAATAATCATTAAGTTTAAAGAATGTCAGAAAACAGTGACATTTCACTTTAATTTAGTTAAAGGTCCCATGTCATGGCCATTTCTACTGATCATAATTCCATTGTTGAGGTATACTAAACATTGGTCTCTGGGGCAGCATAGACAGGTCTTTTCTGTGTTAGAGTTGTACTCGCTACAGGGTGTACTTTGAGGGTTTGTGACTTTGCAGACCGTTTACATGCATAGAAAGCTACATAACACACAAGGGGACGGGTAATAACCGGAAAAGCATGACATGGGACCTTTAATCAAAGTCCAAGGTAATTTCTTAAAAAATGTCTTGTTTTGTCATTCCTACACCCAAAGATAAAGAGTTGAATGTGATATAAAAACAAAGAAAAGCTTAAGTTATCCATATATGTCATAGGCGATAGATTTATTTGTCGATTAAGCAATTATTTTTCCGACGGCAAATAGGTTTTTAGGTAAGTATTATTTCAAAAATATTTAGTTATATAACAAAAGCATTTACAAAATATTATTAAAATTGTTTTAAATGTTCCTGGGGTTTTTTCTGTAAGCTCTGCACATTAAACATTTTTGTAATATATGTCTATATAGCAGGTCCTTTAATTGAGTTTGCTCTGTAAGTGTGTTGTTATCAAAGGTGTGTACATTTTGATGTGGTTGATTTATTTAGAGATTCATCGGGTGAAGTATGACATAACAACTCTGGCAAACGAGGAATTACGAAACAGAAAAACTTGGCTGAGGCTCATTGCGGTCGGCGAGGAAAACAGTAACTAAAAAGGGTCAGTTAGATAAGCAGATGATTGTGTTATCATCAAAACAAGCAGTTAAGTACTTTGAGTATCAGCAGTGTTAAAAATCACGGTTCCTGACAGAAGCCCGGCGTGTTTTATAAGGCCTGACAGCAACACACCACCCACACTGCCCTCAACCCGCATGGCTAATGAGAAGCACCGTCAAGTCACACATGTTCCAACACTGCACTTCCGGCGTGACTTTCAAAAATAAACGTTACATTTTGGAGAGGGATCTTTACGAAATGATTAAAAATACAATAAATGGCATGCAAGGTATGGCTAGCAATAGTTAGACATTGAAAATCTTACCAACATTAATTTTGAATCTAGTTATAGTCCATTGACACTCCGCTTCAACCATTAGAACTCTGATACAAGGATTACTATGTGGTCAATACTATTATTTGGATTTACCTTATTTTTTTAAATATTGTTGTATTATTATCATTTAAACAAAATGAATAGTCGTCAGTGCTCATTGTTTTTTTTAAACTATTGTATCTTTGATCTGGCGTTTATTAGGGATGGTTTCTTACTGATATTTTTTGTTATCTAAAATGTGATATTAATTAAAGTTTAAGTAATACGAAAACATATATATGCCATTAATGAGTGTCTCCATGAACAAGAACAAATATATTTAGGTTCTCTGGTAGTCGCTACATTTCTCTAACTGTAGTGAAGAAAGAGATAATAATAACACTATGTTTTTTGTCTGTCGGTTATGACTTTCATCCTACCCAATGAAATGTGCCTTCCACAAAAATTCACATTTCCCCAAATAACTTTTAAAAACAGCGTCTTACATTTTGTATTCAAGTCAATAACCTTTCACCATTCAATCCATTAAAATAACAAGACAAACGTTTTCCATAGGACTTGTGTCAGCCTTTAATTTGAAGGCACCTTTCCGTCACTTCCGTGTTCTGGACGAGTAACTGCGGCTAACTTAGCTCGACTACTTGCTAATAAGTAACATTAGCTCTGCTAGTCTGTTAGCCCCTAGCTGAGCCGGCCTCACCTGTCGTTGCAGACTTGTTCTTCTTCTTCTTTTTCTTCTTCTTTTTCGCTGCCTCCCCCACGGGCTCGGCCTCCTCAATTTCCTCCGCCTCCCCGTTCAGCTCCCGTTCAGGGACGGGTTTCTCCTCCGCTACCTGCTCCGCCACCACGTCCGCCATGATCACAGGCGCTGCTGGAAAAGGAAGCGCAAGGGACTGTGGGAGTGCTGTGTGTGGAGCTGCCTTCAGGGACACTCGGTTATAAATGTTTTTAAAAATACATGTTCTCTTCTGCTTAGGGTTACATTTTCAAATAAGGAAAATAACGGTTTAGCTTTTTTTGTCAGACATTTAAGAACATTAATCACGTAAGCACAACATATACTGTAATAATTATGTGTGAATTTATTGTTACATACGTATAACAATCAAAACGTGCTTTTTACTTACTAATTGCATTTTTAAATCCCACTTTATTACTGGACTTCTAAATATATTAGTCCTGAAATCGGAGCTTGATGTGAGAACCTGAAGGCAGCACAAAGTAAAACATGCTGAATCAGCTGAATGGGAGCCTGTGCACTGAATAGTGATCCTAGTGAGGGAATAACCTATGAAGAATATAAATAAACCAATAAATGCACTAATCACAAAATAATACATCTTATGTACATTTTAAATATTTAAGTGCAACATTTACCAAGCAAAAGTAAATTAAAAAAAGATATGATTTGTGAGCAAAATAATTATCAACTCTAAAACAGTGTCTAACATTATATATATTAAACTATGTTATGCAAAGTAATTTTTACACAAACACATCTCCTAAAAAAATCCTTCAATATTGCTAGAAGCATCTGTCAGTCCCACCACTGACCACTAGGTGGCAAAACTCTAACAGTAAATAATCGAATAAAATAATTTCTTTAATATAGGTGTGTAATTATTTATATTTAGAAGCATTTATGCCAGATGATGCACATTTGCACAGAGGACATTTTCAGTGTGGACGGCTTATGTCTTATGTGTCGATTGCCCAACTTAAATCTCAAAGGGTAGAGTTACTGAAATATGTTGTTTCCCTTCTTAGGTGAATGCAATCCCATAACTGGGGCACTTACATGTTAAGTCTTTAGTCCATGAGGTCTCTGTTTAGGTCTCCAAAGGCAGGAACTGCTTTAAAGTGGAGCAGCAGCTGCTGTGGGTGAGACAAATGCAAAATCCCACAAAACAGATCAAGTAACTGAGCCAACCTGTTTGTCTTTCACAAAGCGTGAGAGCCTCTGAAACATGAGCGTCAGAAAAGACTTCAGGATACATCGAACACTTCCAGAATGGTATTTTATTTCATTTCGGAAAATGCAGGAGGGGGTCGACCTCACCCAGAGAGAGGAGGAGAGGGTGAGGGAAGGGTCAGGACAAGGCAGACTTGGTGACAAGAAAGACAAGGAAGGGTGAGGAGTGGGGAGGGAAACATCAGGGCTGTCAGGCTCTTCATATGAAACAAAGTTTAAGATTGCCCTCACATGAGAAAATCAACCTCCTTTTTTATTACTATACCCACAGGTATTTTAATTTAAGCCTCACAGCAGCAGAGTTCAGTCCATAAAGTCTCAAGTCAAAACAAGTCTATCCTCCGAGCTTGGCCCTGTAAACACAGACACTGAACACTTTTTGTCTTCATTAATAGTTCAATACAATAGTGGCGTGTTCAAAAAAGGAGTGTGAATACATGGAAAGCATTGTTTCCGATTTGACTAAGAATTAAGTTCAGCAGAGTAGGGCTGCACAATATATAGGTTTTTTTTTTAATTGTTACTGACAATTTGGGAGATGAACACACCGTAAAGACGATATGCGAAATGCCCCCAGGGATTTCTATGCATAGCTTAAACAGAGTATCAGGAAAAAACTGCCCTTAAAATACAACCACTATTATTTTTGTACTGGTGTCTTTTCCTTTGACTTCAATTTATTCAAAAATGCATACTTCTCTTTTTTAATTCAACAAGTAATTTGTTGCGTATTAGCAGTTAAGTCAATTATTATTATTTATAGGAATTCATATAATTATTGGAATATTCAACTAAATGATTGCATATTTCCCTCATATTGTGCAGCCCAACTTCAACTTCCTGCTGCTTCCTTGTGTCGTTTTCATGAACTTGAATTCTGGACTGTGTGTTTCTTCACACAAAAACATTCAGTGTACAAACTGCAGGAGTAGAAAGTTCATTAAATCAAGTATTGCAATCCTGAAAAAACATTGTTTTAAAGTTTGTTTGAAATGGGTTTATGAGTACTTTTGAGACTGTAACTACATTTTGTTGGCAAGATTAAGTTAAATTCAGAGTTTAAGATCTTTTCAAGTAACAAAGTAGTTTTACATTGTAGATTTTCATCAAACTTTGTGTTCTGTGTGAACACAAAGAAGTACCACTGTATCTCAGACTTTCAAAGCCTCCTGCCAACAACAGGATTGGACTGCTTTTGAACCAGCAAATAAAACGATTTCTCCTCTCAAAGAGGCTAATATTACACCCTTTTTTCGGGTATGGAGAAAATCTTGTTCCTACATCTTTGTTTCAACACCTACCGAAGATGGCACCAAGCCATCTAGACATTCTGGTCTTCTGACACTGGATGATCTTATTTCGTATTAGTGGTTCTTGTACCTGAGTTTTAACAGCGGGTAATGAACAGTAAAATGGACGGATGGGGGAGTATTTGAAATGCCTCCACACCAGAAACAGTAATGTAACACGATAGAAGACAATCCGACATAAATACAGTCTCTGCTCAGTGTTTGGATAAAGCAGCATTTTTTTTAATTTAAGTCCTTGTCAGGGGTTCGCCTGTCGCTCTCCTCTTCATCCTCCTCGTCGTCGTCATCGTCGTCTCCGAATGTCTGCTCCTTCATGGCGATGAGCGTCTGCGAGCGCGCCGCCACCTGAGCGGCGAGGGCGGAGCTGAAGCTCAGAGCCTCTGAGCCATGGAGCTCCGTCAGCCTGTCCATGACGGAGACAGCGGGGACTTTCGTCTCCAGGAAGCAGTCCAGCCCGTTGTGGCCCTCCCCTCCCTCCAGCAGGCCGTCGTATTGGTGCAGCTCGGACGCTCCTCCTCCTCCTCTCGTGCACACTGAAGCCCCTCCCAAATCCCCTTCCTTCTCCGGACCACAGCTGAACTCCGTCAGTGGCTCTGCGGACGGGTCAGGCCCCACCCTGCCATCTTCTCCTTCCTCCCTTTCCTCTCCTTCACTTCCTGCAGAGCACTCTGAAAAGTGGTTTTTTTCTTCTTCTTCATCGCCACTTTCTACAGATCCCAGAGCGTCTGCCGGCTCTGTGACAGGATCTGAACTCTCAGTGCGACCTGAAGGCGTTACAGCAGCTGCAAGTAAGACGAAGACAAATATAAGTTAGGCCCCTGATTCAAGTTTTAGTAGTTTTTCGAGAATTTGTGACATTGTGGAACCAGTGGAAAACATTGATTATTTTACATTTAGGATTTGTTTTGTGTGATTAGTTTGACAACACATATCAAAAGAATCCCCAAAACAATACAAGCTACATCACCACAAGCCAAACTCTCATGTCCTCATCTTTAAACATGAGGTGACATAGGTCAGTGCAGACCTTGGTCGTTGAAGAGCATCTGCTTCCTCTTCATCCTCTCCCCCTCTGAAGCACGGAAGCCCAGCACAGATTTGAGCTCCGACAGGACGCGGCGGGACTCCTCCCTCTCCCGACGCTGCCGCTCCTTCTCCTCCGGTGACAAGATGTCCACCCAAGAGCTTCTGCCTTCACCGTCGGAGTCTGAGTCGGTGACGTAGGCCTCCCACTCCTAGTCAAAAACGAGGATGAAGAAGACATGTGAGTTTTAAAGGCCGGACTAGGGACATTAGTCTGGGTGGTTGTGAGGGAACCTTGGTGTGAATTAGGTATAAATAGAGGCACACAATGCAAGATGTCAAGGGAACAATTTATCCTACCAGCTCTTCTGGCACAGGGTCTCTGTCCAGGATGAGCGGGTAGGATGGAGGAGGAGCAGGAATCTCAGCTACAGGGGGGCCACACTGCTCCGGACCCTCAGCATTACCTGCAGGGAAGGCACCAAAAAAACAGATGAGCTCAACAATTTGGTCTTAGAGCGTGCACTCGCGCTACATTGCAAAGGAGCTACTTCCTCTACAAGTCTCAATAGTCATGGTAAAGGAAGAAGATATTCATTATAGACCCTGTGTAAAAATGGAAACTGTTGTGTCAAATTATCATATAATCCTTTAAAACATATAGTCTTATACTCTGATTGCCTTTTGCTCTGTTAAAATTGTATTTTTAGTCTTGTATGTGTTTAACAGAGACATATGTTTAGGATTTACATTTCAGGAGGGCAAAGGAAGTAAAAGGTGGATTTGCAAATGGTTAAGGACAAGGGGGTTTTATGGTTTTATGATGGGATGTAGGACCAGTTGGCTGTTTCCTGTCATGAATATATAGTGGGACTGTAAGCTGTGTTCGGGGTGCAGAACTTCTTGAAAATGAAGTTGCTCCGTTTCTGCATTTGAGATCGATTTCGATTGTATATTGGCTTTCTTTAATAAATATAACAAAAGACAAACTTTGTCCATGAATCATTTATCAGTTTCTCTTAAGAATTTCCTCCACAGAAACTAATTTACGCTACAGGAGTTTTCCCTTTGTGTAGAGCTTCATATTAAACAGAAAGCCATCTCAGTGCAGAGCCAGCTCACCTGGACAGGCGTTGACCCGTCGGAGCATGCGCTCCACCTGGCAGACGGTGTCCTCCCAGCAGCCACTGCTGGCCTGCATGTGAGGCTGCAGGTGGTGCAGCCGGTGGCTGAGGTCCTGGTAGCCCTCGACTGTCAACTCTGTCGGTTCCTTGGACACCATCAGCTTCTCCAGGTCGTCCTCCAGGATGATCATTCTGAGGACAGGACGAGGAGCGTTGACAATACAGACTGAAAGCAGCTGACTCCTGTGAGAAATGACTTTGACTGCATTATGTTATGTTGCAAAATGAAACAGAAAGTGAAAAAGACACTGAAGCTAGACATGACTGGTTTAGTGTCATTGTTTCTAACTTAATGTTAATCAGTTTGATACAAAATGAAATCCAGACAGAAATGGAGGTAAAGTTGTCATTAACAAACAGAAAATAAGTTTACCTGCTGATCTTAAAATCTCCACTACACTTACTTGTTATGGCTTCAATGTGAAACTCTGATGTTGGGGCACTTACCCGACTTGAGTCTGGGAATCAATTTATGTATTATATATACTGTATTTGATAAGAACGATCTTGTCCACTTAAAGCTTTTTCTGGTTTTCTCTGTGTAAATTACATTTTTACAATGTTGTAATCCTTGCATGGATAGAAATGTTGCAATCCCCATTACTTACTTTCAGATACGAGTATATCTCTGCCACCACTCTAGCATAACTACATTTCATTACTGCTTTGCTGGTGGGATGACCCAGTTTCCCCTCACTGATCATTAAACTCTCATTTCCAGTTATCCAAGTGTACAATGAGGGCAGTCAGGACTGTGTGTGTGTGTGTGTAGGCCTGTCGCGATAATCAATAAATTGACTTATCGTACGATGGACTCGATAACTTTTCTGAGCTCGATAAATTGCCGTTTACATGTGTGTTTGTTTACATAAAGATGTGACCAGCATTTTAGCCAGGCGCACTGTGTCTGCAGGTCCGGTGCGCTGTGAGGGGCGGGGCTCACACACAGCCCATGACACAGCCAGGTCAGGACACTCCGCGTGCAGCAGAGTAGCAGCCACATTAATAATATAGAGACAAGCAGGAGACAACGTGTGACTTACTCGAGGGGAATTTGAAGTTAAATGGAAGTGGTTGCAAAACCTAATACCACATCTCCGGTGTGGGAATATTTTGGATTAAAGCCAAATCAACGAGGCGAACCTACGGACTTGAATGAGCCAGGTGGTGTGTCGCATTTGTTTAAAAAGGTAGCAACAAAAGCTAGCAATACGACCAACCTTAAACTGCACCTAAAACACAACCACCCCATTCCGTTTTCCCAGCTGGGAGCAAACACGGCAGCTGGAGATGGAGAGCCCCCGCCTTCCCGACAGTTTACAATCAAAGATGCATTTGCCCGACAATGCAAACATGTTGCTGTTCCTTGCTCGAAATCTTTGAAATGCAGATTTGGATATGGCCTGTTGAGGCATCTGGGTCTTTGCATGGACAGTGGACTGTACACTTGACTGCTATTTTAAGGAGGTTTTCTTTGCTTGTGAGACAATGTGTGCTCATATTTATATATATATAAATAAATAAATAAATAAATAAATATATATATATATATATATATAAATAAATAAATAAATAAATATATATATATATATATATATATATATATATATAAATAATAAATAAATAAATATATATATATATATATATAAATAAATAAATAAATAAATAAATAAATAAATAAATAAATAAATATATATGAGAGAGAGAGCTCTGTTTTCCTGAGTCTATTTAATTGATTGTTTTGGTTGTGTGTGATTTTAATTTATTTGTTATAATTAAATGTATTTGTTTTATTTATTATATATAATTTATATATTTGAATATTATTTCACATTTCATCTGCAATGTTGAATGTTCAATAAAAAGTTCTGTTTGAAAGGATGTACTTGAATTATTATTATATATTATCATTATGTCAGTGGTCTAAAATGGTCTTACAACGGTGCCGAGAATATTATCGTTTATCGCAATAATTTCCGGGAAAATGTATCGTCCAACAAAATAAATTATCGTGACAGGCTTGTGTGTGTGTGTGTGTGTGTGTGTGTGTGTGTGTGTGTGTCTCACTCGCTGAGCAGGGCCTTGAGGTGCAGCTGTAGGCTTCTGATGGAGGTGTGCAGGGTGTTGAGCTCTCTGCATTTCTCCCTGACTGTCCCCGTCTTGTCGGAGCCCGTCGGTGTCCTCAGCTGTGTCTCAAAGTGTCGATGGAAGTCAAAGCTGCGCTGCACTTCGCAGAGGCAGCTGGCCAGAGCGTGATGGAGGGGCTCCGTCACCGCCACAATGGAGCGGTGCAGCGGGGGGGCAGGAGGAGGAAGAGGAGGAGGAGAAGGTGATGTGTCTCCGTTGGGTGTACCCTCTTCTGGATCCTCGATTCTTCGGGGTGACAGGAGAAGAGCCATGCGACGGAAACATTCAGAGCTCTGTCCCACCCACAGCTGGAACAGCATCTACAGGAGAACAATAACACGTCATTCTTAAACCAGAAAACTCCTCTTTTTGGCTTCTCCAACTGTCCATTTTTTACTGTGAGAAAACTACGTTTCTGCAAGACATTGAGTTTACAGGATAGACAGCAGATACATGGATGAAGAGGATTAACATTAAGCTTTTTCTCTTTCTTGTTGAAAGCTAGATGAGAAGTTCATTACCGCTCTAATGTCTGTAAGCCGAGGCCGTGGAGGGATTACTGAACGGGCCTACAGGGTAAAGGTCCAGGGGTCTAAAGTGTCATGGTCCTACGGGCATAACCAACCAGTAGATGCTTACCAACCAGGAAGAGAGATTCATTATAACCAAAAGAAAACACAAGGCGTCTACAAATAGACAGAAAACAACTACAAAAAGACTAAAAGAAGATACAATAAGACCACAAAACACACTAAATGAAGAGACGAATACACATAAAACAATTACAAAAAGAGGCTAAACATCAATTTAGTCCATCTTATGTAGGATAGTCAATGGGGTCTTTTGCATGTTTGTCCACAATTGTCTCATAATCCACCCATGGCTGAGGCTACCAGCAACATCTCGCCCTGCTAGCCAGCCTTACCTTCAGGGCCGGCAGGCTGTAGTCGTCCGTCAGCTCCTGGGCCTGCTCGTCCCCCAGGTGCTCGATCCCCAGGCCGAGCCCCAGCTCCTTCAGAGGCACCGCAGACACGTAGTTGGTCACATTATCAATCTCAGAGTTCAGAGGGAACGTTAGGAGGAGTTAAGGACTCATTGCACTTTCACGAAAACAATGTGAGCACCTATTTGTGTCATGAAGTTGAACTTATATGAGTTATCGAGTCTTTCCTTTCAGGTATAAGGATATGCCTTGAGCATGTGACAGGTGGCTCTACGTGAGGCTCTGAAGGCGGTGCGGAGGGCCCGGTACAGAGCCTTCCTCAGTCCGATCAGCTGCTGGCCTCTTGGCACCACCCCCGGTCCCGCCCTGCTAAAGGAGCCGGCTGCACTCACCCTGTCGAGCAAACTTGACAAGTGAAATGTGATACAACTGTGGAGACGTCCCAAAGAGGCGAGGGGCACACACAACACTGAACAAAACATCACTGAAGACAACACATACATGACAAAACCAACAAACTGAGACAACGAGCACTACACAGGGCACAAGACAATATGACATGCCAGTAAAGGAAGTATTTACTTACTTAGCTTAGCATTAGTATTTACTTACTTAGCTTTCACAGCACCTTTGTTCAAATAACTCAAAGCTAACTTTTGTAGGAAGGCATTTTAAGGGTTGTTCTTCTAGTTTTTCTAGTTTGTAATCCCTTTTTGTTTTCCTATTTTAATATAGGTTATTATTCAGGTCTTATGTTCTCTGTTTTTATTTGCTTTTTTATGTATACAATTGTATCTTTTTCAATAAGGCACTTTACAAGTGCTTTACAAATGAAATTGATTATAATTGAATCAAATATACGCTTAATTGCCTTTGTCCAGGAGTGACACCAGCACTCATGGCGGTGTGGTAGATATGAAAATACAACTGCTGCTGGTTATCTAATCTTAGCTAAGCTGTTAGATCCTTTTCCAGGATCAACAGCTAGCCAGGCTGTGTCCAAATGTAGCAAAATCCACCTAGCAGCACATCTAAAGCTAACTTATAAACATGGGATATTAGTAATTTGTACAAAAACTGAAGTTGCAGTATAATCCTTTGGTGTGTTTTTATAGATACAGCCTAATCTTTAAATACAGAGAGACAAATAGGTCCCTAACAAGTGTTGACACGAATAAAAAAACACCTACAGACACATCACCTGATGTAAACTAATTAACTGAGCTAGGATCAAGCAGTGACAGTTAGAGACATGACAAGAACATTATGTGATTGGGTGTAATATAGAATTAAAGGAGCATACTTACAGGGTGAACCCTCTGGAGATGACCTCCGTCTCCTGCACCAGGCGCAGGGCTTTGCGGGACAGCCCGGTCAGAGTCTTACTGTTGTGGACGAGAGTTTGAAGCTGCGCGGCCCGCGTGTGGACGGCTCTCTCCATGCGGCCCTGTCTCCACAGCGTGACCCCCCTCAGCCCCCCCCAGCCCAGCAGAGCCAGGCCCCACGGGGCCGCAGCCAGCGACCACAAGCCCCCAGACACGGAGCAGAGCCCCAGCAGCACCACAGCCAGGCCCACCAGCCCCGCCATGTCCCTGAGGGAGGAGAGCAAAGGAAAACGTATCAGTTTTACATGTCAAAGGTAATTAACAAGACACTAGGGCTGCTCGATTATGGCAAAAATCATAATCACGATTATTTTTGTCAATATTTGATATCACGATTATTAAATACGATTATTCATTGACTTTGAAAACATCCATTTATTGAACTTTAAAACAAATACAAATAATAATTTGAACAGTATCTTTTTAACTGTTGATTACCCTGAACGTATGATTCAACTGAAAAACCAATACAAAAATAAATGATACATTTATATTTAAATAAATAATATCAAAATAATAAATACCAATATACAAGATCAACAAATATTTTGGAGCGCACTTCCACCAGCTACTAAACATATATAAATATGATAAATTAAAATAAATTAGACTAAAATAAATTAGATCAAATATGTTGCAGTGCACTGTCACAACCTAGCAGAGCAAAATAATCGTTTTTTTCGATTATGTTGTTTTCGTAATTGTGGCAGGCCAAAATCGTAATTGCGATTAATTGCACAGCCCTACAAGACACAAGGAGTCATTTGCTATAATGACGCCATTACTCGTTCATTTAAGCCTATCTTTAAACTTAACAGATCACTGTAGCATGAGTCATTTGCATGATTGTTGTTTACTAAAAATAGATCCTGGAAAATGTACACATTAACACAATTGGATATCAGGATATGGATCATGATTTAGTTTAAGATCTTGTTCCACTTACATATTTGCAGAAAAAAAATCCAAAAAGACAATAGGTGTGAAATTATATAAACTATCATACTATGGAACAAGCTTCCGGACGGATGTAGTAAAGGATACTTTTGACTAGATTCAATTTATTGATCCCCAGTTGGGATATTGTAAATCTAAATCTTGATTTTGGAATGAAAAATGTTTCATTCAGAAAAGTAGAATTGTGCACATGTTTACTTTTAGTATTGTTTTAGAGGCCATAGTTTCAGTTTGTGCTTTCATAGTATTAGAATGCATGATATTCTCTGGTCTGTTAGCTAACTCAGTACCGTAGGGAGGGCTTGGCGATGAGGCTGGGTCGGGGCAGAGTGCTCGCTCGGCTTGATGATCCGGAGGCAGACGAGCTGAGGGTCAGCAGACTGGGGTCCAACAGCTCGATGAGCTCCACATCCTCCTGCAGCAGCACATCCTGGTCCAGAATGCACTTCACCGAGTATTGGCCGAATACACCATCCTACAAGAGAAAGAGAAACGCATGAAAAAAAGAAAGCGCATTTAAATATAAAACTAAGTGTAGTGCTGGTTTTAGTGCCAGCATTCCTTTCCGTTTCAAATGCTACCTACCAGCTGCTGGCCCATCTTACGAGATGCAGCCTGCTGATTCGGACTCCATCTCCACAACGCTTCAGCCAGTCTCCATAGGCGACCGCCCTGCAAATCACACAAAAGGGGAAAGGTTAATTTGCTGTCAATTAGGTAACGGTGACATAACAGTTTTGCAGGGCTTTCTATCATTGTATGCCCAGGGAAAGCCCCAGTAAATCAGCGAAATATATTCCATTGAAGAACGAAATGATTCACCTGAAGATCTCAGTAATTCTGCTGTGCTTCTTTTAGCTTGGGTTTATTTTCCAGGAATCACACATCCATTAAATAACAAACAAGCACACACTCACAGTGAAAAGGAGTATCCCAGGAGACCATCTCATTCATGCAGCAACAATAAGTGCAATGTGTGTGCGTAAAAACATTTATCCAGGTCTTTTTTAGCTCTGCAGCAGCACAAAAACCACATCAATTTGTTCAATTCTGTGTTATAACTAAACGTTTTCCTTTCAACATCCATAAAACTTGTTGACAGAGAGAAAGGATTATTTTAGTTTTAGAACGTCTTTCTTTGGAGACAAAGAAGCTCACAAACACACTTCAGTTTTATTTCTTGCTTCTTTAGAGTTTCTAACGTGGACTTTCAATTCCATTTTTTAAGTGTTTTGACATTTCGATGCATACCGTGACAAAGCTCAGGCTGTTTGAATTGTTTGTTGCAGGTTTTTCTTGCAAGTGCTTAACAGCCTAATAGAAATTCCAAACCATGTAATTTGTAATCAGGAAGAAAAATCTCTAATCTGCTTAGAGTGCTTTATGGCATGTGGGAAATGCTTTGTTTGAAAATGGGATTAATTTTGAAGGATTCTGTTGAGAAACCATCATCAAAACATCCTGTAGTTTGCTCCAGGGGTTATTGATCCAGACTGGGCTAGCTGACCTCTTTTCTAGAGGTTAAAGCAAAACTGTTATTAGTGGCACTAATATTGATGAGTGATTTGAGACTGAGTTTCAGGACTGGGCATTCTCGCTCATCAGCTTTGAAGTAGGTCACAACCCCTGCTCCTAACATTCTCTGTAGCATCAAAGCAGCTCATCCCGCCAATACCACCACAGAGATGATGTAAGCGCCGTACAGATTAACTCACAGATGTCTGCACTCTCACTACTGTATTATATCCAGTCACCGTCGGCTCTTGCTCATCAGTATTCTCCTGCTGTCACACAGACACACTCCAGCTTGCAGACACTGTGCTGAGAGAACGGACAGACTCTGCACGGACAGCTGTTGAATTGATACAATTCTCATATTTGCCCAAAGCTAGAGAAGGATATGTTTAGCTTAGCATAGCACAATGACTGGAAACAATTCAAACTAACTTTAGTGTTTTTTCCAGGCAGGCATGCCCAAATTGAAGTGCTCCATCCATACGCTCCATCCTTTCAAAAATAATCGTTCTCCTCATTTTTTGAATACTTCTTGTTTGGAGATTTTCACCTGCCGCCTAGTGATTACTGTCCCACTTGCATACGTTTTTGGCTTATCCTGCCACTCCATGTTCCTGAAATATCACCAGCTTCCACATTTAAATCATTCAAATGACCTCTATAAATTTCAGTTTTATATAACAGGCCAACCGTCAAGGACATGCACACATACTGTACCACAAATGTTGCATGTGAGCCCTATTCAGTAAGACCATTTAACAGTAATGTAAAGAGAGATAAGCTATGGTCTGTCTACGTGGAAAAGATGTTTTGCTTCGGCTCCGACTGTATCTGAGCTGCAGGAAGCTGGTCACACAGGGACGACCCGAAGGCTTTCCTGTCCCATCTGAATCCTCTTCCTCCTTTACTCCTTAGAACAACAGCGTGCCAGAGAGGAAGCATGACACGGACGGAAAGTTCCTGAGCGAAACAAACACAAAACTGTTTCCCGTCGTAAGAGGAGGACGAGGAGAGGAAGAGTCATGTGATCCTGAGCTTCCCAGGACATAATAATCGTCTGTATGAATCACAAGTCGACTCGATTGACAGTTAAAGACACGATACAAAGTAGGAGGATGCTCACAGAGGCAGGAATAACGTCACACAGAGAGCAGAGTCGCTGTAATGGCATTACACTATCTCTTCTAAAATCAGAACATCGGCTGTGTGATTACAGAGTAAAGAACATGCAACGCAAAATACCTGCATCAGTGAGTGGAGAGCCCTTGATGCCATGTCTTGTCAGATTATAGTGAAGCATATGGTAATCCAGTGCACATAACAGTCTGTCAGAGATTGTGTGTCAATATGTGTTGCCGTTTGGAGTCAATAGTCAAATTAATTACTTTCTGTGTGACGGCACAAATCAAACAGTGACTGACACACACATTGCCCCCGGTCAGGGACAGTATTTGAATAGTGATGGGAATTTTTCTAGATGTATTTGTTTATAAAAAGTCAGAAAAACATTTCCCAGAATCACTGCTGTGTTTCTCCATATCAAAATTAAGCCTACTCATTTTTTCTCAAGTATTGTTATTGTTTTTTTATTTATAATTTGGGATACCACAGATGAAGTTAGATTGATGATCCATGTTATAAATATAGTTGATTCATTTAAGAGTGGACAGTGTTAGGGTTGAGGACAGGCTTGTGTGATGTCTGTGTTGAGAATTGGAGAAACTCACTGAAGTTTTGTGTGGATCTTCGTCGGAAGGGGTGAGGTCTCCGCCATATTCGTCCTCCTGTGATGCCGTTGGACATGCCTCAAAGTCTGTGTGCCCTAGATCATGCAGGTACTGGAAAAGAGGGGAGTTCTGCATAGAGAAAGAGAGACAGATTGAGAAGTAGTTGAGAAATTGGGGAGCAAGAGACTTTGCCTGACTGGAGTACAGGAGATGAAAACAGTCACAAGGCTGAAGCAGGTTTAGCTGATTTCCCCCCAGTGTGAATCCAAAGGGGTCATGACTCTTCTTAGTGAGGAAACTGATTCGTCAAACCAGTCTACTTTCCCTCAGGGTCAGATACAGTGGAGGCACCAATATATTCCCAAGCCTACCATCTTTCATCAATGCAGCTTTCTGCTCTGCGAGGAATGCTGTAAAGTACCTTCATATGTGAATCTGTAAATTCCTCATACAGATGAGAGGACTGTCTTTTAAATCTTCAGATCATAATCCTATCTCCTCATAGAGGAATACATAAAGGCAATGATGGTTCTTATCCAAACAAAGAAAGCTCAGAATGAAATCAGCCACGAAATAAGCAGAGGAGGAAGACATCCCATGCTAGAATTTGTCCAAAGATGTCTGACCCATTTCTCCCCCAGCTGCTGGAAGCACCTCTGCTGCTGTGTTTTGGTGCACAGCTGCACAGGGGCATCTCAGCTATAATTAACCAATCATAACATGCTAAATGCCAGTCAAACAATGAAAGCTACTCACATGCATTGTCACACGAAGCAGCAGCTCATGTTGTCACCACCCAGACGTAGCTGCGCCTGTGTGTCAATGTTTTTTTTCCTCCAGAACCGACGCATTGGGTCTGGTCCTCCCCACCCCACCTCTAACTATCAGACCAGCAATGATGAAACACCAACAACAATGCACGCACTGGCACAGCTCAGCCCCCTCTCATGACCACCAAAGCTCCTTGGCAGAAACACAGTTAGCAGCCGGCCAAATATGTTGATTTGTTTGGGGTTGCCAATACATGGCAACAGGGCAAACGGCTGCTAATGTGAAGCTAGCATGCTTGCTAGGTTGCTAAGCTATCCGTGTAAGCTAGCTGACGTTAATGAACCCCAACGTCTGTTACCTCAGAACTCGGGAGGTATGACAAAGCATCCGTAAGTTTCAATTTTAAAAAACAGCGGCTATAATACCAACCTCAAATACCACATCTTCATCAAACTCCTCAGTCATTGCTCTCCGCCATCTATACACAGCCCGTGTTGCATACTGAAGTTGTAGGCGACAGTTGTCAAGAACGCCGCTGAGAAGTTGGTAGTTAGCCGGTTGCTAAACTTTGCATAAGACTACTATTCCCATAATGCTCGTTTCTCAACGGGAGCTTGCTCGCGGGCAACGACAAGCGCTCGTATCAGTGCGCCTCATGTGGGCGCGAAAGGCATTGGACCGACTGTTGGGAAAACCAAAATGAATTGACCGGAAATGATTTCAAAATAAAACACTACACATCTTTAATACTTAGTAGTTAGCCAGAAACACAGCAAATACCAGCATATTATAGTCATACTTAGTGAAAATATAGTCTTCAACAAATAATAGGCTTACTTATGTGTTTAACGTCATATTATAACAACTGCAGCTGATCTTTTGAAACAACACATTTATTTTGAAATGTATGAACGGAACTGAGTTGTTTTTATGTGTCCTACTTGACTTGCTTGGGAAAAGCACCGTGGCTGAAAACTTCGGGAAAAATGGAAAAAGTAACAGGCGTAAAAACTGTATCGGTGCATCCGCTTGCAAGATAAGGACCGACAGCGATGGACCTGCATGTTTTCTCCCTGAAGTGGTTTTCTAACTGACAATGGTGTCGAAGGAGGAAAAAACTCAGTTTTTCTCGCAATTCCATTGAAAGTTTACAAATGGAGAAAGGAGCAAGTCGGGAGTCATGAGCACAGGTTTGTTTCGTGGGGGATCTAACTTTACTTAGCAAAATCTTGCTGTGCAAGCATATATTGTGGTTAGCTACAACTCAATGCAAATAACGTCACTTCTTCTGTGTATTCGCAGAAAGTGTAAATCACTACAATTTTAATGTCATAACGGACGGTAGCATCCGCTCTATTTTTACTCAGCCACAGTTAATTACACTTTTTTATAATAACAGCTTTCGAAAGTAAAAACATACATGTGAGTGCTTTCTAAAACGCAATCATAACTGGTAATAAAAAAAAATCTTTTCTGTTTGATATTACACTTTACCGTTGCAGCTGAAGGGGGTTAAATCCTTTGTCTTAAAACATCTGTCCTGCTGTTGGTGTAACAAACCGGACTCGATAACAAGCGGCAGTGTTAACATCTCATATAAAAAACAGTTAACATTTGCCAGGATAAAGAGGGATATCCCCAGTGAAATTGGATATGTGCAATAGAGTTATAAGGAGTTCTTGTTTTTCCACGACAGGAGCTGTTTAAGCCCTAGTGTTGACTTTTTTCCTGCGAAATCACAAGGCCAGACTCTACTTACAAATCTAACATTTTTAATGAAACCTTAGTTTTTATTTGGCTCAAATATCATAAGACATACTTTTTAAAGCCGTGATGGCATTAATGGCATATACTGGCCAATTCGGCTTTTATATAAAGAGACCAAGTAACATTTTTGATTAAGTTTGAGATTGATTCTCATTGCACATCACAGCCATCAATGATACATTCTGATATGCATTTGGGTGAACCATTAATAAAAACGGAACTTTTCTATTAAAATGTGTATGCCGAATTGAACATTCGAAATTATTAATAGGGATGTTAATTACTGTCCCATGACGCTGGCCGTTTATTTAGTTTTTAAGCCCATTGACTCTATATGTATTGTTTCTTTTATAAGAGTGTGGATGTGCAAAGGCAGGGCAGCATGTTTCGCGTGCAGAGCGTTTCTGATCGTGGCCTCTCGGAAACAACCGCTCGATGACTCCACTTCTCGTGGTGACGGCCAGCCGGGAGATTCAGCCAGGAAAGCGGAAAATATCTCCTACAATCTCAATTGGCAGCTTTTTATTCGTGTAGAGACAGTTTTTTTTAAATTCTAACTTTATTTAACAATTGTAATCATTGAGATTCTGGTTGTCTCATCAACTTAACATATTATAATAGAGGCACTTATTTCGGGTAGATATTTAGTAGTTCCATGTAGTTTGAGAGAACAAAAAATACACTTAAGTCTAACTCAGTTCAGAGAACAATAGAAAGCTTTAATGGTAGTTTTTCAAATTAGATTTAGAGAAGAAGTTAAGACAGTTTTACTTTACTATTTACTTCCACAAGTGTGGTGTAAGCCCTTCATGAGATAATTACTTAATAATAATACATGCCTGAATTTATTTCACACATTACTCCAGTCCTCAGTCCTTCCCCTCTGACCCTAAGATTAACCTTTTTGACCTGAGCTTAATCCACAGTTTGCAGCTGTCTATGCTTATATTGGAGGAAGTGTGGATGAAGCATGGTTTATCGGTGCTGTTCTGGTGGGGTGTGATTCATTTAAAAAATAGTTAATAGTCTCAAACTTTCTTGTAACTTTCGTCCCTCTTCTTTTCATGCAGGTGTGAAGAAGCCACCATTAGCGCCCAAACCTAAACTCCCTGGTACCACCAAACCCTCCCCCCCGCCCATCGCCCCCAAACCAGGTCTCCTCTCCCAGCCTCCCATTGTCTCCCAACCTTCCCCGTCTACTCTAAAGAGGACAAAACCGGCTGTCGCCCCCAAACCATGCATTCCTAAATCCGTCGCTTCCCCTGTTTCAACCCCGCCACCTAAACCCAGTGAACCCCCCCTCCTATGTCAGGAACAGCAGACAGCTTTAGGTGATAACCTCTCCCTTCTCAACTCCAAAAATGGGATTTTATCGGAGACTAACAAACGTGACTCGGATTACATCATTCCCACCTGCTCTTGTGGGCTCCAGGACTGTTCCCAGTGCCAGCATCTGGAAAATGGAAGTACAACTGAGAGCGATTTTCACAAAGAGCCGTTGCAGAATGGGATTTCTACAAAAGGATTCACAGAGACGAGGCCACAAGTGAAAGAAAAACGCCCGGAGGAGGGAGTAGCTGTGGATAAGGTTGAAGGTGGAGGGATTGGCAAAAAGCCCAGGGATAAACCTCAAAGACAGAGACACCTGGAGAGGGATTTGTCTAACAAAGAAGCACAGAGGACTGAGGAGCAGGAGGAGGCTGTAAAACATGAGGAAAGTGCTGTTGCTGAGCCTGATTTTTCAATAGCAGATGTAGAGACTGAGGCCCATAACATAGATTTAACAGACTCAGTCTTGGATGTTGCAGGCAGCATCATTATCTCCCCCTCTATCACTCCTCATGAGTCTTCTCCAGAATCCTTTCAGGTGGAGCATATAATCACAGCCTCTCCCACCAGGTTACTCCCTGATCTGCAGGTCCCTGCTGCCCCCAGTAAGCCTCTCCCAGTGCCTCACCCACGCAAACTTAAAAAGCCTGCCCTGGTGAGGCAGGATGGCGTGGAGGGCAGTGCCCAGGATCAGGTGACGGAGGAACAAACACTTGAGATGCGAGAGGATGAGGGGAGTCAACCTGGTCTGTCTCTCAGTCAGGAGGGAGAGGAGCTCAGACAGGACTCGTGTGAGGAACTTTTACCCCAAAAAGACTCATGTTTGGGAGACGATGAAGCCGACGCGCCCGTCCCCCCTCCTCGACAGACCTCCCTCTCGCCTCGCCTTCACAGGACAGTCCACATGTCACCCTTTCTTAACAAAAACACCTCCCACTCCTTAGTCCTGCTCTCACACGCTGACTCAATGAGCCACCAAAAAGGAGGAGCGGACCACCGGGTGGAGGAGGACGAAGAGGACGGGTATGGCGACTTTGAGCGCTACCCCATCACTCACAGCCTCCCCAAACAGATCAAACTTGGCTGTAATCCCCCTCTGGGTAACGCCAGGAGAGCTTTCTCTGCCGAGGATCAGCCAAGTGCGCCCCCCAGGAAACCTCAGAGACACAGCCTGCCAGCAGCACACTGCCCACCCTCCTTTTGCCCCCCTGCACCTCCACACGCTAACACCCCCATGAGGGAGCTGCCTGCGCCTCCTCAGGAGAAAACGGCCTGGCGCTTCACCCGACCCTGCGTGACCTTCTTCAGCCGGCAGATTCCCTCCAGGAGCAGCATGCCTCCAAAGAGCCGGGCTCCAGCACTGGGGGGTAAACAGAGGGCGCAGTCTTTCTCTGCAGCAGACCTGGCAACCCGGGCAGACTCTCATAAGAGGAGCCTCTCTTTCCGGAAGCTGCTGGAGCTCCGGCTGTCTGTCAAGATGCTCCCAAAGCTGCTGGCCAAGGGAGGGCAGTCTCTGGACTGTACCAGCGTGGAGTCCACCCGGGGGGAGAGGAGGCTGGAGCGGCCCACCAGCTGCATAGTCGAGTCTGATATCTGTGGAGAAGATGGAGATGGGTCAGTGGAGTATGAGAACGTCCCTCTGTATGAGGAAATCCCAGAGTACATGAACCTGCCGTTCCATGGTGCGAGGCTGGGCTGGCCTCACGACCCCGACGGAGCAGATTCAGACATCTATGAAGTGCAGGATCCCTATCACAGGAACAACGACCACGAGTACGAGGGGTACGTATAATGCATATTTAAAATGTGTAAAATGTTGTTTAAGGGTGTAACTAATGATTATTTATTTTGTTGATTAAGCGGTCTTATCTTGTAGCAGTGTATGCATTTGTTAGTTAGTAGAGCAATGACAAAAGTTTAGGAAAGAAATCAATGGGAACAAAATGCAACACAGGATTAAACTGGATTTTAATCTGACACATTGCCCTAACCCCAGGGCGCCCATTTATTTTTATGATTTATTATTTGATTGCTAAGTCTCTGTATGCTTACCAGCTACTTCTATTAGACACTTTTCCAAAAATGTACTGCAATAAACGACATCAAATGTCTCAATCAACAGTGAGATAATAAGGAAAAGTAGCAACTTGTCTCCTTTAATAAGCTGGGAACAGCGAATGTTTGGCATTATTTTGTAAATGAATTGCTAATCAAATTGTAGAGTTATATTTTTAACCTCCTACTAATAGATTAACCGACCTCTCGTTTCAGCGCTAATCTTTTAATTATTTTTTGAAAAGTTATCTAGCAGTAACAGATGTTGTAGAGTTATCAACTAAGTAAATACTCTATACTTTTTGACAGTTGTTATCAATTCAATTTTCCTGCTAAGTTTAAGAACAAACAACCCTTATTTCCAAACAAAGGCAATATGTGTTTGTGTGAGAGAGTTTATTTATTATATATTAGGCTGAAGTCCAGAGCACTTGCTGCCAGTTTGTCATTTCAAGTGAGCTTGAGTGTACGACAGGTTGCACAGGTGACGTTAGTGGTTTGAATGTACAACAGTGAGAAAGTGGCCTTTGAGCCAGTGGCATTGAATTTGAATGGAGCGTTGGTGCAGGTCGGCCTGTTTTCCTGTGGGTTATTTTCAGTGGCCTGGGCAGGAAATGTCTGAGAATCGCAGAAACGCCACACAGCTCTCTAGAACAGGAACATAAACCTCCAGCAACCACTAGCCTCCTCCTCCTCGGACTGCACGCCTTCGCTCTGCGTTTAGCCTCTTCATAACCCCATCACTCCTTTTTTCTCCTCTGTGCCACTGAAGTGAGTTCTTTCGAACAAGTACATTGTCTTTTAAATCCTTAAACCTCTGGAAGAGTGGCAGTTTGCAGAAAAAAACAAAAAAGTATTAAAAGAAAACATTTTTAGGATGAAAATAAAGATAGGGACACATAGGATTTGAAGATTATTGGCTGTGGGAATACCAACAAAAATGAAAAATCATAACATATATGTCAAATCATAACAAAATGTTATATATAACATTTTAAATTGAGCTTAACCCATTAATTATCTTCAAAATCAATACACTTTGTTACTTATTTCTCAATGAAAAAATGATTGTTTAGTTTAATAAAAGGTAACTTCCTCAGAAAGCTTATTTGTTTGACCAAAACATAAGCTATTAAGTTCACATAATATGAAAAGAGAGCCAGATAATCGTCCAATTTAGTCACTGTATTTTCCAGAACAATGATTAGTTGTAAATTGGAGCTCTTTTGCATTTCGCTCGATAAATAACTCAGACAAAGAAGTTAATTAACAGTCGTGCGACGCTGCAAGCAAATGTCCTGAATCACATTTATGCTATTAACATCCCGTTGAGCTCTTTGTGTCCCGGACTGCTGTGATTAGGAGATGTTCTGTTCCCATTATTCCTGTTTCCTCTGACTGACAGTGGCACAACAAGTGATGAAGTCGATGCCACCTTAGGTGATAATAACGCAGCCATTAAATGGATTAAGATGAACCCTCACTCTGTCGTTGGCAGGGTGTTTCTGTGTTAGGGAGGAGAAAGAGGGAGCGAGTTAATCTGTCGTTTTTCCCAGGCATCTGAGCCTGTTAAGTTTATGTAAGTAGCCTCAGGCTGTAAACAAGTGGTGCTCTGTGCCTGATCCAGTGTGTTGGAATGCTCCACTATAGAGAAAGCATAAGGGGGGGGGGGTGGGGGGAGATTGAGGTAAAAGAAACTGTCGGGAGCCATGTAAGAAAAACAGGGAAGTGGAGAGATTGGGCTATTGCTGATGAGAGTGAAAGGAAATGTGAGGGGTTTTGGAGTCCCACAGTCTTTCCTATCCAACATTTACTCAGAGCTATCACTCTTTTTGCCAAGATAAAACATCAACAATCCTCTTTACAAAGCATCATTAGGAAAAGGGAAACAGCAGGACTAGGGTCCACAATTCAGGAAATATACAATGTGTAAACTTTAAATTGGAATTAACAGCAATTTATGGAAATATAGTGGGAATCTACTCAGGCTGTTCACCATGTCATATGCAGATTTATACTAACCTGTTACCATATTATAAGCAAACATATTAAATTCATTTGTCAAATAAATCCATTATTTTCCCAAAAAGCTACATCACAGACAAGCAAGTTGGCAAAAACTAGTTATAAACTGGGTTTTGCTACTACCTGCAGGTCAGCTGCAATATTATTAAAGTATAAAATATGTTTCCGTCAATAAGATAATCAAGTTGAAAAGCATACAGTCTTTTGGCCTTGACTATGCTGAAGTGTTGTATACAATATCTGAAATATTGAAATTGTGTGACTTCCCTGGGATATTTCCGATCTTTTGCAACCCTAACTAGGACTAGACCGAGGAGGCAAATCCAAATATATTACCTCCCCCTCATTTCATCAGTCAGACCACTTAATTGTACGGGAGCGATCAAGCATGTTGCTGCTTGTGCTAACCTGGCAGACAGAGCCATCATATCGCTGCCGGCAGCAGGGTGTATACAGAATAATAAAAAATATATATCGGATACAGGCATACCTTACAAGAATACAAATAATTAGGACTGGGCAATATGGCTGGAAGAAACATAATAATAAAATAATCTCAATTTTGATCAGGATATTTGTTTGAATAATGATGAATTCTCTAAAATGTCAAAAAACAGCAAAAGAAATACCTCTCATCACATCCTATTCACTATCATATCTCACTGGTTTTGCTTGCAACACAAAATATGTGTTTTTAATCTGCTTTAGCCCTTTATAACTGCACAAAAGTATTTTCTTTGTCTTATTTCAGGCCATGGATTTAAAATTCTAATCAACCAGTGTTGACATTTTCTTTAAATATCCTTAAGAGACATTTTTCTTTTCATTATAGATGTTGTCACAGTGATTTCAATATTTTCCATCGTTGTACAACACCTCTGAATGCGTTTTGCTCTTTTACTGACTCATATGTTTCTTCTGAGCAAAGATTAAGTTAATTTATGACCTTGCACAAAACTCTAATCTTTATTTAACCAGGGAGTGTGTTTCTGAACTCACACTCCTCTGCAGCCCTGCCCTGCGTCTCATTCACACATTTAAACATTCTCTCTGAAGCCAAGCTAAATTCTGTGTGTGTTATGCTGTGTGTGTTGAATGTTAGCAGTGGTTGGCTGGGGCAGGACGTCCACTCTGAGGAGGAAGAGATCCACAGTTCAGATGAAGAGGACAACAGCTCCTCCTCCAGCAAGGAGCACATGGACGAGGCCGACCGACAGGTAAACTAGTTGACCTGAGAGGAGAACACTGTCTTTATAAAGCAATGATTATAAATTCCTAAACTAATTAAAGGTAGGGTAGGTAAGTTTGAGAAACCGGCTCGAGATACACCTTTTGTTATATTCCATGGAATGCTCTTAACATCCCGATAGCAATGAATATCTTAAATGCTTTGACAAAAAATCCATAAAAAAAATGTCATCTGTGGAAGCCGTAATACTGTAAAAAGCACGACCAATCATTTTAGCCGGCCCGGCTAAAATAACTGGATGGCCTACCTGCCTGCCAGCCTTCCATCTGTGCACAAGCTTATCTCGTGCCCTCATTGGTCATGTGCGCGTTCGTGTGTGTTGGAGGAGGGGCTCTGTAAGGAAGTGGCAGATTTTTTCCGGCTGTGTATTTTCAAATTCTAGCGCACTCAAGCCGGTTTCTCCAAAATTACCTACCCCACCTTTAAGTATAAAACTGAAACTGAAACATAAGCCAGCACATGATGACGGATAATTTCCGGTGGTTTCTATGCCAACATGCCTTTAATTTCAACCATTGAAATGTACTTCTCATACACATCTGGTATATTTTTTCAAAAGCTGTTCATTGAAGACAGAGACAAATGTTTTTTTTATATAAACACAGTATTTATTCTTTTCAAAATGGCCAGTCACTTCAAAAAAAATACTCTATTATGGCTAAAATAAAATAAAAACACACTTTAGCCCCTATATTTCACAAATGATTCACATAAAATCATTGACAGAAAATGACAGAAAAATGTTTTAATTGGTTTTGTCTGACCAACAGTCAAAAACCCTGATAAATTACTTATTTTTTATTAAAAAAGTGACTGTAAAAGCCCATTTTAAAACTTTAAAAAACATAAATACCTTGAAATCCGTTAAGGGTTTCCTGAACTCAATGTTTGAAGCAAACAGTGCTTTAATGTGACTGCTTTACACAATAAGGAAAATACTACAGAGACGTTACTACTTCCTAAGAAAGAGGAGAGCTACCTTTATGGAAAATGACTCTGCTTTCAGGCATGAACATGTCAGATAGGCCTGGCATTCACAGTTTACAATGGACGTCTCATATCACTGCCTGTGACTAAGCTGTCACTGCAGCCACTGGAGATAGTGTGTCTGCCAAGTGTGTCCGTTACAGCGCTTTAGAAGTGTGTGTGTACGTGTGCGTTTGGAAGGGGGGATGGTGAGCAAACACAGAAGGGTTACAGGTTCAGGAATAGCTCTTTTTTTTTCTTTCTCCGTCCTGTGTGACCCTCTCCATGATACTGTCAGCACCTGTGTCTGATGCCCCTCAAACCTCCAGGGTATCACTAATACAGAGGGGAGGTGGGGGGGCATGGCCACTGTCCAAATTAAGTCATTGAAAGACCGCCCCCATTACCATTCAACAACACACACCATCAGAGAGACACAGAGGGGAAAGAGAGGAAGGGGAATGTTGTCGCTGTACTCTCGGGATTGAGTTTTTGGAAGTCTGTAAACTCAATCCTGATGGTTTGACAGAGAAAAAGCAGGATCATGGTGATTTGCAGCGAGTCAGTGAGTGTACAGCGATCAGTTTTAGGTGAGATCGGTTGCTGTTAGCCTTTGTGTAGCTTTGTGAAACTGTTTGTGTTTCTCCTCTTCAGCAGGAGGATGAGATGAAGAGGAAGAAATTGGTGCACATCGCCCAGGAGATCATGAGCTCCGAGAAAGTGTGAGTGTTTTTTTAATGAACCCGAGCCCTTTTTAACTTTAAAATAAGATAAAAAAACAGTTAAAGACTTTCTTATTTACTAATAAGTGTGTACAGTTGCATAAAATGGACAAGAAAAAGTATATGTACCTCAAAATTATACTTAAACAGAGTACTTTACATTCTTACATAACCAGGAGCACATGATAACACAAAGTGATGTATTTATTTAACTGATGTATTTCTGTTATTTTCAGGTTTGTGGATGTCCTGAAGCTTCTTCACATAGTAAGTGTCTTATTTATATAAGAGTTGCATTAAAGGAACCGTAAAGAGTGCCTTTTACATAATAAAAAGTACCGTGCCTACACTGTGATTGTTTTGAATTAGGTTCAAAGCTTTTTCCAAGGGATGGACATGAATTAATGAGGTCTTGGCGGCGGGTGTTGTCTGTCACAGTGCCCGTACAGAGCTGAATAATTTAGTTTTTTTAAAGTTGCTGTGTAGGAGGGTTTTTAGTTTACTCTGGTCGGCAGTGGAAAGGTAAACGCAGGGCACAAGTAGAAAGGCTTTGATCAGTCCTATTGCAGGGAAACATTATCTATTTTTGTGCAAGAAAAATAAAGCACGCATGGTTCTTCAGTTAGGGTTCGTCTAGCTCTGTTAAGGTGAGCTGTGTAGTTGGTCTGTGGAGCTTCAATATCGATGGTTTCATGTAAAATCAGTTAGGTTAGGGTTGCTTTCAATAACATAAGGCAACATCCTAATTTCAAGTACATACAGGCCATTTATGCTAGTATTTTACATAAAGTATATGTTTGAGTTTTTCTCCCTGCAGTTTGTTTTGTTAAAATGTTGTTTTCATGTGCTTCCTTGCTTCAAGCAAATGTAATTTCCTGAAGCAATGCAGCGAAAATGATTTTTTTCCCCATAAAGAAAGTTTTATGTGATATCACTTTGTATTTTAAAGAGACATTAGTTTATATGCCTAGAGATGAAGAAATGCCCCCATGTATAATGTAACGAAATACCGCTTTTCTTTATCATTCTGTTGTCAATATGATACAATCTGAAAATGGTTATCAATTACCCAGAAGTACTTTAAAAAGGGACTTTTTTTGTAGGTTTTCTGTTAGTATGTCCAATGTGTACGAAAATCCTAATCACGATTGGTTCTTCATTTAAAAACAGACTTCTGGTTGTTCCTCTGTGCAATATAGGCCGATTTAGTTTAAAAATAAATCCACTAAAATGATGTTTTGTCTCGGCCCCCATGTTGAATGCTCGTAGCTTTTTGAATGGAAAGGAACCATGTGACTGGAGGAAGTCAGGTTTTTATTTAGGGGAAGTGCCTGAAAAAAATGTTTGGGAGAAAAATCAGGTTGTGATTTCTAATGTCAGTATGTGTGAAGTTAACATGCCATCTATACATTGTACTTGAGTACTTTTTAAGTATGCTAGTTGTTACATTTGACAGGAGAGCTCTGCCTTTTATATACATTTGTTTAAGCCAAGGATAGCGCCTGTAGCCTGTGTGTCCTGAGGGAAATCCCAGGTGAGAGGGGTCGGGGGTCCACCTGTCTGTCCGCCTCAGATGCAGCTTTAGTGAAGCCCACCCTGCAGGATTAGTTTTAACGTCGTCCTGTGGCTGACGAGGGGGGGTGCTTCTGTGTGCTCTGACCAAGAAAAGAGGTCAGATCAAATTCTTCTCTCCGCTCTGCCGGCCTGACAGCTGCCTCCTCAGGCCATAGAGACGACCTCCAGACACACACATACCTCAGATAATCCTCCAGCATGAGTGTGTGTGTGTTGTGTGTGTGCAGGTGTGTGCGTGGTTTGGGGACTTTGCTTGTGCTTATTTGTGGCAGGTTGTCCATCTGATTTGTTTGCATTTTTTCTGGTAATTTTTTGAAGTGGGTTTATTTTAAGCGTCCATCTGTGTTTTGTGAATATTAGAACAGACGTTGGTCAGTTTCTTTCCTCCGTGTTTGTAATTTGTTTCTGTTAGTTCTGTATCTAATTCTGCACTGGTGGAGCTAACTGGATTAGTTTTTACTATCTTGTTTTTTAGGTTTTGTTTATGTTAATATAAAAAACTTGATCAGATAATGAGGTGTCAGTATGATATGATAAATACATTTGGCAGAAATTTATTGTTTGGTTAATTTTCAGCATATAAATATAATGTATTATATATTGAGTGTGACTGATGTCTTCATTACTTTATTTTTATTGCTGAATGGACTCTGCCTGTCACCTGAAAGTTAATGATGCAGTAAATTAAAGTGGGGATGGCAGAAAATGTGTGTGAGCACATATAAACCAGGACGTTGGGATCCAGCGCCTCCCTGCTTCCTTCCAGGTGGATGTGTGTGTTGGCACACTGGAAAAAGGACAGACTGCAGAGTCAGCTGTGTGTGTGTCTGTGTACGTGTGTTTATGTGTGTGTGTGTGTGTGTGGAGCAGGGGGCACTTTACGAGGTGATAACCAGGTGTTCCTGTTCAGCTGCATGTTGTCATGTGTCACCCCGCCCTGTACAGCTGTGTGTGTGTTATAAATAATGATGACATTCCCACTCTGTGCCTACAGGACTTTCGGGACGCTGTTGCCAAGGCAACCCGTCAGAATGGGAAGCCGGTGGTGGACGAGCGGATCCTCAGCCAGATCCTGTACTACCTGCCTCAGCTGTACCAGCTGAACAGAGACCTGCAGAGGGAGCTGGAGGACCGAGTGGCACACTGGTAAACACACACATAACACTACAGCTCCCATAATGCTCTGGGGGATGTTGCAGTGGATTCAGTGATGGGTGATGTGGGCTGCAACTAAAGCTGTGTATTTTTTAGACCACACTTTATAATAATGTATTGTAAAGCATTTTACTTGAAGCACTTTAGAAGGTACCCAAAGACACGATAACATGTACAAGTGAAAATTCCTAAAACATTCCTAAAAATACACACACTTTAAAAGGACAACACAAAATATCAATCCCATATTAAAAGCAGAATTGAGAAGGTGAGTTTTGATTTAGGATTTGAGTATGGATTGATTGGTGCATTCTCAGATGATTTTCGATAGAGAAGGGTAAACAATTTAGCGCATTGTTGTTATCAGACACTTGAAATTATTCCCAAAAGATAATAATTTTCCATTAAAAGAGTTATCTCATCCTAGTTAGTGGAAGCGATATACTAGGTCAGTTTACATTTTCAATACTATTAATAAAAAGAAAGCTCTTTAAGGAATCACCTACTGGGTTTAGCTTTTCTTCCAGTCTTTAATAATCATCAGCTTTATTGAAGAGACTCAAGGTCCATACTGTATTGCTTTATTCACTAAACCGTTTGTCTGTCTGTTCACAGGAGCGATCACCAGAGGCTGTCGGACATCTTTGTTCAGAAGGGTCCTTACCTGAAGATGTACTCCACCTACATCAGACAGTTTGACAACAACGTGGCTCTGTTGGACGAGCAGTGCAGGAAAAACACCGCCTTCGCCGCTGTCGTCAAAGAGTTTGAGGTAAAACTGCAAATACTGCTCTTAATACAAGGATGAGTGAGACAAAGACAATAAATATGTACTGTGTCGGGTACATGTGTGTGAGAGTTTTTTATTCTAAACCTTTTTTACACTGTTTTTATTCAGTGTGTTTTCTAACAGAAGTTAGAAGTCTTTTCTTAATTTTTTACAGCTGTAATACAAGGCTTTTTCTGGTCTATAAATTAAATTGGACTAGACTACAATTTGAATTTCTGTTGTGTCATTTCAACAACTAATCACTTAGGAAACTCAGTACATCAGCATTGTTTTTAAAGCAGGACTTTAATGGGGATTGTTTATGTTGCTTTATGTGAAAAATACTGTTTTAGATGCATCTACACCTGCACAGTTACTACAGGCTTTTAAATATACTGACGATGTCTGGTGCTTCAATCAAGAATTAGCATTGGTAGCAGCCATTACTTTACTTCTATCTCCAACGGTTAACTTGAAGCGTCTGTGTTCGTTTTGTCTCAGATGAGTCCAAGATGTGCGAGCCTGGCTCTGAAGCACTACCTGCTGAAGCCGGTGCAGAGGATCCCTCAGTACCAGCTGCTGCTCACAGGTACACACACACACACACACACACACACACACACACACAGACAGATACACACACACAGAGAGAATCCTTGTTTATCTTCTACGATCCTCTGCACACTGAAGGTCAAAGGGTTTATTGAATCATGGCCGCCTTTATTGACTGCCAGTGAATGGAACTCTGGACTCAAGTCTTTGTTTTGGTTCCATACTGGCACCCAGTGGAAAGTTGGGGTACTGTAAACCTGAGGAGTTAGACTCAAGACAAATCCTGCAGAAAAATCTTAAAGTGGACCTATCATGCTATATTTTAATAATATAGTGTAGGACCATACCTATATAAGGCATATTTATACTTTTTTTTTTTCAAAATACCAAACAGATCATGCATTTTAGCCATGCCTCATTTTGCTCAATTTGACAATTTCTAGCTCTGTTTTTGCAAGGGCTGATTCTGTGAGAACAGCACCACCTACAGGCCTGGCATATGTACTACAGCGTCTCCAGCGCTTTCGAACGGCAATGGCCGTGGCTGTCTCCTCCTGATTGGTGGAGTTGGCCCAATAGCCGTAGCGCCACCGTCCTGACGTCAGGACAGTGTTCAAATCTGGATCAGTTTTTATCAGATCCGTTGCAGCCCCTTTTTTAGAGATTTGGGTATGGAGGAAAATAGAGAGGGTTGTGTTTTCTGACACTTGGTGAGTTCCCTGGAACACCGGGGACACATATTCATGTATAAAAGACGTACAAAAGTGCATTTTGCATGATAGGTCCCCTTTAAATATAGAAAATATTTGTAAAAGAACAGTACAGGCACACTGAAACTTAGGAATGTGAAATAAAACTATTATCATATAATAAAGGATGTAATAAAATAAGTTACCTTTCGTCGTATATGTTTTTATGTTTCCCCAAGGCTGTTTTTTTTGCTTTATAATAACTTGAAACTTATTTTCCAGATTATCTAAAGAACCTTCCAGAGGACTCTGAGGATTATAAAGACACCCAAGGTTTGAAAATACTCATTATTAACATTTACCAGGACAATCATATGTGCTCTTTAAAGAGAAAATGTATGCACAACACTAATGTGTGATCTTTGCTATCTGTGCAGCGGCCCTCGGCATAGTGAAAGAAGTGGCCAACCACGCTAATGACATCATGAAACAAGGGGTAAGACCTTATTCCACATAAAGCTTTAGGTTCTGTCTACTCCAGCCGTGTGTTTCTCCTCACTTCTCTGATTTTCTTTCTCAGGATAACTTTCAGAAGCTGATGCAGATTCAGTACAGCCTCAACGGCCACCATGAGATCGTTCAGCCAGGCAGGGTGAGTATCAGAAATGTTTTTTTTAAGGATTTTAAGTTCCTACTGAGGCAGGGAGACTTTTCACACGGGTGTCAATTCTCTCAGATGGCTGCCAAATACCAGTGTTACTAATTGAATTGGCCTATTTGTAACAGATACAACAGTGTCATGAATAATGGTGCATGTTCTCTGTGCCAAACACACCATCACTTTTCATCATTGTGCATTGGTTATTTCATTCTTTTTATAGACTGATCAAATGTTTTTATTCAGCCACTGACTCTACCTGTTTTATGCAGCCCATTTAAAACAAGCATGTCTATATTTGCAGGTGTTTCTGAAGGAGGGCACTCTAATGAAGCTTTCCAGGAAAGTCATGCAGCCTCGCGTATTCTTCCTGGTGAGTAATTTAGTTTTAAATATCTGTAAACTATCCCCTTTTTCCTCTCAAAATTGAGTTAATTTAATTCAATGAATTCTGTGAATCTGTCTGTGTTTTCTTCCTAATTCTTTGTGTTTTCTTCAGTTCAATGATGCACTCATGTACACCACTCCCGTCCAGTCCGGCCAGTATAAACTCAACAGCGTCCTCTCTCTGGCCGGGATGAAGGTGAGAGACTCTCTGCAAACCTATCACACTGTGACGGTGGCCCAAACACATTTTATCCATTTATTTCTGTATGTTCTTTTATTGCTAGCCAGAGGATTTACACAAATAGAACTACAAATACTTGCCTGTTTTGACCCTACATCATTGCACAATCAAATCAAGTTTCAAATCAATTTCCATTGGCTTGTGAAAGAATCTTGTACTTAACTTTTCATTTATATTTCAGTATGAATAAATACACCTGTCATCAGTTTTTACTTCCAATTGGTTTTATATATTTATTTAATATGTTAAGATTTTTTTATACTGACATTTCTTCATATGTGTATCTGCACTGAAACATGGACTCCTGTCAATTATTTAGGCTGTAGCAACAGTTTGTGAACATTGCTCATACATTTTAAAGGTACACAATCTCTGTTATTTATCGATTTCTGTGTTTGTAATTCTCCAGGTGAGTAAACCGAGCCAGGAGGCCTATCAGAACGAGCTGAACATCGAAAGCGTTGAACGTTCTTTCATCCTGTCTGCCAGGTCAGCACGCAGCCTCCGTAATCATCACAGTCTGCACATAAGTAGCTATAAATATTTATAAATGTATTACTTGTGTTTGCTGTAGCTGAGAGTAGCTGATGTGTGTTTATGCTTGCAGCTCGGCTACAGAGAGAGACGAGTGGCTGGAGGCCATCGCTAAGGCCATAGACGACTACACCAAGAAGAAAATCACCTTCATATCCAGTCGAAGTCAGGAGGAGGTAAAGCTGCAAATCTCTGCGGGTGTTTGTAGAGTGTATCTGAAAGACATGTCAGGCTGCAGCTACATATTATTTACATGATCAATTCATCTGTTGATTATTTGTCATATGAATTGACTTTACAAGCATCCAGGAGGTACATATAGAAAACCTGCACTCACATCTGCACACTCATGTAAATATATTTAACATGTTCATTCAAATGCTTAACGTTTTACTTTGATATCTTGTTTCAAAAGTTACTTCATCACTTTATTTTTTATTTTTCTGTATTATTATTGAAATGTTTATTCTATTTTATCTTTATTTTTACCTTGTTTGAATCCTGTTTTTCACTCTGACCCTGTTGCTGCTATAAACGCCTGAATTTCCCCAAGGGGATAAATATAGCTCCATCTTATCTTATCTTAAATAACAAAGAAAGGTAGAACGTCCTGCCATTAAACAGGCTGGAATTGATTTGTTAACCCTGCTTGAAAAAGGACGGACAAGATTAATCGATTATCCAAATATTTACCTTTTTTCTGCAAAAACACAACTTTAAATCTTGTTTTTACCATAAATATGCTGATAATTTTCCTTTTTAAATTCAACCAAACATTATCTAGCAATTCTAAATCTGTTATGACGTCCATATTAAACAAAATTAGGCTAAACTTGACTAAGTCCTTTACATTGAGAAAAGCATTTAAAAATGTGTTATCGAGTAAGAGGGAGCATCCCTACTATATTAACCCTCGATGGAAAGCTAGCTGTAATAACAATAATCATCTGTCTTCTCGCAGGCGGAGTGTGTGGTGGACACCGGGGCCCCGCTGGGTTCGAAGGCTCCGATCTGGATCCCAGACCTGAGGGCCACCATGTGCATGATCTGCACCTGCGAGTTCACGCTCACCTGGAGGAGGCATCACTGCCGCGCCTGTGGACGGGTCAGTACCACTCCGCTCCTCCTGCAGCACATCCCTTAAATAATGAAACCCCCCCCCCCCCCCCTCATTCTCATGTCAGCTAAATGTGTGTCTGCAGGTGGTGTGTCAGGCGTGCTCGGCCAATAAGTACTACCTGGAGTACCTGAAGAACCAGCCGGCACGTGTGTGTGATCACTGCTTCGTCAAACTGCAGGAGAATAGTAAGTAAAGAGGGGTTTTTCTGAATTCAGCTGCAAAATATCTGATTACAATTCTTACCATATTGCATATTTCAAAACCAATAACGCAGTGGTGAAGTGTTACTAAATACTGTACTTAACTACACATTGTAGGTACCTGTAATTGAGTATTTCCATTGTATGCAACTTTATATTTCTTCTTACATCTGTAAGCTAGGATTTAAAAGACTTATTCAGGGACTGAATAACTCATTTTAGATTTTTGTCTTTTCATTAGATTTGTGACTACTGACAAAAACCAAAATACGGAATACAGTCTTTAAAAACGTATATCCTTTTAATATTAAATTGATTATTTCCTTTTAGTAGAATCTTAGTCATTTAAGTATTTTTTGTTTATTTTCATTGATTTCTTTTTTTTTTGTAGGTGACCGCTGTGCTTCAACATCAGTTTCTCCAATTAAACCTGGAGCTTTCTCCTTCACCAGGAAACAGAAGAAGATCCCTGCTGCACTAAAAGAGGTGAGAAACAAAGATTTACACAGCTGGGATACTTTTTCTGACTAAGTTTTGGTGTAATCTTATATTTAGCGAGTAAATGTAACCCGATTTATTTTTCTCTTGCTGTTTTTTTTGCAGGTGTCCGCCAACACTGAGAACTCCTCGATGAGCGGCTACTTAAACCGGTCGAAAGGAAACAAGAAGCAGTGGAAGAGGCTGTGGTTTGTCATCAAGAACAAAGTCCTGTACACCTACGCTGCCAGCGAGGTACTGACACGGTGTTATTTCTCATTTGACTAAACTGAGTAGCTTTTTGTGTCTTTTTGATTGAGTAATTGTTTCTCCCTCCAGGATGTTGCTGCGTTGGAGAGTCAGCCCTTGCTCGGGTTCTTCCTGAGAGAGGAGAAGAACGGGCCGGCTCAGAAGCTGCAGTTTAAGCTGTATCACAAAAACACGCTGTTCTACATCTTCAAAGCTGACGACATCCCCACCGCACAGAGGTATCTGCACTGAAAATGGCAGACAGCGCCTGAAGATTACAGTCCTATTTGTTAGAAATACAGCAGAAGAGCAGTTGGTCTATGTGTTTACATAGCAGATAAACACTGACATTGGTCTAATGAAGAAGTCATTAAAAAAGTTAAATGTATTTACTTTAATACCTGCATTATTTTTTAATTACATAAAAAATGTGTAATGTCCACTAGTTTGAGTAAAGGTAAATAATACAATAAATGGGAGGGGCGCACTTTCAATGTGGTCAAATACACATTTACTGCTTCACCATGTTTCACCAGTTAGATGTTGTTATTGTGAAGCAGCAGTATTAGTAAATGTTAGCCTTTCATAGCAGTTAACAAGAAAGAAAAAAAACAGAACGATGACGAGCTGCATCATTTCCTATTGATCCTAAGTGCAATTAAATGTATATCCAAAACAGGAATGGCGTACTTGCTACTAAAAAATTAAAACAACCATATAGCGAAACTTACTACAGACTTTTTATGTTGTATGTAAATGCCTTTTGCACAATCAAATTTAAAGACAAAATATATATGTATATATACATTATTTATATTAGAATGTGTTCGTCCCGATGTTAGCTAATTTTCTGTTTTCTATTTTTCTCTTCAGATGGATCGAAGCCTTCCAAGAGGCAATGATCCTCGAACAGTAATTGTGTTTTGGCAGCCGTGAAGTCACATCACAGCTCCGGAGCCAGTGGATCGAAAACGTACGACCCCCGGCTGATTTCAGGTCAGGGGTCCCTGCTCAGGAAGGACTCCGGTCGGACTGTTCACTTTAAAACAGAAATACACTGCAGAACATTACTGTATGTGGGGGTGGGGGGGGAAACCTGACTCTAAGGACTGGAATCTGAGGTCAGAGTTAATAGATGTTGCAGCTGCGGGTCAAAGGTCAAGTCCAGAAGCACGTCTGTGGAAGTGAGACAGATCAGTGGTCAGGAATATTGAAAGGAAGTCTGGGAATTATATTTAACTGCAAACGGATGAAGGAACTACTTTTTGTGTGAAACGAAATATACAAAACTGTGCGCATTCCTTCAAGCATGTTGACATTGGCTACGATAAGTATTTTAAATCCTACTGTGTGGTTTTTCTTAAAGGGATAGTTTGGATTTTATGAAGTGACTATGAATGAGTACCCTATACAAGCCCACTTCAAAAGATCAGAACTATGACTTTCATGCAAAATCTCAAGATGCAATCTTCAAATACACATCTCAAAATATTCCACATTGTAACATGTCATCTAAATCATGGTTGCACAGTATTGCAGATGTCTGTTTAAGAGTTTCAGGATGTAACAAGGTGGGATTTTACTGTGAAAATCCGCTCTTTAAAGAATCAGGAGCTGTTCTGCTCTTTAGTTTGATCTCTCTGGTTAAGAGATTTAACTCCTATATTTTTAAAGTTAACATACAAAACATTCAAATGATGGTTTTAAAAAACGACATCCTGGAGAAAACTGGAAATGTCACGAATAATGTAGATATGTTTCATACATTTTAAAATGTATTTTTGCCTGTTTAGCCACATTGGAAATGGTTAATTGGTAAAACTGTGTATATGGACATGAAAGAGCAACATTGACCTTTTTTATATCAAAGCCGAGAGCTAATATTTATAAAATAGGAAGATTTATTGTTTTAAAAGCGCAGGCTGCGACTTGTTTTGGGAGTCAGGGTTTTGTAGGAAATATGTTTCCATCAGTTATTCTTTTAAAACTTAAAAGGTAACTTTTTAGAAAAAGGGGATTTTTTTTAACGGGCAAATACTGTGGAAAGTATGCATTAACTATATTTCTAAGGAAATGCTCCAAAGGAAGAAGACATTTTGAATTGTTGTAGACATTTGTGCCTTTTTTATCTCCTGCTTTGAGAATAATTGCAATAATATAGGTGCTCTGTTTGACAGTCTTCACTAAATCAGGACACATTTAGGCATCCAGTTTGCATGACTACTCACTTTCTAACCAGGGTACTCGAGGTTTGTAGCTTTACAAACGATCATTTATCAGGTCGGTTTCTTCTTGGTTAGGTTGCCGTATGTTGCACTACCCCATTATTTCACAGTGGGAGGAATCCAAATCCTGCTTTCTTTTAGTGAAGGAATAAAACGTTGAATTCTGTCATTGTAGCTCTGACTGCTATTGTGTCTCATTCAGATGTGTATTTAGTGGAAATGAATCAGTAAACAGTTTCCCAGGATGCATTTCCTCATGATTGTACATTAACAGTGACCATTTGTAAAGATCTGCTCTATCAGAGTTAGAGTCTCCTATAAACAAGGATTTTAAACTGTCAGGCAACAGTTTTAAATAAAGTATATATATAAAAAAGATCTTGTCCTTCTGTATAATTTCCTGTTTTGTTGCTTTAAAGTGAACTGCAAAACCCTTTTCTCTACTTAATCATAGAGTGCAGACAGAATGTGTGGAAGGCAGAGTTTGTATCTTTGTGTACTTGTCGTCTCCATCTCTCTGAGAAGGCCATGGTTTGAAAGATAGGGGGGGATTTTGTACGACTCATGATGCCAAAGCTCCCTTTGATCCTCCCTCTTAAGCAGTAGAGAGGTAAAGCCCAATAACAAACTATTATTTATTTAAACAGAGTTCAAGTCTGTCAGGAGACACTGGCATTTGTCTCTTCATTGTTAACATGTTTGATGTGTGAGTTACTCTGAAGGATTTTAAATTAAGAGGTTACATAAGAGAGACTAAATTGCTATTCTCATTTAAACAGTGTACAGTTCATAGATGAACATAACAGTTTTCCTGGTATGGGTGCAAAACAAAAGAATGAATATAGGGGGTGCAAAACAACTACAAACAAAAACATATAAACGATATATAAATAAATATGAATAGATAGACACAAACAAGATGGTAAGCCCAATGAGGTGTCTGATGTTTTGTATGTTTTATAAACAATCGCATTTAAATCAACTCCAATCTGATTTTAGCTGTAATTTTACAATAAGCTCTTCCTCAAAAATAAAATTGTCTGTGATCTACAGTATGAAATCATACTTGCACATTCCCCAGAATATAATTTGCACACTTTTTAAACATTTACATTGTGCATATACAAATAGTACTTTATATGTATTGTCATTTTTGCTATTGTATATTTCTGTTTCTTATATGCACCAATACATCATAACCTGAGTCTAATTCTCTTTAAATGAATGAATGAAGGTGTAGATAGAAAAAAATACTAGTGATATTTAGCAGTCTTTAAATACTTACTTAGGCTTTTCTTTAATAATAGTTAGTATTATTCAGCACATAATATATGAATAGCATACTACATAAATACAAGTATTTATATGTGGAACGGAAGTCTCTCAAAGTGTTATTGTACCCGGACCTGTTTTTTTCTTACCGCACATCGGTCCGTCCGGTAATTGTTCCGTCTAAAGATGGCGGGGTATCTTCATGCCATCCGAAGGGCTTTGGGACAACTAGGAGGTCATGGAGGAGTCAAAGAGTCGCTGGTTCAGTTTTTAAGGTCAGTTTATAGAAACAGTTGTATATGTTTTAATGAAACGCTGGTGGGGACTCTAAGAGCTTTATAAAGATGTGTGACCTGGCTCTTTCTGTCCAGAGCCGTTAGCATGTTGACAGCTAGCTAATGTTACATTACGTTAAGCAGCTAAATCAAGTGAATGGAAAGACACTCCATTGATAAATATCGTAATTTAAGAGAATTAACAGCAGCCGCGTTATGTCGCTTTACATCTATTTAAATCATCACTGAAGTATTATTCAATATCTTCGTTATATTGTGTATTATTAAGATACTCTAGTCTAGTGATATTATGTCCTTTCTATTGTGTATTGTGTATATATATATATATACTTGCCGCTAATGTAACTTTTTTATTTTGTATTATATGTGTATCTTATTCTATCTTTTAAATATGTTTTTCTCGTTGAATGCTTGATATTTATGCATCTAAACACTGATGAATTCGGCTCGTAAGTTACTCGACATGCATTATTTATTTGAGTAACATGTCATCTTTTAATTATTTCCCTCTTGTTTTTGCAAAGAAAAATGTTAGAAAATGTAGCTTTTTAGCACAATTCTTTCGCTTTGAACCTACTGTAAATCATGGCTGAGGTTAAGTTATGATGCCACTAATGATTTAGGCTCAAATGTTAGTCTCTGAACAGTGTCAATTGTCTTTGCAAAGGAAAATGATCGAACATATTCCCTTATAGCACAGATTTGCTTCACAAATAGATGTTTATTTGAACAAAATGTCACCTTTACACTTGGTTCACGATATTCGTTTTTGCTAAGGGAAGTGTTAGCACAGATCTGCCTCATTGAGTGTGTGTGTTGTTGATGCATCGACAGGGCGACTGATGTGAAGACAGGAGCCCTGATTGGTGTGGACAAATATGGAAACAAATACTTTGAGGACAGCAAAAACTACTTCTTTGGTGAGTACAGGTTCTCTAAATGTGCATGATTTTAAACGTATGAGCAGTATACTTATCTTGCACCAAAATAATGTTGTTTTCATGGAGGATTTTTGCAGTTGTATCACTCTGTTATACGAATGGTTTAACAAGCAAATTATGCTTGAGATTGACACATGTTTTAATCGGTAAATAAACAGTTTTCTGTGTCAAAAATGTGTCTAGGACGCCACCGCTGGGTGATCTACACCACAGAGATGAACGGAACGAACACCATGTGGAACGTGGACGCCAGCATGGTTCCAGCTGAGTGGTACGACTTGCACATTGGGAAATAACACATTATTATTGTCTATTAATCAAACAACATTATTTTCAATAAATCAATAATTGTGTATCAAACTTGAAAATAATATTTGTCAAGCCAAATGTGACATATTCTAATGTCTTGTTTTGTACGAGCAGAAGTGCAAAGGTCAATTACAATGTTCATAGGAATTGTTTGACTATTTCTGATTTTAAAAAAAGTTAATAAAACCATTGATTAATTAATGAATAAACACTTATCATTGTTGCTCTACAATTACATAGCAACGACCCACTGGAAAAATAATATTGATGTTTTGAGAACACTATTTGGCAAGTCCGCTATTCACCATAAACACATTTCTTTTTACATCCTAGTAGTTTTTACACATCCTGAAAAACTCCTCATGATACCTGTTCTCTAAGATATTCTGTAAATAAAGTGGACTCTGCTGTACAGTCTTGGCAAGTAGATAACACTTTTTAAATAGTTTACTTAACGTAGCTTATATGTAACTTTAATAGTGTCATACAGACAGAAAATACAAATCAAGAATTAAGAGAAAGAATGAGCTCAACAGAATTAGTTATTAAACCATCTTCTTGTTCCCTGCACTCTTCAGGCACCGCTGGCTGCACTGCATGACAGACCACCCCCCCACCACTCACCCTCCAGAGCCCAAGAAGTTCCTGGCTCAGGTCCACCAGTTCAACGTGAGCGGCACCTCGCAGCAGTACGTGCCCTTCCCCACCACCTCCAAGAAGATCCACGAGTGGGTTCCCCCCAAAGCTCAGTGAACCCTCACTGCTTATTTGTAAATGATGGTATCACGTCCTGAATAAAATCTCTATACAGACCTTTATGATCCGAGTGGCATTGCTTACATTGAACTTCCCCACAGGTGGAGAAGACTGGACTTTTGGTTTAAGCTCAAATATCTGACATTTAAGTTTCCTGCATTGTTTATACATGTTTGGTTCTAAATTCTACGGGGTCTGCCAGAGTTTCCATAAATACCAAATATATCAGGTCTTGTTTTTTCCAAAATGATGCATCGGGACCTTTTTCCATTTCAGTGAATTGTGCAGCCATAGCAAAACATTGTCATTTTCATTTATCTTCAATGCAAGATCCAATATTTCCAATATTAATATAATCTTGTTTACTGCCTTTATATATACGTTATTGATTGTTACACAGGTTTTCCTCGTACTCAGATTTACCAATCCACTTCAACAGCATTCACATGGGTGTTTTCAATCACTGATAACACTTTAAATCAAAATCTATTATTTATGGGACTTTATAGACACAAAATCAAGCTTTTTATGTCAAACTGTGTTTTTTTAATTACTATTATAAAGGGTTTTTCTAACCATGAGAACAGCCTGGGGTCAGAGCGAGCAGCAGAGACTGAGGCAGGGACTTTCCAGCGCTGAGTCTTTGCTGCGTGTTAATCACTGCAGATTATGCTGAGCGGAGGAAAAGTTGCAGCATGCAGCATTTCACAGCGAGGTGTGCAGATTCTCCAAGCTGCTGGGCGCTCTGTGTGAATGACGCGGCGTGCAACACACTCAGTGTGACTCAGAGTCCCTGTGAAACTCCTGAGGAGCAGCAGAACAAGAGGTTTGTGTTTGCTTATTATTTACACTTTTTCAATGTTATCGATGGATGTCAGAGCATTTTTCCTTGTTTATATTAAATTAGATAAGCTTAAACTAATGTCCTGCAATTAATCACGTTTTCTTGTTATATATTTAAGTTTTTCTTGATTAATTTGGACCTGTTAAAGGGAGATTCTGATTTAGCTTTATGGTCATGTTGGAGGATAATTCTGTTTTATGTTGTTTTTTTATATTATAAAAGTGGAGGTTGAGTAAATAATGGAAAACACCTCTGAAAAACTTCCTGAAGTAAAAAATAACAACTGACTTTTATGCTTTCATGAAGGTTATAATTGATGCTTGATATTCGGAAGTATATGAATATAAAGTCATTTAAATAAGCTCCACCTTGGCAGTCAAAATAATGCAATATTAACTGTAATGATACATTCAAATAAATACAGACATTCAAATAATGAGTGCATTTCATTTAGCTATTGTGAATAGTTTATGATGCAAATTCTTACGTTTTGAACATTTTGAAAGCAGGCCTTGCCAATTTTACTCGGAGATTTTTACATTTGTGTTTCAGAGATCTGGAGCTGTTTAAAGATGAGACTCACTGTGTCATCACTTTTACTTCGAGGGGATATTTTGGAGGAGGAAGAAGACGAAGAAAGTCACCTCAATGTAAGCTCCTGCACACACCATGTCTGTAATAGTGTTTAATATCCAAGAGGGGGCATTGTTGCTTTTGATTTATGTCACTGCAACAATATCAAATCAGTGAGAGAGAACGAGAAAGTCCTTTGGCATCCTCTAGTGTCTTTATTTAGAAACCAGAGGAGTCTTTGCTTGGAGGCAGCACCTCATCCAAAATAATTGAAATTAATTAGGAGACTTTCTTTGACAGATGACAATTGGCTGTTAAATGAGTGCTTAATGAACCGTTTGTTTGGTTCTCTCCTCTTCTCGCTGCAGCAGATTGCTTTTTGTCTGA